ATATATTAACAGTATATTTTGCGAATTCATTTCAGTCAACTGTGAATCATTTATTTTAGGAATCATAAACGCATCACAAGGCCTAACACACCTTTACTCGTGAAAAAATAATCTCAAAAGGTCGTTTATTCCGTTTTATTGTGAAACTATTTGTGCAACGATCTTTCTGAATAGAAGTTCAAAAAGCTAACCGTACTATACATTTACATATTTTAACCGTCCTTTTTGCAGTTCAACCATCTATACTAACCTTAACTTTAGTATTTGGATTTTTCAAAGTTGATATCAACATATTTTACTAATACCTATCAGTATGAGTTCCCTTCAGAAAAATTGCTATCATTTTAAATCGGAACAAAATTGCTGGTAGGAAAGTTGTCCACAGAAAAATAAAAAAATTATAAAAATAAATAATTTAACAAAAAAGATCTTTTGTTGTTTTTTTTTTTTTATTGTAGCAAAATTTTTAGTAGAAAACACAAGCCGTATAAATTTTAAATAATGAAATCGTTACGCAGGAATTTGAAAAAAAATCGTATTTTTCGTCTTTTTTAGTTGTTCCTAATTTGTATTAAAACTACTTTAAATATCAAAAATGATTTTCTTTGTCATTGTTTTGATATTAAATATGAAACAAAATTGATATCTTGTCCATTTTTAATTGAAATAAAATGTTTGGTAGAAAACATCGTGTATATAAGTTTTTAAAAATTCTTATGATGAAATAGTGACGGCGAAAAGGCGTAGTTTAACAAGGGCAAAACGAAGACTTGTCCTTGATCATCCTCGCTATACTTAAAATCTAAAAAAGAAACCTAAATTATTACGAAATCCGGATTTCGGAGTATTCGCATTTATGTCACATTGGTAATTAATTTGTGTACATGCAGTGTATTATATATTATACACTAGTTAGTTTAAGCTCGTTCACGTGTTGTTCGGTAGACTTCGGTATGTTCCTTTTCATTTTTAACCGAAACTTTTCGATTTCGCTACTTTTTTGGGAAAACTTAACTTGTGCCACGTACTCACGTACTTATCACCGATCATATAAATGTAAATTATTGTATCGATCGAAATCGCGAAAGTATATAGGTCTTTTACATTTTATTATGTATAATAATAATATTATTAAACGGTCGTGGAACAGGAACACCTCATATTATAATTTAATGAAATTTTATTATCATCTCCATAACTATATGTATACAATAATTATAAAATAAATAAAAAGCCTATTGCAGAATATTGTATACGTAATAGCTATGTGGAGGGTACTTATATATTGTAACATTAAAAATTGCTCAGTGAACTTCTTTCATTCTTAATTATTAAAATTTATAATATAAAAAAGGAATATCCTGCACCAAGGGCAAAGATAACGAATATTATATTGTATTTTACATAAACTTATCAAATTATTTCCATTCTCATAAGTTTGTATACTGTTTTATAGGTTTTACTCTAATTTTTTAGGCCACTACTGTGTGGTTCGAGTAATATTATTGATTTTACTGTGATGCGTGTTCTTGTCTGTGAACAACTTTTTACCTTGCTCTGATAATTAGCTACAGGGATGGTTTCTATTAACTTTTGGTGATACACTAAAAAGGTTTTTCCTCTTTGTTTTTTAAATGATGAAGAAAATCCAAGAAAAAAAGTCGATTAAAACGGAAATATTTACATATTATATTCGCAGTTTCTTTTATTCACTTCAATTTTTTTTTTCGTTGTGATTTAGTAAAAAATATTCATAAATTCCTAAAACTTTCACCGAATAATTGTCGATAATAGTAAGCATGGTAAAATGTTCAAAAGTTACTAACGATTTGTCTCTATTTCCCCAGAAATAGAGACTATTTCACTCTATTGTATTAGATTTCCTTTTATAAATAGTGCTATCATTGTAAATTGGAGCAACATCTCTAGTAGAAAAGTTGTCCACAGAAAAAAAAAAATCATAATATTTTACTAATATAATTCGTACATTTTCCATTTTTTTTTTTTTTTTTTTTTGGTTTTTCACATTTGATGAGAAAATTCTTGAAAAAAACAAAAAATGACCTTGTTAAAGTAAAACCCCCAAGACATTTTTTTTAAAAAAGGGTCTAAATCGTTTACATTGGAGTAATCTTTCTGGTAGAAAGTTTATTCACATTAAAAAAAAATAATAAAAATTATGTAAAACCAATACATTCTTCGCTTCACTCAGAATCTAAAACAAATTTATATAATCCTAATAAAATACATATTTATCTTAACAATAATTTGACCAACAAATGGTATTATAAATGAAAATGTATGATTAATTTAAAGCTGTAGTTGTTATCTATTGAAACAAATAATGAGCAATAATGAAAGAAATGATTAGTTAAATATACAATACAGGAGTGTATCTATCAGATACTTTTCATATTTAATAACATACTGTTTAATTAAAAATATAATAAGGTTACATATATTTACATTCTATACAATAGTATATATGTCAATAAAATAATAATAAAAATAAAATATTAAATTCAAATTTAAAGAATTATATCGCAACTACATACAAAAAGATAAGATATAGTTTTTATTATTATTTATTAGTGTACCTGTGGTTTTAATGAGTGTAGTGCGTAAAAATTGTCATACTATCAAGTCCCAATTAACAGTTTATCGTAATTTATTTGAATACGTTATTATCGTTATAAGTTATTATTAAATTTATAAGTATTGTATTTTATATTAAGTCTATTTTAACCTCGGTGTAGGCCTTTGTTCTTTGACTATTGTGGTCGTATAACATATTAAATATGTAAAATTAGAAAATAAATGTAATAAATTTTAAAATAATAAGCTCAAGGGGGGGGGGTATTTATTCTATTACCCTTCCCTTGGATCCGCCACTGATACAATAGCAATGATTTATCTAGAGGATGATGTATATCACTCTCAGACCTTTTTTTCCTTACATACTGTATTAACTGGTTTTTATAATTTATATCATACGAAATAAAATACACATTTTTCATTTTGGTATAATAATAAGTAGGAACATTTCTTGTAAATTGTATGTTTTCTCTATGGATAATAGTAGAAAATCTGTAGAAAATTTGCCAGTCTAAAAGAATTACAAAATAACAATTATCATTCTATACATTGTCAGTTTCATATGCGAATTAGAGAATCGTCTTTAAACCATAAATAGTTTTTGAAGGTATGTAATGTCTACACATTTCAATTAAATTATTTTTATTGTAATTGAAAAATTATTTACAGTCCTATAGCATTACATCATAAATTAATCATATTCAGGATTAAGATGGCTATGAAAATACAACTGAAGCCGTAATAAATTAAAAACTGTGTAATTTTTATTATAATATTAATAGAATATTTACTATATTTGATATTTAAACATTACCTAACGTATTTTATTGTTTCCCATTTAAAACTGTTTTAGACGTATTATTTGGTATAGGTAATGTATTCATTGTAATTAAAGAATTATGACGCAACTGTTTTGGTCCGAAAAATTGTGCAAACAATTAAGCAGCCCGACCGGGTATCGACCCGTGTCTCTCACTTGCCGTACGATTGCTCTACTACTATACTACCTGGTACCTAACTTCTAACACTATTTCATCTGGACTTGAAATCTAAAGTTTTGGGTTTCAGCGGTTAGTGGTGTGGCCGTATTTATGATTAAAAGAACGAAGCAGCACGGTACTCAGGGACTGTGTCAATTATTTACAGTATAATACATTCAATTATAAATTCTTTTTCCAGCGATAATATGGTTATTATCATTGATCAACAATATTTTTAAATGGTGAAATTACTTTATATTGTTTATAGGATACATTTAATATTCTAACATTAATGTGTTTTATTTGTTCAGAATAAACTATTAAAATTTTTCGAACAAAATCGAATTGGCACTGACTACTGAGGAAAAGACTGCAATCAATACCACTTTTGACAAAGATACTGATTAGTTACATGATGTGAGGTAGCTGGTAATGGAAGGTCTAAACAATTACCTTTAGTAGTGGAAGGTTTCAGATTTTTGAACGAAAAAGTAACCCCTTGAACTAATAGACTTATTAATTTAAAACAAGTATTACTGACGGTCCGGTGTAATTGAGTATTGTTAACTGAACAAGTTACAAGATAGTAAGAATTAAATAGGTTTATATCTTTTATATGTACCTATAATAAAGGTTTCTGTTGACTGAACAAGTAGACATTGAAGCAATGTTTCTTAAATAAAGATAACAATTTAAAATCAGATCAGTTAATTACAAATTAGCGACTTTCATAGAACATAAACATATTTTTTACATTATCTTAAATATTAAGGAGTGCTTTAGACTCCTCAGCCCCCCACCCTCTCGCTATGTCACTAAAATTGAGTATGTGCATTCACTAATCAATAATTTGTGTACCAAAGTTTATCTTTCGAAAGATAAGTTCATAACTTTTCCTAATTTGACAAGACTATATTATCAAGTATTTACAGGAAAAAAATACGAACATACTTTGCATAATGGGTAGACCAATACTTACCTCGCTACGTTCCGAATCTATAAAGAGGTATATCAAACATACTCTTTGGAATCTACTCTAGACAATGGTAATATTTTTGCCATAAACTTCTCAATAAACGAGCATTTTGTAAAAATAAGAATTTAAAAATTGAGTATTAAAGTACCGACTATTCTAATTGTTGAGATTTTCTATAAAATTGATAAATAATAATAATAATAATAGTAATAAAAAAAACTTGTAGTCCCTGTTGTTTTCTCGCTTTAATCGATAATAAATCGATTGCGAAAAACACAAAGAGGTCGCTTACGATGGAATCCAAAAATAGTTTTTATGTATTGCAGCGGTAAAATAACAAATACAAAGCGGTGACAAATTTTGTTTGTTATTTTAACTCGGGAATTAGTCGGGACATTATTATAATATTATAATTATTTACAAGCGAGCATGCGTGGAACGGAAGAATATTATAGGGCTGTCGGCAATCGGTCATGGACGAAACCAGGCGCCGGGTCGACGCGTTGGTTCCATGACGCGGCGTGGCGTTCGCGGTTACCTTTTCGTTCGGACCGCAGCTCGTAAGCCCCAGCATGGCTGTGGGACGGCGGAGGTGGGAGCGGTGGCCCTGAGACGGCGGACGAGACGGTCGAGCTGGTGTACGTCAGTTTGTGCGGTGGAGGGCGGTAGTCGGTATCCGTACAGCCACGGCTCACACGCCCCTTCGACCCTCCGTCACCGCGCCAGTACCGGCCAAGGCAGTCGACGGGAGCCGCCAACAACGCACCATTGGTCGCATCGAAAAAGAATAATATAGTGCCGAGCGTGCGCCAAGCATTTTGTGTCATAATCGCGTGCGTGCGTCCGACGTCAGCGTCTTATCGGCTTTGTTGTGTGTAGTGCGCTTAGTGTACACACTCGTTTGTGGTGTATTATTTTTATTTTTATTATTATTATTATGTTTGTTTTCCCCTCACATAATACTACGTTCATTATCAGAGATAACATGCTAAAGTAAAGTGCAAAATCGGATTACAGGACGACGACAGCCTAACAAAAATCGAATCGTTCAAACGTTGTTGAACCGTCGACCTCTTTATGCGCGTCATCCCAGTGTGCGTTCGTCCCTTCGTCGCCGTTTTACTAGCTGCTGTTTAATTTCGATACCTAATAATATAATCCGAGGGCGCCGTCCGTGTCCCGTTGTTCAATCATCGTCGCGTTGTTATTATGTGCCCTTCTTTAGTCGCAGTCTCCCGTGACGAGTTGATAATATTGTGAACAACACCGCCATGAATTACATCGTTTTTTTCGCTTCCGTTTGCTTTACCGGTGTCCTGTCCCTGTCCATTCACGAGGACCCCAGTCATGTCGGCCGCATACCGGTCGAGTTCCAGAACCCCACATACAACACCTTCCCCGACAATCATTTTCCGGACAGAACTAAACGGGAAAACGGAATTCTGTCGTCACAAACAATGCCGATGCCGATTGTCGTCTCTAGCGGAAACGTAACTTCCAAAGTAAGTATTTACCTACTTAATATAAATTGTATTACTATTATCCAGTCACCTTGAAATCAGAATTACCTATTAGAAATCATACGTCGGTTCCACAATATTAAGAATAAATTACCGACTTAATCGAAAAATCATAAATTACAAAATTACAATTTTAGATTCTGAGCGGAACTTGCCTGAATATACAATGGAGAAGTAAAACTATATCTATGATTCGTAAGGAAGTACTTGTTTAACTTTAAAATTTCACGAGCAACTTTTTTTTCAGTATTTGAAAAAAAAATTCACTAATAGCACATTCAAATTTGTTTTTTTCAACACACCTAATTTTTAAGAACATAATGTACTGCATATTATGTATTTTATATTGTCTTTGAATACCTATAGGTATTTTGACAACAAATAATTATCAGGTATCTAAACTTTTTTATTTCACAGATAGTTATTTATGATAACACTCGTGGCTTATACACTTTATTTTATTTCATTAATAATTTTTTTTTTCTATTTAATCAGTCACCAAGGGAACCCAGAAATCAATGAAAATCTCAAAGACCTTGTTTCAGTCACCCTTAAAGGTTGAATTTCGGAAATCCAGCTTTAAATCATACTGACCTTTTCAGACCTCTTCATGTGAAAGATTCTGCTTTGACAAACAGTTCCTTTTATTCAAGTTTTTATTATTGTTGAGATTATTATAGACTAGCTGAGTCGTTTACTCACTATGTTATTTAGATTCTGAATAGCACCTATATTTTAAAAATTATTATAAACAATGTATCTATCAATTTTATTAATTTAAATTAAAATATTGTAGGTAACTGTGAACTGTCCTGGGTGTGTAAGTACCTAAATAAAAACAATTTTGATAGACAAATATATATATATATATATATACATTTATATAATGTAGAATCAATTATTGATAGGTGTTGCAAATTTTACTAGACATCTCAAGTAGTAGGTACAATTTTATATTTTTAATATTTGATTTATTAAACTATTTCATTGTATATCTAAGTAGTTTGAGATTTGTTTCTTATTGTTTATATTTAAAAGATCTAAAAGATAAATTCCATATTTACTTTATATCTATATGTTTTGCTTATTTAACAACATGTAAAAAGCTAATCATTCCGCTATTAATCTAATGATTAAAATTGTATTACTTAGTGTCTAAGCAATAGCAATTCAACAATATCTGGTGACAGTGATGTAAGTTTTCAAGTTATCACACAGTAATTGAAATTATTATATTTAAAAATTTATAACATGATTAAATGATTAACTGTAAGCAGTGGCGTAATTATGGGATCGCACTTGCAACGCCCAAAGATAATACTGGTGTTGCAAAAGTATTGACCCCTGTATTTATGGTTTTTCATTAGCAAAAAATATTAAAAAAGGTTTGAAAATAATAAAATTATATATTATCAATACTCCACCAATGAAAATATTATAATTGAATAAAATTTACAATTCACTATTTTACTGTTATAAATTAAAGAAAAATAAATCTATTTTTAGATTAAAACTATTCTGTAGTCATATTTTTACTTAAAATATTTGATTTATTATTATAATTACATTTTTTTATTTAAGTTATGGAATATTTTAGTTACAATGAAACCTCTATTAATGGACACCCCTTATAAATGGGCACAATACATGTGTATACCGAAAATGTTTAAGTAATAAAAATACTATACATATTTATTTGTTATACATTTCGTTCATATTTTATCTTATCTTAAGAAGACATTATCTCGCATTTACTGTCTCAGTCCAACTACTGGGTAACATACAAAAACAATGTTTATTCAGAATAAGTAAAACTAGCTTAATTTTAATTTTAGAATAAATGTACCTATTATGAAATGTATAGAGAACAATATTTTGGAAGAAATGTCTTTGGTGTTTTTTGAATTATGAACCATTAAAAAAATTGTATTTTTTATGTTAAGCTATATATTTTGAATAATATAAAAACCATTCCCTCCAAAATATTGTTATAAATTTCATGATAGGTATTTTTACTCTAAATTCAAAATTAAACTAATTTACTTATTCTGAGTAAGCATTATTTTTGCATATTACCTCATAGTTGGACTGACAGTAGATGCGGGTATAACATCCTCTTAATGGTTTTCCTATTCAATAAATGACAAATGGTTTGGTTATGTTTTTGGTCATCAGTTGTGTACTATAAAAATGTACACAAAATAGATTATATATTTTTTAATTGTACATAAATATTTAACATTTTTATACATATACCTACATATGTATGTAATAACTAAAAAAAACAAACTAAACTTAATATTTATCATATTATCATAAACAATTAAAAAATTACAGTATAATAATAATACATTTTTTATGAATTATAATAATTAATACCAATTATAATGTGTATGTATATGTATAACCAATTCTCTATAGCGCCTCCCTATAATGAACGTTTTGTAATGTCTCGCAAATTTATCCACTATGTTGAGGTTTTTTCAATAGTGGATAACTCTATAGTAGACATTTTTAATACCTCATGGCTCTCCACTATAAAGAGATTTCACCGTATGAGTATTAAAAAGCAAACAAAAATTGAAATAACCAATAAATGTATAAATCATTACTATAAATATATTTAAATACGAGATCAACAGTGAAACATTTATAATTTGAAAATTCTGAATTTTGTATTCTAACTGTAAAAGATTAAATTAAATTCATAGTTTTTAGTAATTATATGTACTTATATAAGAAGAATTATATAGATTTATAATGCATTTTATATTAATAATATATAATAATATGATTGTATTAACACGTTATTTGTTTTTTTATGTTGGACATCTTGAGTAATTATTTATTGAAACCCCTGTAATTACGCAACTGATTGTAAGTTATTAATTAAAGTATGCTTTTTACTTAAAATAAAACAAATTATGAAATTACTTTAATAATATACTACTGTTAGTAACTACATAAATATGTAATGCATACTAATACAATTTCTGTCTTAAAATAGGTATTATCATTTTAACAAATAAAATATAATTTTAAATTATTAAAATTTAATTAATTTAATTACCTATTGTTATTATTGTTTATCAATATTAAAAAATTTTAAATCAAATAACATTATTTTAACAACACTTATTAACACCTTTTAGAATATGACTCTAACATTATTATTTTATTGAAGCTTAGTAAGTTCAATTAAATAATGGTTTCTGTGGTGGGAATATAATAGATAATAATTTTATCACTTTATACAAATAATAATCACCAAATGTATGTGCATGTTTTTATTTTTTATTGATATTGCTTAAGTTTGTTATTACTTATTAATACCTATTCGAACTATAGGTACCATTTATTTAATCCAATTTTTAAATATATTACAATTATGTTATTATCCAAACATCAGGTCAAGTAATTTTTAAAATAAAAAATGCCCTAGCAAATTGTTTGAAAATTTAGTACTATTATATAATTAAGACTAAATATGATTCTGCTTTTATGAAGTACCTATTTTATTACTCCATAAATAAGTAGAATACCTTAAACAATTAAGCTACTACCTATACTATTATATTTAAAATGAATTAAATAAAACAATACACTCATATATTTTTCTAGGCAATTAACTATTTAAATTAGTATTTCATTTAGCGTTTATATTTTAAAGTTTATTAAATTTCTTTATACATATTTATGTTTTATTCACTAATTTTATTTACCAAATTGGATAAAATTAATGACTTATAGTTATTGATTAAACATTCAATGAGTTCAATCATTTCTTTCAATAATCATTTGTGTTGTTTTAATAATAAATTAAATAAAACATTATGTAGTTAATGTAAAATAAAAATAGGTTTCAATATATTCTATTTAATATATCATACTTCAGTATTATCCATATTAAAATTATTTTTTGGAAGATATAAGCAGTGAAAAAAATAAGTAACTATTTTTATAATATACCTTGTATCCATGGAAGTAGGCTACATTTTCAACTCAATATTAGGATGATCCAAATTTATATAGGCTTGACATTTTCTTGAGAAATTAAAAATGAATTCTCCCCCCCCCCCCCCAAAAAAAAAAAAAAAATTTTTAACTGATATGAAAAATAATTTTATATAAATATGGACTCAATAACTCATTCCCTTCCCATGCCAAAATAGGGTTGAACTATGACACAAGGGTGTTTTTTTTTCTGTTTTTTTGGACCACCCTACTATATATATATAATATTCCAATTATGTTTACAGACCATTAAACTAAACTAATAGATCATACTTTTTTTAATGACAATCCCTATTTTAAATATCATTTTCGGATTCATTGATTTTTTTTTTCAAGTTATTTTGATATATAAACTTGTATTCTAAATCCAAAATTGGCCAAATAAGAGCTTTCTATTTTAAATTCCAAGTATTTTTTAAATATTAATTATGTATTATTTTATTTTATTTATACTCATGAAATACCTTAGTTAAAAACATATATTTTTTAATTTTGTTCATTGGAAAAATAATAATTTTCTAACCATTTACTTAACAGAAACTATAAAAATAAAATACCTTATCGATAAATTATTAAAAGATTGCATGCCTCAAATCAAGATAAACATTTGCGGGTACATAAACATTCAGTAAAATTCGAAGTTGCTGCCATTTTCTGATTTTCATAAGTCTTAAATATTTATTAGAGGATTAGCAACAGTTTTTAAGTGTGCCAAAAAAAAAAAAATCCAATGATGTAAAATCAGGTAATCTTGGGGGCCACTCTACGTGTCCGTGTGTTGAAATAAGTTCACCAAATTTCATTCTTAAAAATTCTTTGACAATTCTTGCTTTATGAACAGGTGCTCTGTCTTACTGATAATAGAAGTTTTTACTTGTAGTTTAGAATTAAGAAGTAATGACAAATTATCACCCAAAAAATTTAAGTATCCCTCCATTAAATTTTCGTCAATAAAGTAGGATCCCAGTAATTTCCCATCAATCAAAATCAAAACAATTCATAATGTTTGAAAAGGAGTAGGAACAGTCTAGTGAGTATTTGTATTCGACTAAAAACGATTATTCTGTATTTAATATTTCATTATTAGTAATTTACTTTAATCAGTCCACAATATATGATTAATAATGAATCGTCCTCAGACTTCACCATAAACCTAAATTTTTTTCTAGATCTATTATACATAAATGTTGGACAAGTTCTGGTTTATAAAGGTGGAGTTAGTTTTTCTTTAATAGATATCTTATGAACTATACTTTTCAATACGCCAACTTCCAATGTTTCCAATGTGTCTAACAGACAAATGTAGATTAAGATGTGCATATGCATAAATTTGATTTTATCCTAAATTACCTCATTAAAATCTTGAATTCTACCAGGTTGATGTCGGACAGGAAATCTATCGAATAAACCATATTTTATCCATGATTTTTTCAAGTTGTTGAACATAAGTGAAATAGGTATGGTAATAATCTGAATATTGTCCAGTAAATATTCTTGCTGTTTTTTGTGCATTTCCGTTACACTTTTCATAGATTAACAATAATTGAACTTTTTCATGGTTATTCATAATTAGTTTTGTGTATAAAAATAACAAAATACCTATTAACCAACTTTATTCTTGTCAATAACGAACAGAAAATTTCAACTGAACCACAATGCTTAATGCACATGATTAGATTAGATTAGAATTATAGATATAGGTCAGGGGTGGCCAAACGGTTGATCGCGATTAACAGATGATTTAAATTTCAATCTCTATTCTGTTATTAAATTATGAATTTATCTTAATATATTATCTTTATTTTATTTGTAAATTTATCAAGTAATACCAATTCAACAGTATATCCTGATAATTGTATTTACAATAATATTACCTATATTAGTCTTAATAATAGTGTGATGAAAAAAATGATATAAACATTCTGGTTGTATTATTTTATACATGTATGTTTATTGTTAATACCTATTAAGTATTTTATAATTATACAATTTTGTTAAGAAGTCGATCCTCCAAGGAAAAATATATTAATAGGTCTCTACCAAAAAAGGTTTGACCACCTCTGGTATAGATAATTCCTAATGTAATAATAAATAATAATTAAATAGCTCTGATGGAATGAGATACATAGTACACACATTTAGAAATAAAATAAATGTTTACATCAATTTGATGTATGCACTTTACACAACTGAGAGATCTTTATTTGTATTTAGAAGGAAAAAATAAGTATAATTTACAAAAAACAAAAATGTTGAAATTTAACAAAATGTTATTTTTAATTTAAAATAGCTCTCATTTGACCAATTTTAAATTTAGAATATAAGTTATACATTAATATGACCTGAAAAAATTATAACCAGAGTATTATGGAAGTCTAATTTTTGTTTATAAATAACTAATTGGTCCTTGAAAGTAAATTTGTATTATTTAATCTCTTCCAACTATTTATTTTGTCAATAATATTGTAACTGGTATAATATATTACCAACTTTCGAAATTATTTTTAAGTGCCTAGTTACAAATTATAATTTTTGAACTTATTTAACTTTAATAATAGATCCTTTTATCGTTTTTAAATAATTGTAATTCATATTTTTTAATTTTATATTAAATTATGTTTTCGTTAGATGAACATCCCAGTAAAAAATGATTAAATATTAAAACTCTTTTGTAATTAATTCTATTAACAATATTATAGGTTCCTTTTATTCAATTATCAGAGGTTTATTTCTTAATTACCTAATATTATTTTAATATTAAATTAATCTAAATAATATGTGTATATATCAAATGCCAAACATTTGTTATTATTATATTGTTTATGTATTCAACTTTATTTATTTTTATATGTTCATATTTTCATAATAAATATATTTATATCAATTTATTCACAATTTGTTTTTTTTATTATTTCACACAACTTTTGTTTATTCTTTTATTGTTAAATAATTGTTTATATTGATTTATTTAGGTTATTCATTTAAATGAAACCCGACAACAGTTGATGGTACATTGGGTCGGTGAAAATTCAAATGTTATTATATGTTTGGCTCGTGAAGGATATTCATCTTCAGCTATATATATATCGTATGACTATGGAGATACTTATAAAAATAAGACGGATGATTTTAAAATTGATGCCTCAAAAAACATTTATGCCTCGATTGACAAATTTTATATACATCCTACTCATAAATCATATGTAATTTGTTCTTTTTGTACTATAGATGTATTGAATTAATAATTTATTAACTATTTATTCCCTCCTTAGTGTGTGTACACAGATGTATTGAATCGTAAAATATTTACAACAAATGATCATAGCCAACATATAAAATCAACTCAACTGTCATTTGTGCCCAGTGAAGTGACCTACAGGCCAGATTTACCATTTGTGTTTGTTGTCCATGACAAAGTTAGCCCTAACAAACAAGTGTGTATAATTTTTTTCTTTTAAATATTACTATGATCATTATATTATTTTAAGGTCATAATATCATAACACAACTATTATATTTATTATTATAACCTTTTATTAGTGCTATTACAATATTTTAAATAACATTGGTCAGCATTTATGTAGGATGTTTCTATATTTTTCATTTCCTGTTCTCGAAATCAAATTGATTATGCAGGGAATTTATTACAGCATAACAGGATGTGAAAATCTCTATAACTATTATTTATAAATTATTGAACTAAATTGTTTGAATATGGTCATTGGTCAATCTATTTTATATTAAATGGGATTCATGTAAATTTTTTTAATATGTTTGTTATTATTCCTTTTAAATTAAAATATTTATAATATGTACGCTTACATATTAACTTAGGTTTGACTTATAATAAATTTTCAATAAATATCAATTGCATGATTTAAATTTAAACTACATAATATTACACCAAGATAAATTTTTTTCTAACAAATTGTTTATTTAGATGACTGAGGATTGATATGATTTGTTCAAATATGTTAGTCAATTTCCAATGCAGCTAATATTAAAATATCTCCCATCTCAGTTTTTCCCACTTTGAATTTTTTATATTTGTATGTAGGTAGTGGGTATTGAAATTATATTAAAGAAAAAATATGTTTTTTATTTTGGGCATAATATGTCAAATCACAGTTGATCATACAGTATTAAAAAGTTTAATGTGTGAACATTACAAATAATTAATTTAGAAAAACTTTGTTTATAAATGATTTCATATCATACTAGTTTTCATTTAAATTATTTAACTATTTCTTTTAGTTATGGATAACTCATGATTTTGGTAAAACATGGACCATGCTTGAGGAGCATGTAAAATCATACTTTTGGATTCCAGCAACTTGGGATTTATATAAACGTGGACATTCATTGATTATACAAAGAGAAGAATCAATGAATTCATCTAATATTATTGCTGTTTTGGAAAATGTAAACTCTGGTCAAAATAGTTTAACTACTTTAGCTGTAAATGTATTGCAGTTAAAAAAATACTTAGACTATATGTTTGTGACTACTCAATTATCAAAGGTAAGCGAATAATTGTTTTATTAGTTTATACAATTATTATTTTTACTTTATTTACTGTCTAATATAATTTATTTATTAATTTTTTAGAATAATTTAGATTTAATGATAAGCTATAAAGGTGGGGATTTTGTTCGAACTCGTTTTGACACTGAACTTGACAGACGTGATTACTATATCGCAGATATTACTGCTGATAGAATTATGGTTGCTGTTGCTCATACTCGAACTTTATCAAATTTATACATTTCTGATGTAATTCAATCTACTAATCAAGACACAGTGACATTTACTTTGTCACTTGAAAGGGTTGTCGCTTATTTTCCTAACATCACATGGACAGAATCTCTTATCAGGTATATAATTTTTTTTTATTATTATTAAATACTATAAATTAATAGCAAGACTTCCAAAAAAAATTGTCTTTAAATATTTGAACACATCAAGTGTGTCACATCCTAAATAAATTATTAATTTTTTCCAATTTAATTGTTTAGTGATTTGTGGACAGAACCATTTGCAGACATACATAAAGTGAAAGGTCTCCAAGGAATTTATATTGTATCACAAATTTCATCCGCAATGCCAACAGGAAGTGTAGACATAGGCCCAGAACACATTGTAACTCTTATCACTTTTGATTGGGGTGTTAGTTGGAGATTATTGAATGTTACACGTGCTTTCTCTCATTGTGAAAAGGTTATATATATATTTAACTTATTTGTTTAATTTTTCTCTAACTGGTGATTGATTTTTTTTTTTTAGCCTGATAATTGTTCATTGCATCTTACTCAAATGTTTGCTCATGTTTATCCTGTCACCAGAACACATACATTTATTTTGTCATCTAAATCTGCTCCTGGAATAATTATAGCTACTGGAGTAGTTGGTAAATCATTGAAAGGCAACCCTGGTGTTTTTGTCAGTAGAGATGCTGGGCTCACATGGAGACAAGTGTTAAAAGAAATGCATTTTTATAATATGGGTGATTACGGAGGAATTTTGATAGCTGTGCGATACTACAAAGGTGATAAAGAAGAAACTAGTCAAATTCTTTATTCGACCGATGAAGGGGAAACATGGCTTGAACAAAATTTTACCAACAGCAAAATAAAAGTTTATGAATTAATGACAGAGCCTGGAGAAAATACTACGGTTTTTACTATGTTTGGTTCAGTTATGGAAAAACATGAATGGTTAATAGTTAAAGTCGATCTAAAGAATGCGTTTTGTAAGTATTATATTATTATAGACCCATATTCCTAAATTATTTGAGTATATTGTTCTATCTAAAATTCAGTCTAATAAACCCCATCCTCATGGATGAACAGCTAAGGTTCTGTTCGAGTTGCTCGACTACAACTTGTAACTACATCTTTAAAGAATTTAGTGACCATTCCCAAATAGATATTATTTATACAGATTTCTCCAAAGCTTTCAACTGTGTTGATCACTTAACATTAATAAGTGTTTTTATCAATCCAGTTTTAGAAAACCGCTTTTATCATAGTTTCACTTTTTCCTTGTAGATAGGAAGTGGGTGAAAAATCATGGGGGATCTTTCCAGCTACTTCAGACGTCCTCTAGGGAGGATATCTCTCCGGTACTCTTCTCTCTATTTATTAATAGTGTTAACCTAGTATTGGAACATGTATGCTTACTAGCCTTTGCAGATAATATCAAATTATTTTATCGTGTCAATTCGTTTAGTGATTGCTATACCCTACAGGACGAATTAAACAGGGTTGTTACTTGGGCTTATAAGTTAGGGTTGACGTTTAATATAGCCAAATGTCATTTCTTCACTTGTTGTAAATCTCCCATAGAGTTTACCTATTCCATCAATAGATTTTTCCTTGGTTCGTTGGAGGAATTCGTCACTAATCTTGGTTCAACTCTCAGCCCTAATTTGCACGAAAAGCGGACATGCTGCAAGCCCTCAATACATTAGAACTAATGAAGCATATTTCCTTTGACTTTAAGCTAAAATCTTCCTTAAAGACTCTTTATTGTTCGCTTTTTAGGCCAATTTAAAAGTACGGATCTGTCATTTGGAACCCTCTTCCGGCAGAAAACTCACTTATGCTTGAGGTTGTTCAACGCAAATTTTCAAATTAAATTGTTTATGCTTTTAAGATTGAGTATCCACCGCACGATTATACACCTGTCCTCCATTTTCTTGGGTTAGAAATTTTGACCAATCGTCTGCGCGCCTGCAGCCTTGTCTTTTTGGTCAAACTGTTAAAAGGATAAATTGATTCTCCCTTTTCACTCCCTACCTCTACTACTAATTATGATCTTAATAAGTCTCCGACTTTTTTTGTTTTTAGCAAATTTGGACCCTTGTTTTATATTAGTTGTATACAATTGTTATACTGATAAATAGTATTTGTTGGGCACATAGCCCTTATCTTTTGTAAATGAATAAATTTAAAAAAATATTTATTTTAGATTCAGAGTTTAAGAATCTGTTATAATATGTTTTTTTTTTTATTAAAAGACTTCCGGCTAGTAAATATGAGTATATTATGTTTATATTTTCCAAAAGTTACATTAAATTATATACATTTATGGTAATACTTCAGATGTGTGATATATTTTTCAATTTTTTAGAAGATACAGATTTTTTGCCAAGCAGTATTTTATTTGATAAAAAAAACTGATGAATATTTATATAATGGGTTCAATTTTGTTGACTTCTGGGTTACCCTAGTTGCAAGGAAATAACTATGACTAATACTATTCTCTTTGGAATTGTTGTTTGATGATTATAGTTTAATTTTGCTTTAAATTTATAAATTAAATTACTCCAGATATGTTTAGTGCAAATTACATCAAGTATTTTTTTTTTTTTTTTAATCATTTGTTGTATTAATTTTTACAGCATATAACTGTACCAAAGATGATTACAAATCTTGGTCGCCTAAATCGTCAAAAGATCATCTAAAAACATCATGTGTACTTGGTCAGACACAAACATTTCAAAGAAGAGCACCCAAAGCAAATTGTTACAATGGAATAAATTATGATAGACCTATTCAAACTATTACGTGCGATTGTGATGTTGAAGATTTTACATGGTAAAATATTGAAATATATTTTAATGTTAATTACTACCTAGGTATCAAAATTGAATTGTTTAAATTTATTTTTAGTGATTATGGATTTACTTGGCAATCAAGTTCAAAACAATGTATTAGAAATAAGACAATTAACATTGATCCTTATGTATTGCCATCTTTTTGTAAACCTGGTCTAATGTATAATCGTACAAAAGGTTATCGTTTAATACCTGGAGATATGTGTCAAGGTGGTCGTGCATTAGAATTTATGCCTCAAGAAATTCCATGTCCATTTGAGTATGTCTACTATTTATTCAAAATTATACATTTTAATTAATGAGTATATTTTTTCCAGAGAAAGACCAGAATTTATATTAGTTGCTCAAAAAGATCGTATCCTGAGATTGAGTCTTAATAATAAACCATATGAGGTATTACCTGTGCGTAAACTAGATAATGTCATAGCTGTTGAGTTTGATGTGAAAAATAACTGCGTTTTCTGGGCTGATATCGTTACAGATACAATTGGGGTATAATATTAATAAATAATTTGAATAATTCTATTTTAAATTTATTATTTTATTAATATTTATAGTTAATTTTCTTTTAATTTGTTGCAAATCTATAAGTTAATTATTAATTTTTAGCGTCAATGTCTGTCTGATGGCAACGAAGGTCCGGAAATTTTGGTAAATACTGGACTTAGTAGCGTTGAAGGAATGGCATATGATTGGATTTCTAAACATCTTTATTTTGTTGATGGCACTTTATCTAAAATTGAAGTTATACGTACTGATACTAAAATTCCTGGGCATATCCGTCGAACTGTTTTAGGTCCCAATCATTTAAAGAAACCTCGAGGAATAGCTATTCACCCTAGAGCTGGGTAAGTAGAGATTAGGAACAAAACGACAAATTAAAAAACAGGTATTAAGATAACTATTTTCAGTTATTTGTTCTGGACTGATTGGGCTATTGGAGAAGCCAAAGTAGCAAGATCTAATTCAGATGGATCTGATATAAAAACATTAATTGGTAATGAATCTGTTGAATGGCCCAATGGGCTAGCTGTTGATTATATAGCTGAACGTTTATACTGGGTGGATGCTCGACATGATTATATTGCTTCTTGTGATTTACATGGAAATAATGTTAAAAAAGTTATTAAAAATGATGTAAGTATTATTGATAAATAATAAATATTAAATACTAATGGAGTGCTTATTTCTCATTTTAGGAAAAGGTATCTCATCCATTTGCCGTAGGTATTCTTAAAGATTGGATTTATTGGGACGACTGGAAACAAAATTCAATATTTATGTCAGATAAAGATCATGGAACTAAAATACAAATAATTGAAACAAATTTAGTTGGATTAATGGATTTAAAAGTATAATATATTGTAGATTTTTTTTTTATTTAATAGTAAATATTTACTTATATTTTAGGTATTCTCTCATATGTCACAAACTGACACCAATGAATGTTCAACTAATAATAAATGCTCTCATTTTTGCTTTGGTTTACCCAATCAAAAGTTTTCTTGTCAATGTCCTGACAATATGAGTAAATCGGATGGTATGTGTCTTTGTCCTGGTTCTAATGATCCATTTATCAATGGAACCTGTCCATCGGGTAATTTTCAACAGTTTATTTTTAGCAAATTATATAATTAGCCAATAAGTACATATTTTAATTTTTCATATTTTCGATAACAGTTGGTCATACTTGTTCAGTTGATTATTTTCAATGCTCTAATGGTAATTGTATCCCTAAATATTGGCAATGCGATGGTGATAATGATTGTGGAGATTCATCAGATGAAGTAAGTTTTTCATTAATAACATTTTGTATTTAAATTGTTTAACTTAAATCTTGTTTATCAATTAAATTTAAATTTAAATTCTTTTATAAATAATTTAACTTGTTTTAAAACTAATAAAAAAAAAAAAAAAAAAAATTATGAGACTTATACAATAAATATACGAATAAAAATGTAAAAGTATAAAATCAAAACAAAAAAAATTGAAAACATTGAAATAAGTATTTACATAATGGAATGACTATATATTTTTTTTTACAACTTTGATTAAAATTGCTCTCTTAAACATATATGTGTGTAATATTTTGATAATTGTGATAATTATAATTGTTAACAATTCAAATATTTGTACCTTCATGTGTCTCAATCCAACTAATACACAATATAGCAAAATCTTGCTTATTAAGACTGTATAGAGCTTGCTTGATTTCGATTTTAAAATAAAATCAATTATTATAAAATGAAAATAAGATAATATTCCGGAAGGCAAGACTATTTGTTTTTTCATATTATTCTGAATATAACGTTCAATACATTGTTTAGAAATAAAGACTAATTCATCATTTTTAAATTATTGTAATGTTAAAAAAAAAACCTCATCGTCTTTCTTTTTAGAATATTGTCCTCTTTTAATTTTATAATATGTACTTTTCTCTAAAACCAAAATTAAACGAACACTACACAGTTTGCATATGGTAGATTTTTCTATATTGCCTGTTAGTTTGACTAAGACAGCACATGTAGATATCACATTCTCTTAAGCCTTGTCAGGTTAGAGTTAGTGTATTAGTGTTAAATATACAATATTGTATTAAGATATTATGTGTAGTAAACTTATTTTTCTTCCCTGCCTTACTGTTGATAACAATTTATTTGTATTTATTATCTAGTCAAAGTGTAGTAAAGTCTCATGTGGTCCAAACTCTTTCCAATGTAACAATGGAAAATGCATTCCATCATATTGGAAATGTGATTTTGATCCAGATTGCGAAGATGCATCAGATGAATTAAATTGCAGTAAGTATATTTTTTGTTTATTATTATTTTATTATAAATAATCTTCTATAGAAATCTTAGTCCAAATTTCAAGAATTACATTTTTTCTGAAGCAAAATGTTATCTAGTTTGTGAGTAAAAAAGAATTTGTTGTTTAATTTTCCATAGTGTTTTCCAAATAATCACGAAAAGCCAGGAAAAACCATAAGAAATATGGCAAAGTGTATGACATTTAGTTTTTTTGTTATTAGGTTAAACATTTTTGTAGACTGTGAAATTTTTAAAAAATTCTAGCTATTTTTAAGCTATTAATGGGTATTTAATATTTTTGTGTATTTTTACTTGGTATTTGGATATCTGTTATTGAAACTATATGGCTTAAGAAAAATGTTTGAAAATTGTATACAAAACACATAAGTTGCACTTAGTGGTCTAAAAAACAAATTTGACTTTTTAATGCTTATTTTTTTTCTTTTCTTTTTTTTTTTCCGTGTGTTTTAAAATCAAATTTTGACGGAAAAATAAAAATTACAGCACTACAAAATATGTCCTACCAAACTTTGTTTTTAATCTTTTTTCATTAGCAATGGTTTATTGTTGCATACAGATTAAATAACTTAATGTTTCCTATCTTTCCAACATACAATCTACAACAGTGACTACACCTGTCCCTAGTATCAACTCTTTTTTATTTATTATTAGTTTAAAACATTTTGAAATTAAAATTACATAATCAAGTTATATTATAATATACAATATAGCATAATCGCAATCAATGAAGTTCTTGAATCTATATTAAGTTTAAACTCAGTTGTTGTACACTAAAAATTATATATTACATATTATATTGAATACTTTCAGAGTATTCCAATTGTTCTGATACACAATTTCGTTGTAAAAATGGTCGATGCATTACAAACCATTGGCGTTGTGACTTAGAAGATGATTGCCATGATGGATCAGATGAAGTTAACTGTACAAACATTACTGGCAATTCTTCAGCTACTTGTCAATGTAAGTATATTATATATATATAAGCATATTATATTTATTAGTTGAACAATGGACATTTTGTTTTTATTTTAGCAAGTCATTTTCTTTGTCCTGGTACATTCAGCACTTGTATTCCCATGAAATGGCAATGTGATGGCGAATCAGATTGTCCAGAAGGTAAAGATGAACTAAATTGTAAAGTTGCTAACTGTGAATCTTGGCAATTTGAGGTTTGTATTTATTATGTTGAAAAGTCTTTTAAATAGATTGTTTATTGTAACAATTATTTTGTTTTTAGTGTGCCAATCATAAATGTATATTTGCATCTTGGAAATGTGATGGGGATGATGATTGTAATGATGGGTTTAAAAGTGATGAAGCTAATTGTTCGTCTACTACTAGAGCTTATCCTATTGAACAAACTACTCAATTACCATTTATCACTAATGTTAGTAACTATATTTATATATATTAACAGTTTTTTTTTTTTTTTTATGTATTAATACATTTTAATTTGTATTAAAATATTAAGGGTACGTGTAGTGAATGGTTATTCCGATGTAACAATGGCAAATGTATTCCCTATTGGTGGAAATGTGATAAAGTATTGGATTGTGAAGATGGATCTGACGAGGAACAATGCGGAACAGCAGCACCAATAGATGTTCAAAAAACTATCACTACAAAAACTATTACTGTACCAACTGTAAAAAACATGTGCCCTAAATTTTATTTCCAATGCAATTCTGGTTTGTTTTCTTTTTTTTTTTCTTGTTAATTTCACAAAGATATTAATTACTTAAACAATTTTTGTTTTTTGATTTTTAGGTTTATGTATTGAAGATTCATGGGTGTGTGATGAACTTCCTGATTGTGATCAAGGCGAAGATGAATATAATTGCAAAAATAATAATTTTGTCGGCCGTTGTAAAAATAGTAGCAGAGAATTCAAATGTCGTAAGTCTGGATCGTGTATTAACATTGAAAAAGTTTGTGATGGCACTCCACAATGTCCAGACAGAAGTGATGAAGATAATTGTACCAACAACAATCAAAGTAAGCATTATCGATAGTATCAATTATTATTTTGTTATTATAATTTTATAAAATTCAATAAAATTAACCCAAATTATGTAGCTCCAGCAACACCTAGTTGTGGATTGGGTCTATTCCCATGTGATGGTAGTAGATGTATACCAGCATCATTACGGTGTAATGAGCATAAAGATTGTTATGACGGCACTGATGAAGATTATTGTGACATAAACAATACCAGTATTCAAGTGAGTTTCTGCATTTATCACAATAATTTAATTTATTTTTTATTTATTTTTTTATTATTATTATCAGGTTTCATTAATGTTTATTGATGAACATGAAACAACTTCAGATTCCTTAGCTTTATACTGGGTATCACCAAGAAATTTGAGTTTGGAATATTTACCATCTATAAGTGAATCTCGCATGTCTGAAACTTGCGTAAATTATACATGGATATCTGATACTAGTTATAAATTTACTTCACTGAAGCCATTTTCTTCATATAATATGACCGTATATGTCCGTCAAAAAGATAAGCCTGATATTATTTATCCACCAGCATTTTTCATTTTAGCATCAACTGCTGAAGGTGGTATGTATAATTTAATAGCTGTATATGATAACCAAATTAATAATTATGTATAAAAATTTTCTCATCTATAAATTTAATTTATAGTTCCAAGTGCTCCGATTAATGTAATAGTTAAACAAGTAAATGCCGAAGAAGTGTTAGTAACTTGGACTAAACCAGAAAATCCAGCTGGTCGCATTTCATCATATAATGTTTATGTTGAGCCACCACACCCGCCTATGGTTTTATCTGTAGAAGCTGATTTTACCAATTCTACCCAGTCATACCCTGTTCGATCATCGTTATATCGTAAATCTATTTATTACAGTTTTTGGGTATGAATTATAATTTATTGTTAAATAATAAATATTATTGACACAAACTTTGTTTTTAGGTTACTGCTAAGTCATCAGAATTTGAATCTGAACCTTCTGCAGTAAAAAGATTCCAATTTGATGAGGATTCATTAGTAGACGTGAATTTAAAATTAAATGTAACTGGAAGATCAGAACACAGCCTTACTTTAACTTGGGATAGTGTTAATCATGCAGAGAGTTATAGTGTTGTTGCTTCAGCACCAGTTAAAGATGGACCATATCCTTATTCTGTTCAATCATTTAATGTATCCAATGAAAAGAAAATGGTACACTTTATAAGTAAGAACTTTTTTATTATAAGTAAAAATGAATTATTCTGTTCTATTCCTTATATGCAATTTTTAGTTAGTAGATTGTCTCCTGGTGTGACATACACAATAAATGTAACACCATACAACAAGCGATATGTTGGTATGAAATATACAATTGTGACAAAAACTGAAGGTAGGAATATTAAAATATTAGTTTAATATTCAAACACATATTTTTAATAGATTATAATAAAATCAGGTCAACCATTGCCATGTGTGACAAATATAACTGGCTCTTTAGTTAACATTAAAGATAAGAAAGAATCTACAATTGAAGTTAAATGGAATATACCTAAACCTTTAGGAAAGACAAAATGGCTATATGGAGTCTATTATGGCACAAACACAAATGAACTACTCAGTGGTATAAAAATCTAAAAAAAAATGTTTGTCTATTGGAATTTTAATTTAAAATATTTTGTTTTAGGGCCTAAGTATAATACTTCGGCAACCATAGCTATTTTAAGCAATATTGAATCTTGTACTTCACTTATGATTGATGTTGGTGTTATTGGTCCATACGGTATTGGGCCATTATCTAAGAGACCACTTAATATTATTACTCCATTTGATCCAACAGTTCCACCTAAGGATATAAAAATTGAACAGCTTGAACATACACCAAAAGCCATGATTGTTATTAGTTGGAAAGCATCTTGTCACCCTGTTCAACAGTCGTATAAAGTAATAACATTTAAAATAATTTTTCATCCCTTAATTTCAGTTAAAATTGCATATAATATAAATTATTTTAAGGTTAACATCTTGGAATCTAATAGGAATTTAAATTTTGAAATAACTGTTCCAAATGTATCTGATATTGAAGCTAAGGTTAACTTTGCCACTAATTATGGTGGTAATTACTTTATTCGTGTTTCAACAATAACACCAAATGCTGTACCATCACCATTAATTAATTACCGTGCACCAGAATTGCCTCCTCCGCACCAAGTTAAAGTTTTCAATACTCCAGAAGGCCATTATAAAATCTATTGGAATAAACCTACTTTGCCAAATAGACTTCAAAAATTGTGAGTCAAAATATATATATGTATATTATTATTATTTTTTATGTATAAAATAGTCACATAAATATTACAAATATGTATATCTTTCTAGGGTTATTCATTATTTAGTACATATGTCTGAAGGCAATGATTTAAATGTTACAAATGCTAAAACCTATAGAGCAGAAGATACTCCACTTACTATTATCGATCCACCTACAAGTAGTCAGTTATCAGTAGCTGTACAACTGGCCACAGAAGCAGGATACGTATCTGAGATGTCTGAAGTATTCTCATTTATACCTCATAACGGTAAATACAATATTCACAATAAATTTATTTAACAGTTTTTAATCTTTCTAAATGTAATATTTTTACAGTTGAAGGTCATACTGCTGAAGTTGTAGTTGGTGTCAATACAGGATGGACATCTATGATTCTAGTAATGTTAGTAATAGGACTGTCTGCAGGCCTGGCTTATTTTGTTATAAGACATAGAAACTTACAAAGTAGCTTTGTGCAATTTGCCAACAGTCGATACGATACCAGATCAGGATCAGCTACTTTTACTGGAGTTGATAGTCTTGGTTAGTAATTTAATAGTGTATTAAAAGTAATTTTATTAATATTATTATTATATGATTATAAAATATTTTGTTCATTTTTAATTAAATTTGATTTTCTCTTCTTGTTCATGCTATCTTAGGGTTGGGAATGTTTAAAGGTATATACTATATATTATAAATACTACAGTGCTCTATGTATAGTTCTTTTTTGTTTTTTATTTAATATTCAATTAAAATATATTGACATTATTTGTTGTTTTTCAGATGATGAACCAGCAGTTCAAGGCTTCTCAGATGACGAGCCACTAGTCATTACTTAAAAAATTATCAATCGATTGTTCCGTCATCTGTGATAAATCGTAACCATTTTCTCAATTCAAGTGACATATTAGTTTATATTAATTAGAAAATAACATAAGTCAACTACTTTATAATACTACTTGCCCTAAATAATTTTAATGCTACTGTTTATATTTTATTATTGAATGTGTGATTTTATCTTTTTTTATATTCTAATTTATTTTCTCGTTTTAAACTGTTCATACTGTCCATAACATAACAAATTCTATAAACTATTTCATGTCATAATAATTATCGTACTGCCAAAAGTTTTATAATTTCTGCATTAATTGTATGAAATTATTATGGATTGTCAACATTATTGTAGTTTCCAAATTATACATCAATATCAATTTTTTGTTCGAAAAAACATTAATAATCAATTTTGTTTCCAAAAATGTATGGTCAATATATAATTTTAAAAACAAAATATTATTATTTGAAATATTTGGACTTGGTAACTTCTGTAATACTCCCAAAACAATTTTTTTCAAAATAAACATATTCCCTTTGTTCTATACAGTTTTTAAAATTAGTTTATTATTAAATGTGTCTAGTTTAAATTAAATTGATATTCAATTATTAATTCACCTATTAATAAATAAAATTACAAATAATTTCTACCAATTTAAATTATGACAGTATTTACTACATTAAATACATTTTTATAATTACTAATTAAAAACCCTAATCTATATAAACATATATTTAATTAAATTTAAAAAATTATGATACAAATAAATTATCGCCAAATAAAAAAGAAAAACTATTATTATAATATATATATATACATATAATCAAATATATTATCTAGTAGAAACAATTATAATTATCCTGCTATTATTTATGTTAAACCAATTAAATGGCTATATATTATATTGATAACTGCTCTATTGCTTTATCAATTAAATCCCTGTTTTAATTTCGAAATACAAATAATTATTTGTGCTCAAATATATTTAAAATAATGCCTAAATTGATGATTTATAATCAATAATAGTTCTTAATAGTGTAGTATATTTTAATGAATGTCCATTGATCTTAACTGATAATAAAGATAACCCAATTGTTATATAATTATTTTTTCCTAACATTGATACATAAACAAAACATTTATAAGGGAGACAAAACATATCTGCCTCATTTCTTGGTGGGTGTCCATTTAATATTCTCTATTAAGTAACCTAACACATAATATAAGAGTAAAATAAATAAACTAAACATTTTTTTTTTTTTTTTTTTTTTTTGTAAAATTTTAAATAAATCAATATACTATACTACAATATAATATACAATATTACATAATACTACTATTACTGCTACTATACAATTTCAAGTATTTAAATGCGCGTATTGTATGCTTTGCATAGTTTTTAGGAATAATGTACAATTATGGGATATTATGTTTATGGTTTTTGTTTTACTATTAAACTATTATATTATTGGACAATTAATATTCATCTAAATAAAATTGGAGTACCAAAGTTAGAAATAGTGTTATTGTAAATGTATCTTTTTTTTTATTATTATTATTATTATTATTTATCATTGTATTATAAATGTTATAATAGGTGCAAATATTTTGGGGGAGGGGGAGCTTAACACCCCATAACATTGATTATGAATACTTAGTATTTACTTGATAATGAATTGATTTGGGAGAATTGCCGCCTTTAGATCTCCTAGCCCCAGCCCCCACTGTTGAAACTATAATTGTGAAAAATGTTGAATACATTATATTTGTACAGTATGCAAATATACTCTATATTATAGGTTGTGAAAAATAAATATTAACAGTATATTATATTTATCTGATTAATAGAAACTTATAATTGTTTATTATTGTAATGATTAAATGTTTTAAATTATTGTTTAAATATAGAGTAAAACAATATTATGCTTATTTTGTTTTAGATACAATCTCAACAAAAATATTAAGATTATGTTTCTCATAAGTTTCACAAGTTACAATTGAAAATTTAATCAATTTGTAATCATTTTTAATTTTTTTCTTAAACGCCAATAACATGCAGGCATAATAACATACAACTATTATAATTGTTTGAATAAACATGTGTTAAAATATTAAAAACAAATATTTTTCATGACCTATAACAAAACAAAAAATTATAAAAACAACATTATATACATTCATATATTAAGCTATAATTTTACATTTTACTATCTAATTATACATTAATTTTTTTCTACCTAAATATATTATTTTTATTTTAAAACAAAATTAACATTTATTATCGAGATTTCAAAATGTGTCTATTCATACAAATCGTGCATATTGTTATTTTTATTATTATTATTTAATGTTTATTATTATTACTTATATACATACATATTATTATATCATTTCTTTTAGTTTGCGTTATGACTGATTATATTATAATTTAAGAAGTGTGTTTCCGTCAATACCTTTGTACATTATTATGCTTTCATTTATTATTACTATTATATTATTAATTAATTAATTAATCGATATATACCAAAATATGGTGTAATACCAAAGTAGATGTGTTGGTTTTTAATGTACGAAATTCTAAATACTCCAAACTTGTATTTTTTATTTATTGTCTATAATAACAATATGAATAATAATTATTGATCTCTGTTCCTTTTACCTATTTCTTATTTATTTATTAAAAAAATACTTGTTCATTGGTATACAGCACCACAAATGTGAATATAATTCTTGGACTCATTTTAAGCAACCCATGCTTAACTATTTGGCATACAGCCTTCACAATTCCCTAAAACTAAATTAAATTCAATACTGTTAATAATGCTAATTTTTTATTTATTTTATTTGTTATTATTATAATTTGTAAACATTACAACAATATTTAATAGAAATTTTAAATAATTTTTTTTAATTGCAATTACATTTTCACTGGTTTTCAGTCATAGGAGGGCTAAATTTGTAAACAAAGAATTGATATCTATGATAAAACACTATGTGCTGACAAGCGGTCCTCATTATACTATTTTACATTGGTCCTTACCCAATTTCTTTTTTTATTAATTTTATTTATTTATTTATGAATTAATAGCACAATCAAAAATAGACTGTACAAATAAAACTAGTTATTGTTGGCTAAAGACATCATTCTAATTATGTAGGTGTTTATTGCAAAATATGACCGGCTCACAGGCCAGTAAATAGATCCCTAGAGCATAAAGCAGTCGCTCTAACAAATATGGTGTGTCTAATGATTCCTCTGGTAAAATTCACAAGAAATCTGATACAATGTTCAGATAGTCTTCTATGTGAATGTATCACTAACTAGGTTGTAATTATCTGGTGGATAATCAATTTTTAGATGGTACCCGACAAGCCAATAAAATGGTTCTGGTTCTAGGCTTTGTCAAGTTATTGTATGTCAATATTATATTATTATTAACATATGGGATATGGCATTGCCTTAAGTTTATACAATCAATGGGAGTAATTATTAAACATATATGTAAGTAAGTAGTAAATAGGTAACTAAATTAGAAACAATCTATATTAATACAATAATAATCTTTATAAATAAAAATCAATCACCATATGTATGAAAAATCATTAACTGAGAATGGCTGAGTTTTTTTAGATTAGGAATGTAGATAGCGGCGATCTTTTGATTTTACAATAATATATTTTTTTCTGTCTGTGACAATTTTCTACCAGAAATCTTGTTCCAAAGTATCAAGAGGTAGCACCTTTTCTGAAAAGTTATATAGTTGGTGTACAGGGGATCTCATTTTATGATACCCTAAGAGGTTTTTAAAATAAATACAAAAACCGAAGAGAAAATTATAGGTAAAAGTGCTCACAAATCAGATGGTAGCAAGCAAAATTTCTGCGGTAACGGGATGAAATAAAATACTGCTGACCTAATCTAAACAAAACGAAATCTATAATATTTCATTTCATTTTTATTTTGTTTTAACTTTCGATAATTATTAACTATACCCATTACTTATACACTATAATATGAACCACGTTTAGTGTATATTTTCTATCTCACCGTCCCACACATAACATGACTAGTCTGATCGATGGTTATTTCACATTTGTATAATCATTGACAATCATTATACCTACTGATGATCATGAAAAATTAGATCTAATTTGTCATGCTGATGATGATAATACTTTAACCTCTTTTCTATGACTTCAATACTTTATATAAACGTATAACGAACAAACTAAACAAATATTGGTAATGCGCCGAGTTAAAATCGAATTAAGATATCACGCTTTATCACTTGAACCCGTAATATTCGAATTTATTTACTGTAACTGTTAAGAAACTCGAATTCGTAATATTTTCGATTTTTCTTATCGTAAATGTTTTTTTTAATAATAATAATAGTGATATATTGAAGTAACTAAAATTACAGAAAAAGTACTAAGTAATAAATTATTAAGTGACATAAAGTTGCAAACTCATCATAAGCTAAGCTTGTGTCGGAATACTACTTCATTTAACTTTCAGTAATTGCTGGAAATCATGTGTTGTCCATTAGTTCACTTTGTATTTTTTTCAAAGACAATATGACAATTAAAATAAGTACTTTCCAAGTATTACGGTGTTTACAGCTACTATAAATATCCCCTTGGTCTTTCGTAGACAAACGTGATACACTTGTAAAAACCTCAGTACAATTAATGATCACACGACAATTTGAACATTTTTCTGTCAATGTAACACTTAAACTGTGAATTTGTAGTTATTTTTTATTTTTTTCTTCTAAGAGAATAGTTTTCAAGGTCAATATTTGCTGGTTTAAAATTTTCTATAATTTTCGTTTCTCATTATACTTTGTACGGAATCTAAATAATTGTATCTGTTGCGTTTATGAGAACAGCCAACTGCCAAACAATAAACTATCACAATATTGTGAAATTACTGTATATAAAAAAATGACTAAGAATTAATGATAGAAGTAAATGGTTAAATTACAGAAATATCCAATATAATTATAAGAAGGTACCTACTAAAGTGGACAAAAAATGGAACAGATTTGGAAAATTGGAACTATTTCTGTCAACGTTTTTTCACCAGTTGAAGGTAAAAAAACTGAGATATTATGGTTTTAAAGAATAAAAGGTAGGATCTTAATTCTATTTTTAGCTATTCAAAATATACCATAATAAAATTTGTATTGTCACAGATCAGAAATAAAATTTGTCTTATTCAATTCCATGTTAATATAAGATTGGATGTTTGGAGATAATCAACCTAACTACCAAACGAAATTTTTGATAACATTATTATTATCACACTAATAGCGCTTTATGGTCTATGGTTTACTAACACTACCCTAACCACGGTATACTATTAATGTTATCATTTCAATAACTTCGGTTGTTTACGTTTCAATCTTGAACACATATCTGTAATCTGTATTATGTATTATACTGTTATATTATGTTGATCACAAAATACAATTTTCATTATCGAGTATTTACACAAAAAAAATTCCCAATTAAGTAACTTATATCCTAAAAGTTTTCATCCTAAGAAAAATTCGAAGAATATATTACAATATTTAGTAAGTTTTCAGATCGTTTAACGCGTGTTTATTTTATCTTAATTTTATGCATAATGCTCAACACATGTTGACATGTCATTTTTATTTTATAATACTAATTGCAGTATTTTTGATATAAGTAATTAACAGTTATACTAAATTATTTTTATTTGCTTAGATTCGAAATGCTCGTTAAAAATTTGTTGTAAATGGAGCCAAGCAAAGTTACTAGTAAAACGAGTAGCTTGAAATCATTAGTGCTGAAAGCTTGGGGAGAACGTTGGACAGAAATTCAGTGGGGAATATCCATTAAATCGGTAAATAAATAATTATTTTTAATATTTATAATAGGCTTATTATATTAAGTATTATGTTCTGTTTCGGCACTGAAAATATTATGTATTCTATCAATTAAAAGTATAGAATGTTTTTGTTTCAATTTCTATTTAAGTAAATATAAATTAATTAATGTAAAAAAAAGGTTAAAAATTATATAGTAATGTGATATATAGTAATAATACAAATATGGATAACTAGAATTTAAAATAATCAAGAGAAGCACACAATTCTCATTGGTTTTTCTACTGGATTTTAATAGCTACACAGTTGTATTATTACATAACACAACATTAATTGAATATAAATTTATTTGTTAGTATATTTTAAGAATTGTGTACAGTGAAGTGACAGTTTATAAACCATTTTGTTAATCAGGTGTTATAACATTCTCAAAATGACTGCCAAATCTGAACAATTTGAAACCAACAAATGGACAATTGTATCTTCCAAAAGCCATATACTTGGATCGGGATGTTTATCCCGCAATAATGTATCATCATCGCCATCATGTCTTTGTGACTTTTGTCATTTTTCTACAGAACTACAACTACACCATTTACCTGAAATGGTATTTCCTAAAAATATTTTAGAAATTAAATATGACGGCCATTCTGGGATACGTTTTTGTGCGTTGGATGCTCTAAGAGATGTTGATCCTTTTAAAGCACCTGTAAAAATTGCTTGTTCAAGGGAATGGAAGGAATCTCGAGTTGATACTGGCCTCGTAGATAGAGATGCCAACATGTTTGATTGGACCTATTCAACATACTATGAAGGTACATTATTTGGAGATTCAATTACTGAAGCCACTGATGTACGTATAAATATGGAGAAACTCAAAGAGCAAGAAGAGATACTTTTCTACTCAGACTTGATTCTATTTGAAGACGAATTACATGATAATGGTATTGCTGTATGTTCTGTGAAAATACGCTGCATGCCAAGTGGTTTCTTTGCTTTGTTGCGATACTTTTTGCGTGTGGATGGTGTCATGATGCGAATACATGACACACGTGTGTATAAAGCGGTAGAATGGAATTATTTCTTAAGAGAAGTTTGTCGCAGAGAATTATATACAAAAGAAATACCAGTTGGAAAATCCGGAACACTTACTGATCCTGGGCTCTTTGCGAATACCTTACCAATTGTCTATGAACGGCATGAAAAAATTTCATTTAATGAAATTTGATAAATAGATAATAGTTCAGCTATTTTTAATTGATATAATTTTAAATGTGTAAAAAATAATAAATGTATGAAATTTGATTGTATTAATTACTAACATTAATAAAATATAAACATATCTTAATAGTTTGACAGAGTACTTTTTATAACAATTTTGGTAGGCAACTATACTATGATAGCATTTTAAAAGTTGCTCAAAACATTTATTTGGTCGGTACTGAAAAAAATTTTGCAGTTATGCATAGGAATTAAATTTTTATCATTTGTTTTATAGCACAGTTATAAAACTCAGTCATGTTTTAAAAATATGATATTAACTGTATTCCTAAGCAGAATTCACACCTAAATTATGTAGTGGTGATACTATCGACAACCAATTATAAAAGGTTTATGAGTGGACATGATTATGTTTGCAAGACCTATACAAATGACAAGGCCACATAATTATGTACTTCATAGTAGCCTTCATTGAACATAGTACCAATACTATTATAAAGTATTTTAAGGGATCTTATGAAAACAATTTGTTTTCTTTGCATTTCCCTCATATAGCAACACAGACATTTTTTAATTCCACAATTGCAGTTCTCCAGCTGAGTTTAAGACAAAGGAACCTATTTATGTAAAATAGAGTATTTTACATTTTAAAAGAGAGTATTTATTATTAATTAATATTATATTAGACCTTCAAATAATTTTTTTTTTTTTATTCTATTTCTTATTAAGATATACATATTTAATTTATTTTATTCAAACGAGCTATAATCGTGGAAGTACAGAATATATTTTTTGCTATATACTCAGAGCTAAAACATGCAAAGAAAACAAATTTTAATAATAATACCCCTTAACCAAGTAATCAAAATTAGTTATTAATACTTAATAACTATTATATTATTATTCTTTGGCGTTATTTTTTTTATTATTATTATTAATAATACACTCATAAAATTATTATTTACTATTTAGTTATGTTTATGAATTTTATTTTATTTTAGTATGAAAAATGTCTTTAAATTTAAAATATAAATAATCGGCTGCCTATTATTTAGGTTCTGCCCAGAGGAGTCAGTGGAGATGTCTATAATTTGGCTGACATAATATTATCACAAGCATTAGTGGGTTCATATCCCAATGAACTTGTACTCTCCTACTTACGGCATTCACTAAACTGTCAAGTAAATTTAAATAAATTTTGTTAACTATATAAAAATACTAATATTATATATTATATTATTTATGTGTATTGTATTATTTTAGCTTGTATCCTATGCAGCAATCCTTCAACGTATTAGCAAGTATGATAAGTTCCATAAGAGATCATGTGTTATTGTTTTACTCGATTTCCTCGAGTCTACATTGGTATGTATATATGTATATTTTATAACATCTAGATAATATTAATAATTTTTTTTTTTTCTTAGAATGGTATAACATGTCGAGGAAAACCAGAAGAAAGTGTTCTTGCCGGAGCATTGTTGTCACTGGTGGATTGGCTATTGACATGTATCCGTAGTGGACACTTACCCAAAGACAATGTTGCTAATCGGCTTGAAGATCGTATCGCAAATAAATCTATTCAAATTTTAGAACATCTTCTAAATAATGACTTTATATTTGCTATGCTTTATTTGGCAAAACATGACGACGCTGGTAAGTGCATATAGAGTAATACACTGAAATTCAAAATGTCATTTATAATCATCTATTTGTCAATATAGATTTATACATGCTCATTGTAAACAAGTGTCAAGACATAAGCCAAGAAGTGCAAAATGCAATGGACACAAATATTCCACATGTGCACTCAGTTTTAATGTAAATATTTTGGTTGCTCATTTTGTTCTGTTGTTTTTTTTTTTATTTAGTTTATTTCTCAAGTTTAAAAAAAAAAAAAAAAATATAATAAAAAAAAAAACTAAGATAAAAAGGCAATAATATAGATAACAAATTTGTTTTATTAAAAGTATTAGTAGGTCATATCCTTTTATTATATAGGTATATAATAATATGATACTATATTGTATATACTTTTAATAGTATAGAAAATCATTAATATTATTTCCCGACATATGTTACTCATTTTTTATATAATATTATAGTATTTTTTTTAATATTATAGAAAACACCAAAAGTATTAATATATTTACTTCTAGAATTTTCAGAAAAAAACTGTTATATTATAATATATCAGTTGTTTTATGTCTTGTTTAATATGAAGTAAAATGTTTGTTTTAATAAACAAAAATACAAATAAATGTTATTGAAAAAGCCATGTTTGTAATAAAATACGTGGGAAAACACAACAATTTGGAGATGCATTTTGGTCTTTAAAATTCCCTGAAACCATGTACACCAAGCTACATAATTTAGGTCCGTACACAACCAATTGAAATTTCATATCCTTGTAATATATGATTTTGTTTTTTACTATATTTTTTTTGATCAATTTTTCATTTTAATTAAACCATTTTTTAAAAATTTATATCTTTCTATTGTCTTTTTTTACCTATTTTAATTTCTCATCTTCTATTTATTTATTTATATTAATTTATTTATTTTTTTCTAGACAAATGTGTAATATTGACTTTAAAAATTCAAAAAAACTTACAGCAATGGAATCAGTGACAACATACAATGAACCAATTACATATGTAGTACAACCATTATTGGCCATAAGGGTTATGTTGAATCCTTCAACAGAGACCCAAGTGTTAGTAGATAAATTGAAAATGATTCGTCAAATAAAAGTAAGTTAGACCAACTATTACAATACCTATAACAATAAATATTTTTGGATTCTGAGTGGAGTGACAAGGAATATATTGGTTTTACAATGATATTTTATTTTTTATCTGTGGACAACTTTTCTACCAGCAATTTTCCTCAGATTTTCAGTTGTAGACTTTCTGTCATTTTTTGATTTTCCCCAATAAATAAACAGGAATATGTACAAAATGCATTATTTCAAATCGTAAATATTACGGCCTTATAAAACATGTATAACCAAATTCCTCTCAGAATCAATCTGTACAGATTTACATTAAATTCCCTTCTATATCCTACTTTCCCAATTTCTCACAAACAATGACCCTAACCTATCAAGGGAAGTATGCCCTCTTTTATATGTTAGATTTAAATAATTTTAATTTATGGTAGTATTTTTTTTTTTTTTTTTTGCTTAATTTGATTAGTATTTAGTTATCCTTTGTTTATAATAAGTTACAACTATTTAATTTTCCCATTTAAAAAAAAGGGCTATAGTAATCCTCGGTTGTACTGTGAACTCATCCGAGCATGTCTCATGTGTATGCGAGATTCATTGAGTAAAGAAGATCATGGACCACAATGGGGAGCCTTTACATTCATAAAACTTCCACACATCATAAAACATTTATGTGAGGACTCTAAAAGTTTCAAAGCTTCCGAAGAAGTGATTCAAGGTTTTGAAATGTTGTTGGAAATGTTTCCATTACTGGATTTTATTGACTCGCATACAGCTTGCAGTTCCATAGAACTGTTACTCAATGAGTTAGTGAAACTAGACTTTGTCACTGAAAATCAATGTAGTTCCATAATTTCTAGAAGGTACAAATTGATTGTTTTTTCTTGTTCAGTTGAATAAAAAACTTGATATAAAAGAAAATTATGATTATTAACAGAGCCAAAGTAGTTTCAACACTTAGCAGTCCAAATCCACCATCCAATGTGTTAACAATTATTATGAGAACTGAACCCACATTACAGCGAATGCTTAGAACTTTAGATTCTGAATACGCTAAAATACAAGTAATTTATTTTTCGATTTCATTGTACCACCAATTTTAAAATCAACAATGATTCTTATATGCATGTACATCTTTAGGAAGCTTTGGTCAGTGTACTCAGTCAAGTGCTCATTGGTAATAGTTTAGAATTAATTCTTGCAGCCGCATCTGTTGAAGGTAAATTACGTATGTTTGTATCAAAACTAATTAAAGTTAATGAACACAGCAAACAAATTAATCCACAAGATGGCCCCAAGTTAGTCACTAACGCAATACTATTCGATATGACATTTTTAATACTCAGTTATATAACTCAAAAATATGGATACCAGGTAATTATAAAAATATCTAAAATATTACCTAAAAATAATATTTCCTATTCAAAGGCTATTTTTCCTGATTGCGGCAACGATACATTTTTCGAAAAATGGTGTCGACAATGTATGGTTGAACTGGGCAATCCCAAATCTCATGAAACTATCATGGGCGAATGTGATCCAAATAAAGTTGAAAAACTATTGACTACAATTGATAATGGAGAAGATATAATAAATTGGTTTGAATTTATTATTCAAAATAACATTTAGTACTAACAGATTTTATTGATTCAACTTTGACTTCAAATTTTTCAGCGATACAAGTTGGGATCAAATTTGTGTGTCTATAATTGGAGCCACGCATGATGTCTTAGTAGCTTGGGAAAATTCCACATTAAGCAGTAATGATGTTAAACGAATTTTGGACTCTATGCGATCATCCATGTTTTGTTTACCTATTTGTGCGGCGGCATGGCTCTGTTCTTACATGCAGGTATAAGCATTTGCTGTACTTATTCAGTATAAAAAAATGTATTTTAATCAAATTTAATAATTAATTTTTTTTTTAAAATCAGATATTACATCAAGATGCTTTACTTAAACCACTAAATATGGTACAACAGCTGTTAAATATTAATCCTGATTCTGATGAGAGTCCAGAACATGAACACTACTCTAAATGGTAAATATTTAAAATATAATTTACTTTTTATTTTTATTTGTTATTAACAATTCATACTATTTGTAGTCGTCAAATATTGATGTGTCAAATTATTCGTAAAATGCAGCAAGACTTGCATCCACCAACAATGTCATCCAAACCTTCTCACAGGTTTTTAAAAAAATTGTTTTCTTTGTTTTTAATTAGCAGTTAATTTTCTTATGTATTTTTTTAGTATTGTATCAAAAGACTCTATCCTTGAACAACTTGTACCAGTTTGGGAAAGTATACTGGAAGAAGGCTGGTTAAATGTGAAAGCTGCTCAAAAACTGAAAACAACATTATTTACGGCAGGATCAGATTGGTTTGTCAACAATTTAATAAAAGTAATTAATTATTTACGCAACTGTATTCTGTTATTATTTGTGTACTAATGCCGTAAATCTGTAATGCTCTGCAGGAAATGATGAAATTACAGTACCGAGACGAATTAGAAAAAGCTGTAGATTTATTGTTTGCAATATTCCATTTCGATATTGAATTCTGTACTCTCGCATTACTCGAGCTGATGCCTCAATACTTATTTAATCCAGATATGTAAGTATCAATGTTTTGTTTGTACATTTGACGAGTTTTAAATATTTATACTTACAGAAACGTGGAACTAATTGAACCACAACAGACTGCATTGGCTAAACTATGTTCGTATTGCATTTATGCGTCAGTCGAATTACAACAGAATAGTCTAGTAAAAGATGATGTTCACACTACAGCAAATAACATGGACATTGTAAGGACTGTATATATATATATTTGTTTTAAATTACACACATTCTTCAGTAATTTATTTTTTCTCAAGGATATTGATAATTCATGGCCGCCAAACAAAATAATGCGTTTGGAGAATGGAGATAACGATACCAGTGAAACTGGTATAAGCGGAATACTACTAAGAGCACTCGTAGCCCTTTTTCGACGTATAGCTGTAGTTGCTTCAAGACATGAACAATTATGTAGGGAAACTCATTTTGTATTGAGATTACTTGAGCAGCTCGTTATGTGTGGGCGGGGATCTTCACAAATTATTCTTAAACACTTGCCACCATCTCTGGTTAGATATTATTATAGATAATCATTCATATACTGTCATTATTGAATTTTTTTTATGACATAGCTACCAAATTTAATACGCTGCGTTCCGGAATTGTTTACTGTTGATTTAATATTAAACTTGTATGATTTGAATTGGCCATCAGGACGAAAAGCAGCAACCAGTGATTTGTGTCTACTGCAAAAGACCCGCTGTGCAAAAAACACAGAGTAATGCTAATACACTTATAAATTCCTATTGAAATATAATGAATAATTGACTTGAAACTTTAATTGATTTCAGAAACTTGTAGTTGATTATTATTATCTCTATGATCCATTTTTATGAGAAAATTCATACAAGATACTGGTTTAGTATAATATACCATTTTCAACAGACTTACCAAATTGAAATTGCCACTGGTATTTTTTTTTTTTTTGCATTTATAGTAAATATATTACATGGACTTATATTATGTATATATTACCTATGGAGTCAAATAAAAAAATTTTATATTTTATTGAAAATTTGAAATGTGTTTATAATTTGTTGGTGCATTTTTATTTCAATAGATTACATTTTATATTATAAGTACTGTATTTATTCATACTTTTAATCTTCTTCTCATACTCAAGTATTATTTAACAATATTTTTAAATTTTAATTTTTCGAGGTGAGTAAACATAGAAGCAACTAGAGAGGTGCTTCAGTACCCCCCAGTTAAAAAACGACAAAAATTGAAAAATAGTGTGAAAAAAGGTGTCCTAGGATAATGAAAACGGGTGCAGCCATTGTTATAGGTAATTCTATGTATAATTGTAATTGAAATCTAACTAGGGAACTACTATAAGATCATTTTTCGATTTTCTCATTAAATGTAAAAAACCGGATAAATGTAGGAAAATCTGTACAATATTAAACAAATATTATTAAAGAAAATATATAATGACTTAAATATTGAATTTTATCAAATGATTACAATAAAGATACAGATAAGACTTGTGTGCAATTTTCCACACCACTTTGGCTATCGATAAACGCCAATTAAATATTATTATGGGTATTTGACATTATTCGAAAAGCGTAAGAGGTATTGCACGAGGTGTGCTTTTTTATAGTGATGTTCCCAAATAGGCCTAATCCACTTTGTCAATTAACCTAACCTTACCTTCACAGGTGAGTGCACAGGAAAATTGTATATAAACAATTTTTTTTTTGTTATTATGTTAACATATAACCACAGTAAGTACAAGTTTTTCATTTTTTAAAATTGACATAATTTTGTTTTTTCTTAGTTTAAAATTTAATTCATACATTTCTACTTCACTGCCAATTAATTTCGTTCTTATTTTTTACAACTTTCCAAATATTACTAGCTTGATTGTAATTATCCAATTTATTTATTTATATTCTATGATTATCAATTTAAGATTACTAATATACTTTTACTTTTACTTTTTGGAGTGCATGATATTTAATTAGGTGATTGATATAATTACGAAAACTAATTAAAAAACAGTGTATAGAATTAATTATTATGTATTATCTAGTATTAAAAAATAATAAAAGTTGATTGGGGAGGAGGGGGAGGATTTACCTATTAAATTATTTTTCCTCAGGCACGATCCGAACTTAAAATCTGCGCATGCCTATGTTTATCTTAAATCAAAAATATGTGCACCGAATCCCGATTTTCATTCCTTGAAGTCATCCGCAGCTACCAGCAGTCTTGACTCGAAGAGTTCGCGTGCCTTCGGCGCATTGTGACACTGATAGTGCAACCGATACGTGTTTTCAGCGAAAATAATATCCGTATATAATTGTATGATTTTAAGATTGATCGATTTTCATAAAAATCTGAGCTTCAACGTATACATTAAAATAAAAAAACGGGCATACTTCGCGTGTGGGTGCAGCCACTATAGTAGGTGGGAATATGAGAAGGTAGGATATAGACGAGAACTTAATGTATATCTCTGAGCAATGGTAAACCGTTGTTAACGAAAAAACTATTCTGAGCGGAATTCAGTTGAAAGTGATGCTTTGCCAACAATATATACGTCATATTATGGTAATATAATTAAATAGGCATTATATATTTTCGTTAATAATATTTGTTTAATGTACCATTTTTCCTCAGTTTTTTTCGGTTTTTACATTTGTTGAGAAAATCGAAAAATGTAACATCTTTAAAGTATATCCCTACACCGATTTCCTTTGCGAAAAGGTGTTACACTTAAAAATCAGAGCAAGATTTCCGGTAAAAACGTTGCGCACATATAAAAAAAAATACATCTTTGTAAAACCATAAACTTCTTTGCTTCACTCAGAATATAAAAAGTTTTTTGTTTTAAGTAGAGTTTTTTTTTTTTATTTGACATTTTCAGCAGAAACACAAATTGTTTATTATGATTAGTTTTATTAAATATTAGGTACCTACCTATACATATGAAACATCAACAATATCGTTAGTCAGATAGACAATAAATTCTTCAGTGAATTACAATTCCAGTGAGTTCTGCTACGTATGAGAGAACTTTCTCGTCAATGAGTCGTCTAAAAAACTGCCTAATGTCAAGTATGGAGCAACAGTGTTTTACAGATTTATCAAGTGGAGTATGTACCCGTGAATAACATCATCCTAGGTAGGAGCGGCCATCGTAAGGATACCACAGGCCATCATCACGAACATCACTTAGATACCCCTCGACTGGACACCCTCAATTTGTAGGATTGTATAATATTATATAAAGCCGGGTTAACACGACGTAAATCTGATGTGCAAGGCTGCCTCACCAAATAGCTGATTCACCCAACTGTTTACACGGAATGTAAGAAAAAAAAGCCAATTTCTTTATTATATTATAATTAGTTACATTAAGTGTTATTAATTATATTTTTAATTCTATAATAATAGCAATAGCATTTTATACTTTTATAATTTTAATGAATGCATTATTATTATTGTTTACTGATGCCTTATATAGAACAATTTTTTAATATTGATTGTATTATGTGTATTTTTTTTATTTTTACTAAAAACTTTATTCGACTTATTTTTAACTTCAGTAACTTTTTTGGTAAGAAAATTAATGTTTGATCAGGGAAAAAAAAAAAATATAAGCCTTTGAAATTGAAAATAATGGAATCGATGTAATTCCATAAGCTAACTTTAGGGGCGCGTCTCTGAGGGGGGGATCGCCCCCCCACTCCATAAGCTGTGTGATGTTCATTTTTGTTCAAAATATTCATAATTCTTGAGTACAAATAAGGACAAATGCAACTGGTTCCAAACACCATAAAGAAAACCTCGGATCTTCGAAATACTTTGATTGAAACAAGAATGAAACACTTCTCATTTATAAATTTCAATAAATATTCTCTCAAGGGTGAGTAGAATTATGGAAAACTAAGTGGAAACAATCAATTTGCAAAGATATAATAAAATAATATATTTTTAAAATCAAAATTGGAAATGATTAATCTAATTTAAATTTTAGATTCTGAGTATAGGGAAGAATCTACCTATTGGATTTGCAATGATGTTTTTTTTTTTATTATATATTTATCCCGTAATAAAAATTTCTACCAGAAATCTTGCTTCAATATATAAGTGTAACACTTTTGTTGATTTTTCAAGCAGTTTTCATAATATCAGAAAAACCCAGGATAACACTTAAGAAAAACAGGAAAATTTATGAAAATAATGCTTTTATAATTTTCAATTTTGAATTCAGTTAAAAATATTCTTAGAGATTTGAAATTTAGACAGAAAACTTATATTTGCGTTTTCTTTACAAATTATTGAGCAATTTATAGACATTGTAATTTTGCGAGTTTTGTACATAATTTTTAGGTACTTTATGGAAAAAATTGTTATACCAAACAGAAATGCTTGAGAATTTAACACGAGGTTCATTAAAAGTCATACTTTATAGTAAAAAAAAAAAAATTGAGCAGAGACTAACTGGTTTATCACTTTTAAATGTTCACCTAAATGAAAACATTAATATAGAAAACATTGTTGGCTATTATTTGTTTAATGTGAAAAAAATAAACTTAACTTTTAAATTGTACCGGTTTACTGTATTTGTTTAATCTATTTGTACAATATATCTGTAGTCTTCTAAGCTAGTTTAAGTTGAAATGACATTAGACATAAAGGTTTTAAGCTTTTGTTAACTAAAGTGGTGATATTTAAGAGTAAAAATTGTTCGCCTCTCCATGGTATTGACCCGAAGACGTCCCTGATAAGTTTCTTCGCTCCATTCAGAATTTAAAATTAAAAGTTTTCCGTGGCTTATTTTTCTGATTACCGTTTATACAATGCGCATCTGGTGTATATTGCCAGGTGAATCAGGGTAAGCGTTCAGTCTAGGATCTAGATGATGAATGGCGAAGTGATAACACGTTCACACGATGCGAAACAAACAACTGGAGATTAAAGGAGATTCAGTAATCACCTTAAATACGGGTCTAAACACTGACAAACTTTCGCTCGTCGTGCTGATTCGCGATTCCCTCGTCCTCGAATCATGCGAGGTGACGAGGCACACGTTCACACAGGTCGAATCTTGCCTCGCGCATCAGATCCGCGTCGTGTAAACCCGGCTTAAGATCATACCAATATGAATCGTATTTTGTTTTAACACAATAAAGGTTACCTGAATCCGTTACATAGATATCGCACACCAAGGTCGAGTCCCCGAGACCTCGTAAATATAAACATAGAGCGTTACACAAGGCGCGGGGGACATTACAGTTAGTACTGAATATAATAGGTACCTAAGCAACAAGATTTACGAGAAACTTATTAAGCAGCAGGCTGGTAAGTTAAGTTTGAGTTGTTATTCATATTAATAATACTTAAAATTATTTAATATATATATGGGGTACTAATGATCAACCAAATGGGAACCAAACAAAATACTTTATACACGCTGATGACCTCGTTATCAACCCAGGTAAAACATCCGAGGATGTATAAGAGAATCTGAACATTGCGCTTAATTCTATGAAAGAATATTACAAAAACAATTAAGTAGGTATCTCAAACCGAATCCAGCAAAAACACTAATTACTACTTTTTGCTAACGAAATAGAAGTGCTCGGCGGAAATTGAGAGTTAATTGGCAAGGCACAGAATTAGAGTACTCTGATGAACCAAAATACCTAGGAATTAAACTTGATTAATCCCTGACATATAGAAGTCATTATGAAAACACAAAAAATTAATTAGGAACAAGAAACTGATTGGCTCTCAATGGGGTGCAGACCCTCGTGTCTTAAATAAAATAGCCCGATCACTATGCTACTCAACGGGTGAATATGCTTGTGCTGCTTGGAAAAACTCAGCACATGCAAAGAAGATAGATGTGGCCCTAAACGTAACTAAGTAATAGACTAATTATGAGTTACTTGAAACCAACCCAGTTCAGAAAGTATAAGTACTATGTGAGATAGCATCTTCTAAAATAAGGCAAGAGGTGGCAACAAAAGTAGAAAACACAAAACAAGAACATAAGACATCATTTATATGGAAGTAATTTCATGGGGAGCAGACTAAAATCGAGGGAAAACTTTTTAAGGACAACAATTAGCCTATCAGAAAATTCTGAAGTGACAAGAATAGACTTATGAAAGAAAGCTCACAACCCGGAAGTTATCTACTATGTTCGACATGGAAGACACTAAATAGATTACAAACCGAAACTGGAACGACAGCAAGTAATGAGAAAAAATAGGGAATAAATGAGAATGTGGCGGGAAACAAGATGCAGACTATCTGTTTACATGACCACTACTACCGATTAAGTGCAGAAAGGAAGACTTTATGACAACCAATATTTTAAAGAAGACATTACAAATTGCTGCTTATTGGGAAGGTAAGGGAATATGAGGACCGACAAGGTAAAAAGAACAGTTAATACATGTTTTTAAATATATTTTTAATCACCATGGACTTAAGTACTGGCTTTCGACAATCGTCAAGAGAAAAACAAACAATAAAATATTTTAAAAACATTTTGATTTGGTGTGGGCAATTAAGGCCAAGTAAAATTTAGAATTTAAATAGGATCATAAATAAAATTATAATGGCTGTCTTAAAATTGCGCCAGTGTGACCAGAGACAGTCATTTGATTTTTGCGGGAGCAGCGTTTTGACAACCGTCTTGATTGTAAGATTAATTTCATAGTCGTTGGGCAACCATAGCAATAGCACAGAATATGTGTATATATATATCTGTGGTAATAGTATGCTAATCATTAATTATTACAATAATAATTTATTTATCATCTATGAGTAATAAGTACTACCCATAGATATAGAAAACAGATAGATAAAGTATTTTACCCATAAATATTTCAAAGAGATAAGAAGAATTTTGATAAAGTTGAAATTCAAATTCAAAACTAGGCATTTTGAAGTATGAATTTTAAATGTGAAGTTTAATTGTTATATATTATTTGTCTACCAAATATTTCTAAATATGAACGAAGAAATGGAAAAATGTGTTCTTCAAAATATTCCTTGGGCAAACCTTCCGCCCACAGTGAAACAAGTAATTTATGTATTTAATTATAAATTATAGTATTTGCATAAATAGTATTGAAGCATTTGAACGCATTGAATATTCTAATAAATTTATAGCAAATAAATGTTTTACTCATTTTTCAGAGTGTAGGAAATTCTATAAAAGAGTACAAAAAATGTATTTCTGTGTATAGTATAAGGAATCAAGTTAGATACAAAGGAAATTTAGGTAAAAATAAGTTGTATTATTAAGCAGTGATTTAGATAATCAAAATATTTGTAATTTTGTTTCCAGTAAAATCTGTTATAAGAAACGAACAAAGTTACTATGAAGATTTAATGACATATAGTAGAGAAAACTTGATGTTGTATCCATATCATCTATCTGATGTAATTGTTAAAGGATTAAGAATTACACCATTTCAGTTTTATATATCAACAATTATACATGTTATGGAATCGGACAAAAGTTATGATTCAATACCAAATTTCACAGCAGTTGATTGTAAATATAAATCTTATTTCTATTAACAATTCAATTTGACTACTTATCTATAAACAATTCTTCATTTATAGGTCTATTTTAATATTTCGATAACCTACTATTTCTAGGCTTAAGAATTTTAGGAATTGGACGTAATGAATATATTGAATTAATGAATCAGTGCCGAACTAAAAATAAACTTTTTAGAAGGAAACATGAAATACGACCGATGTTACCATCCCAACCAGTAAATATAAATGTAGATCCTTGGTGGGTTGTAGATGTTGGATGTTTGTACGAGGATGATATAAAAGTATATACAAATTTAATAACTAAATTTAAATTTAAAAAAAATGTATAGGTTATTAAAATTAAAATTATATTTATTTAACTCTTTTTATAGACCATTAATGAAGACGAGAAAAAATTTATTGACCATATAATTGATAATGGAAAACAAATGGCTGGAAATTTAGATTATAATATACTCCACAGTCTTTACAAGTTAATAATTTAACTTTTTATATGAAATATTGGTTTACATGTTATATTATTTGTAGAAAAGGTCTAGTTTACTATGATGTTCCAATATATGATGATGACCACATTATAGTATCAACACTTGGTGGGTTTGTAATGAATAGAGTACTTGGTGATAATTTTGAAAATCTTCTGTATAAAATTTTTGTATCAATTGATGAACATACTTCAGTTAGTGAGGTTATTAATTTATTTGTTAATATAATTGTTAAATTCAAATTATCTAAAAAAAAAAAAACTATTAATTTCTTATGAATTTTTTTTAGTTAACTACTATATTAGAAATTGACTTGGAATCAGTAAAGAATGCAGTATCCTTATTCTGTCGGTTGAAAATTGCCCAGAAAAAAAATCCTAAATCTATTTCTACTCATTCATCCTGGTCTGGAACAAAAAATGTACCTAGATTAGAAATAGTGAATGTAGAACCAATCTCTGATTCATCGTCGTTGCCAATAATTTTACCCAAAGATATACCAGATATTATTGAATCATCGCCTGATAAAAGTAATGCTGAAAAAAGGATGGCCTTTTTGTTTGATTCAACTCTTACAGCATTTTTAATGATGGGTAATCTTTCTCCTGTAAGTATACAATATTTTATTTTTTATTTTACTTATTTTCATATATTGTTGGACATATAATAATAATTTATTAAATTAAAAATGTTTTATATAAACTATTAACTTATGTTTAAATAAATATTCAGAGTCTTAAAGATCATGCTGTCACATTATTTGAAGCGGGTAAACTAACTGATGAAGCATTAAATGCATTTTTGGATGAACTTGATAAAGTTGCAGATGGTTATAATACTGGTAGCTGTGTTTTTGGAAGTGAAACTCCTAGTGCAGGTGAGAGTGAAGGTGAAGCTAGACGATATTTTGAACACGCTTTAACACTCAGAAGCACGGTGAAAACGTTGAGATCAGAAAATTGTCCTGGTAAATTAGATCTTATACGATGGGAAAGCCTTAAGTCATTGTCTGCAGATACATGTGTTAGATTTTTAAAAAAAAATTACAAGTATGTGTTTCCATTTTACAGTAAATTAATTGAATAATATTGATATTTTGAAAATGCTAGCTTATTAATGTCGATGGCTCCATTAAATAAAGAAACACCTCTTCTATCTTCACCAAAGTTACCACATATTGGTCCTCCTATACCAGAAGTAAATTCAGTTTGGTTTAAACTATATTTATATCATAAAACAAGTTATGGACCAACATCACTATTATTAGTTAGAGGTAAATTTATTTCTGAAACACTGTTTTTATTATTTTTTTATCTAAATTCTTTGGGTTCAGCCAAGCTTGTCTAAATCTTTCACATCATCCTCCTGTGCAGGTCATCATATCATTCTCAATTGTATCAAATTTTCAGTTTTACTCTACCCTCTTATGTTTATTTTCATTACTATTATTACTGCTTCCAATTCCTCTCACCTTGTACCATGCCCAAACCATGTAAATCAGTCTATTTTGTCTCACTTTGTTTATTATCGAAACCAGCCTATACTGCTTCTTATGTACTTATTTATTATCCTATTTTTCTCTTCCCTACTCATCTACATAAATATTCTCATCTCCACTACATAATCATTCTCTGTTTTAGTTTTCTGTCTACCATTTGACATTCTGAACCATACAATATAGTTGACTTCTCCACATTCTTGTAGAACTTACCTTTCAGTCTTATTGGAATTTTCTTGTCACATAAAATACTTAAGGTTTCTCTCTAGTTGATCAAACTACACTCAATCCTGTCCTTCACCTCGTCCAAGTCACCATTCTTTTGTACAAAATATTCTAGAAACTAAATCTGACTTATTGTCATTACTTGTCTTAATCTCTTCCTCCGCACTTATACTCTATGTACTTTGTTTTATTGTATTCATCATTATTTTAATTAATAGGTATTCGTTTGTGGAATGTTCCTAAAATGTTTAGACATTGTTCTAAAGTAATGGTAACTACTTGGGGACACGATCCACATTTTATACCTATTGAAAATTTATTAACAATTATCAACGATACATTAAGAGAATCACCAGTTCTTATACAAGTAATTAAAAACAAACAAATATTTATTAAAATACAGTAAACATTTTATATTTCCAGGCTTGTAATACGAATACTTGTGTTTTACCATTTCCAAAAATAAACAATTTAGAAAATGGTTAGTTTTATTGACATAATTGTTATATGCAGAACCCGGAATTATATGCATTCACAAATTCAACTTTGCATATAATGTGTATTTGTTATTGATAAATCAATTTTACTGTAGAAAAAGAGTTTTTGACATTGTTTCTCATAGGAATTTTGTTAAAATATTGTTATATTTGCCATAGTGTATGAAATCAGAGCTCTAACCTATGATTCATAATCATGTATGGCTTGGTGTTATCATTTTATGAAATTGTTTGTCATTTTTGTCGTGCGTAATATGTCATTATATTTTAAAATCTTGTGTGGTAAAAAGTATGTGTTTAATAAAACTAAAATTTGTTATTATTTTGAAAGTTTATTGTTTAGGTTATCAGATATGTTATTTAAAATAATATAATATATAATAAATTATTACTATTCTCGGTGGTGTAAAAATAGTGTTTTATTTTTTTAAACAAAATATAATGTATATAATTTCATATTTGGCCACTTTTTGTATGTATATTTACATAATATTTGACAATTTTGAAATGCATATAATTCTAGGCTCTAGTTATATGTAATTAATACATTAACAAATATTAATTGAAATTTGTTTAGAATATTCATTTTTATATGAAGAAAAATCAATAAAAAGTTTATCGAATATTTTAAATACAGAGAACAGTTGTGGTTACATAACGTGTGTGACAATGCCAACTAAATATGAAAAGAAATTTAACACTGAAAATACTGCTATTAGTGGTCTGTACATAATTTTTTATTATTAGATTTGAAAAAACTAATCAAATATTTGTATTAACAGATCCTTCACCTGTTTTTCATAAGAATGGTGTATCACTTTTGAAAGAAGAGTTAGAAAAATTAAATGATACTCCATGTATTAAAAAAACATTAATGTTAGAGCCTATTTATGATGTACCTGAATGGACTTTATTAGATTGTTGTTTTGGATTGCCTCTATTTAATTCAGATATTAATAAAAATATTTGCAAATATATTGTTGATAATCAAATGTGGAAAAATGAAAAGTAATTTTATTTTGAAATTCATAATGTAAAACTAGGTATGATAATAAATATATGTATGTATATATTTTTATTTGGTTAGGTGCATAAATTTATTTAATACTTAGGTACAGAATTTTATTATAAATTATCTAAAAGACTCAGCCTATATGATTTTGTACCAAAATATCCATTTAATTTATATTGGTTTTACAATAATGTTAATTTTTTTTTCGGTGAATAACTTTTCTATCTGAAATATTGCTCAGATTTTTAAGTGTAGCAAATTTCATCCAGGTGGTATATTAGACAGGTCATTTTTTGATTTTTCAATGGGTTTTTATAATTTAGAAAAACCAGGAAAATGTACGAAATGTATTATTTTCAATGTTGTTAATTGGTTGTAATTTAGTTAAAAATATTTGTAGAGATTTGATATCTGCCTTTTCTAGAGGTGGTAACATTTTCAAAACATAGCCCTTTTTGAGCTATAAAAAAAGCTGTATAAACATTTTGATTTTGTTTTTTTTTTTTAAATTTTTATTTGGTACACTATGGATAAAATTGTTAGATTTAATAGGAAGTTCATTATAAGTCATACTTGTGGCAAATAAAATTAAAATGAGTAACAAAGAAAATTTTTTTCATTAGAATTTTGAACGAAAATCGTAATTATTATGGCTTTTCTAAATATGTATAACCGAACTTCCCTCAGAATCATTTTTTGTTAGCAAAGATTAATCACTGCATATAGATATACATTAAATACCCCTCTATATTTTACCATCTCAACTTCTTAACCCATAACAGTGGCCTAACCATCATGCCAAGTATGTCATGTTTTAATATTCAAACCTTACAATAATTAACTATGTTCTATATTAAAATATTCCTTAAGTTTTTTTTATTAATATTGGACTAACAATTTCAAAATTATAATTTATATTGGAGGTTCATATTTATATTTTGATTCCTATTCTTTCTTAATAAATCATACTTAAAGTAACGTATCTTTTATTTGAAATGTGCATACAGTATTATATCATAATTTTAAGAAAAATATTTACTTATATAAAAAGATACATATTTTCTTCTACAATCAATTAGTATCCATTTAGGGAATACGACAAAGGATTTTAACCTAATTTATTTTATAAAATAAACTGTCACTGTTTAAATAATATGCTTCTAGATTATGTATACTTGTATCTTCCTTTTTCTTTTAGTGTTACAAAACTAGTGGAATCAAATGAATTATTATCAAAAGATTTGTTAAATTTTATTGATTTATACAAGGTAAGACGTGCAAACATTAAATAATACATTTTGTTTTTATAATTAAGAACATTAATATTAATTAATTAACAATCACTTTTCAATAAATACAAATTTAAGAAGATTAATTATATTATTATTTCATTAAGTTTTATGTAGGCCTAAATTCAAGTATCTTACAAATGAGTGAAATAAATTTGCTCATTACAACAAAAATATAATCTCAATAAATATTAAATAAATAAATATAAAAGTAAATTTATTGTTCATTATTATTATTATTAATTTTGTTTCAAATAATGTGAGCTGATAGAATATCACTATTTCTAGTTATATCAATAAGAAATCATTATGTATACAAAATTGAATCAAATTAGTAGTATATAATTTATATTAATGTATTTTTAAATTTATTTTATAAAATGAAGTAATACAATTATTATCATTATTAGCTAAAATGTAATTTAATTCAATACATATATTAACACATGTAAAATACATCAATTAATTAACATAAAATTATATTAAACATTTTTTTTAATGATTTATTTTACTGTATATTCTTTTTTTTTTTTAGAACTCAGACAAAGGCTTTCAAGATCTATTGCCTTTTGATAAATCATCAATAGCTTGGCCTGTTGATTGTCTAATATTTGAAAATGGAAAATTAACAATATGGCAGTAATGAAGTATATATATATATATATATAATTTTTATTTGTTAATTTAACTAAGAATGTATCTTCATATCATGATATTGCATAAATGTAGTACACAGTAAAATAATATATTTTATTAATTATTAAACTGGTTATAAAAAGCAGATTACAATAAAAATATCACAATAATATATAGTATTAAAATATCAATACTAAAAATGTTTTTACATATTATGTCTAGATAAGAATAGTTGTTTAAAGTTATCTAATATATAACTGAAGATACAAAATTATTAATTATTCAAGAAATTTAACAGATGAATATTGATTCATTTTACACAATTGTAATTTTACCAGTTAATATTATCTTAATAAAGTACTTATAAAATTCAAAATATCAAACCAGAAATTAATAATATATTTCCTTTCACAGTGATACTGTTTTCAGTTAACATAATATAAATTGTCAAATTAAAAAAAAGAACTTGAAATATATATAATTTTGTTCATATACAAATAAAACAATTTTACAATATTAAAATAAAGATCTTTTATTATTAAGGATGGAGTATTTTCTTAACCTTTATAAGTTTCTTATTCTTAGGTCATTGGTTTGAACGCTGCATTTTCAATAAGTTTCAACAAATCTGTTACATTAGGTCTAGTTTTCACATCTTTTATCAAACATAATTCCATTGTTTGCATAAGTACAGGTGGTATACCATGTGGAAACAATTTACTCTGTTTTGGAAAAATAATATTTTGTTTGGATACAGCAATGGCTTGCAACTTTTGCCAAGTATTTGTAAGATGTGAATAAGGAGTCTTGCCATAAATTAAGCTATAAAGTATACATCCTAAGGACCACACATCTGATTTTTGGTTGATCTAAATTTAAAAAAAAAAATTACAATTTTTCCTAATGAAATCATTTAATTTTTACTTTATGTCCTTGAAAGTTTGAGCCTCCACTAATAATACACTCTGGACTCATGTAGTTCCAAGTTCCAGTAGTGACATCCTTTACGACACTAGTCATGTCGCCTTGTATTTTTGACGCAATACCAAAATCTATCAATTTTAAACGGCCACTAACTAAAAGGAAATTTGCTGGTTTGAGATCTGAATGTATAACATCTGTTGACAAATAAAATTTAACTTGACATAATGCTTCCATTTGGAAATGTGTTTTATTAATTATTACTTTTTATTAATACAAAATTCAATCATATATGTACAAATATGAATATTTTTGATATAAATATCAAAATTATTTTTAAGAATTACTTAGTTTAATTTTTTAAATGAATTATGGACTTAATAATATGTAATGGAAGTTGATTTAATAAGTGATAATACATCATTGCATGCATTCTTATTTAGAATGCAAAAAAAAAAAGCATATCCATTATACAAATTATTTTTAAAAAGTTTAATAAAAAATGTACATCAAAAATAATGAACTGAAAATAATTGAATTTCTTAAGAAGTTAATTAATCTTAATTAGGTAAAGATAAGCTATTTTTGATTTAAATACTATTCTAATAAACATTCATACATACTATGTAATTTTCATTTAGTCTTTTAGAGGGGTTTTGAGTATTGTTATTGTTAACATAATGTGAAAATATTTTTTTTTTAATACATCCAGATTAATTAGCAATAAACATGTATATGCCTGTTTATTCAAATTAATACAAATTATTATTATTATTGTATGTTTGATAATCATTTACCTTTCTCATGTATTTGACTAACAGTATTCAACATTTCTGACCAATAGTACATTATCATGAATACTGACATATGTTTTGTACTACGAATGAGTTTTGAAAGATCGGTATCTCCTTTTTCCATTACCATGTACAAAATCTTTTCTTTAGTGGAGTATTGACTGAAATAATTAAATATCAAATAAATAATATACAAAATTAAACCAAATTGGTATACCATTAGGTTAACTTTTATAAATTGCATAGGAAAACAAAGATAAAATTTAATTTATTAATGTAAAATTGTGTAGTCTATTATTTACAGATAGTACACGCAAAAATAAATATTGTTAGTTGAAATAATTTAAAATCTACCTGTCAAAAAGCCGTATAACACTTTCACAGATTTGCAGATTTTCTAACAATTTAACTTCATTTAAATATCCTTTAGCTATGATATCTTCAACTTCAGATAAATCTACTTTTTTTATTGCTACCACTTGGTTAGTTTCAGGATGTAAAACCTAATATAAAATAAAATAAAATAAATATTAAAAATAATACTAACATGATAATTCTATCAAAAATATTCTATTGAATATTCACCTCATATACAACACTGGATCCTCCATGACCTAATGTATTCAGTATACTATAATTAATTCCTTTAACAGTTATAAAGTTTTCATTGGAACATTTAACACATATGTTACTGGCTGAATTAATTGGTCGTTTAAACTCTCCATCTTGAACAAAAACCACAGGATTACGACGAATAGGAGATCGAGGATTTATTACAGAATTGTTATGTTTAGCCGCAGGTGATAATTCCAAAGTATACTTATTTTGACTGTCAAGTGGTGCACATCCTAATTGCTTTGTTGATAAAGAAGAATCAACTTGTGAATTAGAATTTTTGATAGATAAAAATGAATTTGGCGAATCAGGTACAACAGTTGTTTCTCTGATACTATGATATAAACTTGTATCATAGTTGTATTTTGAAGTTTCAGGTGAAATATAAAATGTGTCATCTTTTACTGGGACTGGTGGGTTATTTGTAATCACTTTTAAATTTTCTTTTACAGTAAATGAACATGACGTACTAGAATTGCTTTGAGTTGTTTTTTGAGAATCTAGTGTTTCTAATTCTTCTTTTGTTTGCTCTGGTAAATTTTCTTTATTACTATATAGTAACCTTTTGGTACTCAATGAAAGAGTTGGTTTAATATTCAAGTTCTTAAGGTTGTTAAGCGTATCACTTGGAGTTTCTATACCACTGTCATTTTGTGTCTTTACCACTGGATGAACAAATGGAGTTTGGTGTACTAAATCAAGTTTTTCAAAATCATTAACTACATTTTCTGGGGTACGTGTTTGAAATGAATACCCTAAGTCTGCTTCAGCTGTTTTGTTTTCAAATAAAGGTTGATTATCATTAAAACGTTTAAGGGATCTTCCTTTTTGTCCCAACCGACTAAAACACATATGAATTTATTTATTTATTTTAAATTTACATTGTTTTTGTATAATTCATTATATGTATATACCGCCAAATGATAAAAATTCAGATTGAGGTTGAATTTTAAACAGTCATTGTTTTGTTTAACTATTTTGTTAGTTATTTATTAAAATAATTTGTGTACATGTGTTTAAATAATAATCATCTGTATTAGAATTGGTAAATAGAAAAACAAAAAGTTTTTTAACAGTATTTGACTTGTTATACCTATTTTGAAGAAAAATGTATCTCACAGTAGACTAAAACCCTATATATTTTATATTGCTATAAACCCACACGAATCACGCAAGTTTATACATATTTACTACTTATCATGCATAGATGTTATTTTGTGATTTTATTGTCTTAAGTTCGGACAGGAAGTATAGATAATTTGGTTATACATTGTGTAAATATGTATAGGTTAAATAAAACTTGCAATCTTGTGAGGATAGATAAAACACACAAAAAGAAAACCAAAGAATTGTTTAACATTTAATATCAAATAGGCTACATTGAAGAAAAATATTGTTACTGTTTAATTTATTGATATAAGAGTATGTTTTTAAAAACTTCCTATAGTGCCCAAACCTATTATTAATATTTCTTAATTCAACATACAATAATAATAACAAGTAAAAGAAATAAGTGTCTAAAGTTGAGACAAATAAGGAATAACTTCAAACAGGTATAAATATCAAAAAGAATTTATAAAATCATTTATTTTTCATAACAAAATGTATGAATAGTATTGTCCGCTATAAGTTGACAAAAAATCAAATTGAACAATAATTGTATTTTTGATGACAAAAATAGCTTAAAACATTATAATTTACAAAATTTGACGGTATTTATCCTACCTATGTATAATTGATAAAGATATTAATACATATTATTATTTTAATAACTTACCTAATTGGTTTTCTTGGTCTAGAATATTTTAGTTGTAATAATGGACATGTAACATAATTATCAGTTTCTCCATCATTTTCTTCAACATTACCAAAGACACTTGATTCTGTACTATGGTTCATCATAATCTGTTAAAAATCAAGCCATTGATTACACAATAATTAAAGGTAATATAGAAGCACTACGATTCATACTCACCAGCACTTATTCAGTCAATTTTACAATTGTGCCATACAGTAGTTATCTCATGTAAATTGTACTGAAACACATCATTTTGCACAACAAACAATAATTAAATTATTGATATATTATTTAATATTTACACTAATATAAATATAACATGATATAACAAATAAATTTAAAAAAAAAAAACTAATATAGTAATATAATATCAAATATCTAATGGGGTAAGTTAGAAATGTATAAACAAGAGTTTTTGAAAAGTTTCGATTGTTCTTTCGGTTATCGTTATCAAACCATATGTCATCCATTTTGAAAATTCAAAAAATAACGTATCGAATACAGTTTAGCCAATGACACCGTGTATAATTTAACCTCAGTGTGATCAATAAAATATTGATATGAGCAATAATCCCTTAAATAATAAGAAATAGCCAGATAGGTATATAGTATATTATTGTTAATAAAATTATTTGAAATATTTGTGAGTAATAATATTAATATAATATGTGTCTAAAATGAATTTATAAAATAATAAAGTAAAAACAAAACTAATAAAATGGTAAATAAATATATAAATGAAAAATGTATATATAAAAATAAAAAAATAATAAATTCGTCGCCTGGAGTATTATACCACTGGTTTCCAATTAAAAATTCATCATCAGGTATATCATAGTCAAAATGTAAAACGCGACTAAATATAAAAAACTAAATAAAGGAATGCATAGAAAAAAATTACACAAATCTGTCGTTTTACAAAGAAATAATTTATTTTAATAGGAGAGATTATTTAAAATGGGTTATTATTAAACATAGATCTATTAAGAAATATAAATTATTTGGTTATTATTATCTAACATGTACTGATATAAGATATTATTTTTAAAATCTGTTTGTACATTTAAAATATTATTAAAATTATTATTCTTTATTTTATTGTATTTATGTACTTCTTTTTAAACTAAATTAATGTATAAATGTTATTTTGGATATTTAATATCTCTGAATCTGTATTAATATCAAAGCTTATATTATGGTTATTTTCTGAAACATATTTAACGAAATTTGAATTAGGGGCAGTCTTTTTAAATTTTATTTCAGAAATGTGTTCTTTATATCTTATTTTAAAAACAGTATTTATCTTACCTATATAAAATTTATTACATTTACATTTAAGTTTATATATACCAAATTTTAAAAATCTATTTGAGTTAATAAATACAATAATAATAACCGCACATTAAATTATTTTTACACAAAAATTATCTATGATCAGTACCTTACATGTTTCAATAAGTATTAATTTTTAAATTAAATTGTTTATATTAATAGTTTATATCAACAATTTTCATCAATTATCCAAAAGTTGTAAATAACTGACTAGTGCCGTTCTTGCAATCATCGATTCATTTAATATTAAATATTATAGGATGGTTTTTCATTAAATATGAAAATATTACACAATACTTTTAATACAATTAATTTAAATTTATAAATGACATAATAATAAGAATAATTTTTTGTTTCAATATGTTCATAAGATATATACATATATATACAATATATATGATATATATAGATATATACAATCTGTGGAAGGGCTAATAAACAGCCGAACCGTATTTTAGCCGAATCACCCGAAACTCTACTATAAAAAAAATAATTATCAACTTGTACATTTCTTATCATTGTTTTTAATCAGAAAATGTTGAATTAGAAAAACTTGGAGACTTGAATGTCGATATCTGGAACAAAAGTTTGAAAGAATGTAGTAATGTTGAGTTAATTCCGACACACTTTTAAACCAACAAAAATTAATAAAATGACAACATTTCGGATATTTCTGTGATAAAAATATCACAATAATATATTATTTAATTAAGTTTAAAATGATTACCTATTATTTTTAATTTCAACCATTTATAAGCATTTAAACTATTTAAATGTAAACAAACATCCACTTACACATGTTGGATTTATTATCAAAACTAAACCAATATATTTTCAAATTAACTTCATTGATTAAAAATTCAAAAACATAGAAATGGTTTACTTGGGACATCAGCTTAACTTGCATAATTTGTTTTTCATTTTAAAATATATACGAAATTTCTCTCCCTTTTTATTTATTTCTTATCACGCATTATCGTTTTTTGGAAGATGTGACCTCATCTCTTTATTAAAGTTGGCTGTAATATTTTTGGACAAAATACTATCGGCTGAAATATTTTTCGGTTGTTTTACGCGCTCCTCAATCTGTGCTCCAGGGCATAATAAGAATATGTGATAAAAGAAGAGAAAGGAAAAAAATAACATGATACACCTTGATGGAGGAAGCCACCCCCCAGTAATGACACCACCTGTTGGCTTATTTAATTAAAAATTGTTTTTTTTTTTTTTTAAATTAATTCTTTTAATTACTAAGGTCCACACCAACTTTCTTTTTAGCCATCTAAATGGGTTTACAGGAACTGATAGTGTGCCTAGATTCGATACGAGGAAATTGGGACGATAAAGAAGTTTTGAATGGTGTCTTTTATATTAGATTATAGCTTCTTCAGAAACAATCTTGATTTTTAAATCAGACCAAATAGATAAGTTAGATATATAAGGTGGGGCGTTTAGATATATAGATTTTACATAGTAATAAGAATAATAAATTCATAATATTAAACTCGAAAATATATTACAGCAAAATATACATAATATTATAAATTAATACTTGACTTAACAATTATATGTTAAAAATAAATATACATATAATATTTTCAATTTATTCTACGTGAAAAATGTATAGCCTGGTAAATCATCCTCATCTTCAGTTTTATTTACTGGGGACTTTCTACTGGATACTTGACTGCTACCTTGTTGTGCTTCATCATTATTTTCATTAATTATCAATTGTTTACATTTTTCATTAAAATTACCGTCATCTTTAGTGGGGTTTTGCTGATGGCTATCTAATGGTGATTTTTTATTATTTTTAGTAATTTGTAATAGTTCAAATTTATCATCAGAAACATCATCATCTTTAGTTTTATTTACTAAGGAATTTCCATTGGAAAGCCGCTGACTGTTATCAAATTGTGTATTTTTATTATTACCAATCATTTTTAATCTTTTACATTTCCCAGTAGAACTTTTTTTTTTACCTCTCTTAATTGGTTGTATCTCTTCATCTATTTGCTGACTTGTAATGGTCGTTGGTACATCTTGCACATTGTTTTCTGCAATAGAAATTCTTGATAAATTATTTTCAAGTTCCTTTTGCATTTGTGATTGCCTTGATTTATCCAAATTTGGCTCTTCAACTCTATCGTGTATTTCCATTAATTGTGCCCAAGTTGCAAACTGTAATTCTTCTATAAAATGAATTGGTCTGTAATCTTCATCATCATCTTCTGAATCTAAATTAGTGTCATTTTCTATTTTTTGTTTATGCTGTTTCATTTGCTTATTATCAAGTAAAATTTCACTAATTAGTTCTTCACCATTATCAGATAATAATTTGACAATTTCATTCTTTATTGGAGATTTACCTGAAGTCAGTACAGATAAATATGAGCGCAAATCATTCATTACAGTTGCTAAACCTTTTTTACTTTTCTGCAATTCATCTTTTAATTTTATTACACTTGGTATTATGTAGTCAGCCATCACCATTTTGTATGTATTTATAACTACTTCATTTTTAGCTATGTCGGTCACTTTTTCTAATGTTCCTGGATCATCATCATTATTGCTATCTCGTGGTTTTCCAGAAGTGAGGGCCATTTCTTTGGCTTTCAAAATCCAAAATGCATCTTTCATTACTTGTATGGCACACTCTATGACATCATCATATTTTGTTTCATTAACATCATTTACAATTTGTTCAAAAATATTGAATATTTTAACCATAAGTTTCAATTTACTATCGTCAAACATATGTGTTAACATAAATTTATAAACACAATGACGTGATACTTTCTTTGAGTCACCTTCCATTGAAAAAAATGCTTTTAGCTCAGAGGTGGTAAAACAATTTTTTATGCCACTATACCGACCACCTGTATAACCATTGAAATGAAATATTACTTCAATTAATTTTCTTTCCATGATATTTTTGTTTTTAATTAGCAAATAGTTAACAATAAATGACGAAGTTTCTTGGCGCACATGACAATCAGAATCCTCAAGCATGCATAATAAAGCAAAGAAAGCAACATCTCTTAGTTTTATATAATCTTCAAGTATTAGGCCAGTAAGAAGTTTTAATGCTACCCGCTTAACAGATAAACTATTATCTTTCAAACAAACACACATTTCTGGAATTGCTTGTTCTACTAGAGTTGTACAACGTAAACATAAATCAGCCAATGCAGTAAGTGCATTTATTTTTAATGATGAATGGCATGATGTATCTTTTAATATTTTTCCAAAAGAAGTTATTGCTTCTTTAGCTAGTTGTTCATCAACAATGCTTAATTTACCAATTGTTAATATCAAAATTGCTTTAATACCTTGGGAGATGTTATTATTCTTTATATTCAACATATCCAGCAAATATTGGTGAAATGTATGTTTAATTTTTAAATTTTGTACTAAACCCACATCACCAAGTGTATATATTTGATTTACAATTCGAATTGTATCATTATTTGAATTTTTAAATGTTTCAATACTCTTACTAGTTATTTGAAACAAATTTTTTAAATTTGTATTTTGTTTATCAGGATTATCAGATTGTAACACTGTGTACAAATCTAAAGATTTGGATATGAGACGAACGGGTACTTTGAAATTAAATAAAAGGCTTTCGATTTTATCAAACAATTGTTGACTTCTTTTTTTGCCCAATCTTGTGTAATTTAAAAATAAGATATCAATAATCATCTGTGCACATGTTAGCAAATTATTTTGATCGGATAAAGCTTCTTCTGAAAACCAAGTATCACAATGCCTGTCCGTATATTTAATAAAAGATGACAAGTCTGTAATAGTCATTTGTTGAGAAATTAATTGTAATAAATATAAACTATGCAAATTCCAATCATGATTCGGCAAATCTACATATGTCATAATGTCTTTAATTAATTTATCTGTGAGAAATCCATAATTGTGCCATTTTTCACATAAACACTGCATATACAATCCTACATTTTCATTAAAAACATTGTCTAAAACAAGCCACGGTAAATAATCTAATGGATCATTATTATCAGTTAACTTGGTAGAATATGGTTTAATATTTTTTAAAATAACTCGATCCATACACTCAACAGTCAACTCTTGAATTCTTTTGTCACGATCACCTACTAAATGAATTAATGAATTAAACCAATATTTTAACACATTTTGATTGTCTGGATATTTTAATATCAAATCTGTCAGCCCAGAAACTACTACTTTTCTAATAGTCATTGTACAGTCTGAACAACTGATTTGCAATAATGACAAATAATACCTTTCCATTAATTTTTTATTTATAAGTAATAAATTACACAAAAGTGTAAGACTTAAACGACGAATATAAGCCCGTTCATCACGGGCATGCACATTTAAAACCCATAATATTGTTTTAACCCCAGGATAAATTTGAGAATTACTGATATTAATCGGATCAAAATTTTTCATATTATTTTCTGCATATTGGTGAAAATCAATAAAATCTCTTTGACAAAACAATGTTTGATCTAAACTCTCTACATTAAGGTAAGGATCGACAAGTACGCGTTTTGCCAAAGTATGTTGATATGCAGTTGAAGTTGGTGGAGTAGCTGTTAATGTACCAAATAATGAAATTGCTTTAGCACGAACAGTTAATAATGGATCTTGAAATTTAGAAAGAATGACGGCTACAATGAATTCATGTTTTGTTGCTGGCATTAATGATAGTAATTGTGGGTCATCAGGTTCAATTTCTTCAGGTTCTGAGAGTAATTTAAACAGAACTTCCAATGCAAATATACGTATTTTAGAATCTATTGTATATACCAAACGAAAAAAAAAAAATTTTATTTTGATTCGGACATTATTAGGACATAATCTCCAAACTTCTAATATGATCTGCAATTGGCGTTGTTTTAATTCACTACGATCAGGTCCTCTGAATAACAAATTCTGTAAAAGTATTTCTAATAGACACTCAAACGATACTCCCAATTTTTTTGTAAGTTTACGAATAAATGATAAATGGTGGTCACGGATGACATTAAATTGCTTGGTACTCAAGTGCATTTCACGTTGCGCATCGACCAATAAACCTGGCATTATACAATACATAAGTTTCTGGCCTATATCAAATGTTGATCCACAATTATCATTAAACATATCCATCAAAACTGAGTATGCATTAAATGCTAATGTGCTGAAGCTTAAACGTTCAGTAGGCGTTTGTTCCAAAATATTACCAGAAGTTCGTTCCAAACGTGTCACATCTATCATTATATCAACAATTAAATCTATAGTGCCAATTTCGTCAAACAATTTAAATCGCTTGACCATAACTCTCAGATCTCTAATGATAGACAATAAATCAGTCATCAAATCATTTTTTTCATCTTCATTTAATTGTATATCACTATTAAACATACTTCCAGTATTATGCAATAACATGACGCACGATTTAATCAATTCTAAGCATTTAGTGAGTATGTTGAAATGATAAAATCCAATATTTTTGCTATCCTTGAATGTAGATGCTAAGAAAAATAACCGGATAGCAGTCAAAGCATTTTTCCTGATTATAAATTCTTGCATATCTTTTATGCCATTTTGAATATAACAATTGAGTAGACAACTTAATGTTTTAGGATTTATATAGCATGTATCATCACTAACAAACTGATCCCAATTTATATGCCCTGATGATGGTTGTAAATACATATTTAATAACTCACAAGACTCATTTATAATAGATGGAAAATCAATATCTGGCATTACTATTGATTCATAGGTTTCAGGAAATGTATAGTAAGTATATTGACTATTTGTTACTTTTTCTACATAACAATCAGATATGATGGGTAACTGTAAGCGAGACAATACTTCTATTGCATCACTGACATCAATTGACACTGAAATAAAAAATAAAAAATACTTTAATGAAGTATCTACAATAATAAATAAATAAATTAAAGTGTTATCTATGATATAACTATTAAAGCTGTTCCAATTAATAAAATAGTACTGTTGAAGAACTGATAAAGATGGGGAAAGGTATTGGCTTGGAAATTAACAGCAGAAAAACTAAATGCATCATGGTAAAACAAGGAAGGGGCGATCATAATAACCTCCACGTAGGAAATAACATCTGTGAACAAGTACAAGAATTCAAGTACTTCAAAACTACCTTGAATAACCAAAATAACATGCATGGAGAAATCAATATCAGATTGAGTGCTACCTTTATGCACTTAAAACCCTCTTCAAGTCCAAGTTATTGTCAAGAAAAACAAGAATTAAAGAATATGTATAAATATAAGTTTTAGCCAACCTGTATTGACATATGGGTCACAAGAACAACAAGAAGTGATAATGAAAAATTATGTCCATTTGAGAGAAAAGTTCTTATAAAGACTTATAGACCCATATTCAACAATGTGGAACAGAAATAGGAAAGAAGAGCTAATGTTCAGCTATACAAAAGAAAAGATTTGGTCTAATTCATCAGAGGGACAAGGCTAGAATGGGCAAGGTCATATACGGTGGACCAATAGAAGTATGTTGAAAGGCACAATGACATAAATAGTGAGAGGAAAAACACCAACGGATGATAGCAGACAAAATAGAAGGATAGTCTCAAGAAATTATTAGAAGAAATTTAAGTGGACTAGGAACAAATATATGACATGAGAGCGATGGAAGGAAGTTTTTGGAGACCAACTATCATGTAACTAATTTTATTTCTTTTTTAACATCTTGTAGAATTGTTTTTAATTATATTTTATATTTGAATGATTTTTTTAAAATTAAAAAGTTTAATTTTGCAAAATACATTAGTGTATACATTCTTTGGGAAACACTTATATATATATATATATATATATATATATGGACATAAACATTTAAATTATCAGATATGCACAAATTTGTATTCATCATTATGCATATCCCATTTAATATGTTCAAACACTTATTATACACATGGTAATTATTAAAAATTAATTTTATAACACATGACCAGGCTCTGTTTGACCTATCAGGAAATTGAAAATTTTCTCAACAGTCTGATCTTCATACAGACTATTATAGACTATATTTAAAAATTAATACCAATATTATACTGTATAGTATTTTACTAAATTTATTAATTATAATTTCAGCGTTTTACAATAATATTATGTAGATATCTAGTTTGTTATTTTAAAATAAAAGTAAATTACTTTATAGAGAACTTATGTTATTTTTTATTTATTGTAGGTTCAGGTATTTAATTATTAATAATTTCAAATAAATAAATTGAATTAATTCAGTAGGTATTAAATACACAAATCAATTAATTTAAAATCAAGATACTACAGATTGTGTTCGTTTTTATGATAAAATTTAAGATAGGATTTGTTTATATTGAAAAGCAAAATATTTAATGCATTTTTGTTTACATAAAAGAATAATACACATCATGTATTTTTAACATGGTTACAATTCAGAAAGATAGTACATACATTTTTCATTTTTAAAATTGCCATTCAAATAATTTGTGTAGGTAATATATGTCTAACCTGGTTTAAACTTCGCCATATCTTTTAATTCCTAATACTACCTAATACCTACATATTTGTAGGATATATTTTGTTGAAATTCCAATGTATATTTATTTGGCCTATAAATAGTGTGAGGGCAAAGGTGGGTGTTAGCCTCCAAAATGTTATTTTAATTGAGCCTATGATTTGTAGCCCATGGGTACACAAATCATTAATCACACACAGCTTCTGCATAGATTGAAGTCTGGCTCATGAGGTAAAAAAAATAAATATCAAAAACACCAAATACAAAAAAATATCTGTACCCCTAATTTGCCAATTTTCCAAGATTACATTTTTCATTTTCCATTTCCCACAGAGACGTGACTGGTTAAGTCCAGTTTGCAGTCTTAGAAAAATTTTGATCCCTGAAAGTCTGCCTCTTGGGAACAAAGTCTCGAAAAATAACCCATACATTTTCCATTCTTCTACCTTACCTTCAGTTCTTCAATTAGAATTAACATTTTCCAATTTTTTACTAAAATATACCATAAAAGCCATGTTAAAAAGTATTAAAAATTAAAATATCGAAATTCTGATTGATGTTTTATTATGGCACTATACTAATATAAAACCACTATAGCATTTTCTGATATTTTTAAGTTTAGTTTTGATCCCGAGAGCCAGACAATGTCAGTGAAAATACAATTTTTCAAATTCGCAAACGCGCAATTCTAACCCTGTAATTATCGGCGGAACACCTTGGTAAATGAGAAAATCGAAAAATTGATCTTGGGACATTGACATGACGGAACATTGGCAAGACAGAAAATTAAGTATTTGACGTTTTGACTTTATTTTTTTTTCCTCCAATAGCCGCAATTCAATACCCTACACGTGACTTAAATAAACTTAATACTTAAATTTTGAACATACGACAAAGTACCTGGCAAATGAGTTATTTCCAACAGCTCTATACAGTACACATTAACTAATAAAAATGTATATTTTACAAAATCAAATCAGTACTCACTTGATACTTCAGATGATGATCTCATGATGATTTTGGTTTATTTAAATGCCCATGTATTATTATTAAAATAATTTTAACAAACTATCAAAATCAAGAGAATAGATTCAACTATTTAAGTTATAACGTACCATTGAATAGATTAAGCAGACTTAACAATAGGCGTTAAGTATAAACAAATTACAAAACGCTGTTATCTTTAGAATTTAGAAGATTTTTATGTTTCGAAGTTGGTGTACCTGAATCTCAATTTGTTTTTCTATGCCATTTGCTTCATAGATGTTACGGCTATAGATATTAAAAATCTATGATTTGCTCATCATTTTGGGAGACCGGACCCATAGGGCAATAGAGTTGTTCAACTCATGAAGACTATAAAAAATAGAACACAAAATAGTCAATTGAAGAAAGAATCATTGAATCATAGTCCACGGAAAGAATAAGGAGACTAAAGTTTTACGGCCGCCAACATAAAAAAACGTCCCGAAATGAGTCGCACGATTAAACGGCCACAGACTGCGCTGCGTACGCTAGAGGGTTGGGTTAACTTTAAACCGCCTAGTATAGTGATTATTCACATTTTTTGGAAAATGCATGCATTTTTCGAACCATAACCTATTAAAAATTGCATAGCTCGTCAAATTACACATTCATACATTATTTCATAAACATACCCGACAATGCATGGTGTTGCTACACGGCAACAACTGATACAAATTGTTATAATAAATTACCCATCTACGTGAGATACTATTAATCATTTGTTATCGAACATAATATGATAATATATGGTTTTCATTTAAACTAGTAGATTTCAGTATATAATTGAATTTATCAAAATTTTAGATATATTTGTAACGAAAATTACAAACAGCCTACACAATATAATAACCAACCACAATAAACTATGCTCCGATCACTCAACAGTCCTCACTGTAGACACAATTTCCCTAACAAGCCAAGTAGCCTAGTTTAATTTAAGGTCGTATGGACTGGGAGACCTCCGGAACTCAACTCATCACCAAATTAATTTTAAAACCAGTCTAAATCACCTCAAGACATAGATGTCGCTATTAATACCCTGACAACGTTTATTCAACAAGCAGCATGGTTCTCCTTTACTTCAAACCCACCCAACAAATCTGCACATCATCTTCCACAATTCATCAGAACCCTAATCCCGGGAAAAAGAAAGCCCGCGCTACGCACCAAATATTCCTTCGACAAACGACTATTCAATCACTTAGTCAGTAAACTGTAGATAATCTTAGCTAAAATCAAATCTGACAACTTTACAAATCACCTTGTTTCTCTATCTACCACCGACAACTTTCATTGAAAAACCACAAGAAAAATTTTTCGCTCATTATGCCCTGTCCCCCCTTTGAAAAAGTCTGACGGTACGTGGATTTATTAGTGATTTAGAAAAAGCAAACGAATTTCGTCATCACTTACACTCTAAGTTTCAGCCTCATAATGACATCATATCACACAACAAAATATAAAAAATAAATCACTTCCTATTTAGTCCACTACCTCTTACCCTTCCACCAAAACACATTAGACCTAGTGAAATCGAGTTCATAATCCGTTAATCAGCACGACATAAAACTCTAGGATACAATTTCATCACTTCTGAAGTCGCTTCTAAACTATCTAAAAAAGCTATATCATCACTTGCGCATATCTTTAACTCAATACGCAGGTTTTTATACTTTCCAGTGCTTTGGAAATTCTAGGTCATAATTATGATGCTCAAGCCTGGAAAACCTCCGACTTTCCCAGCTCATATAGGCCCACCTTCCAAACAATCAATTCAGCTTTCGTAATAACCATTCCACTACACACCAAGTTCATCGCATAATCGACAAAATTTACTATTCCCTTAAAAAAAAACTAGTTTGCACAGGCACTTTCTTGAACGTTTCACAAGCCTTTGACAGGGTTTGGTATCATGGTCTCCTTTTAAAATTAAAAACAATATTTCCCTCCAGCTTTTACTTGATCTACAAGTCCTAACTTGAAGACCGGCACTTTTCTGTACGATATGGCTCAGCCTTATCTGATATTTCTTTAACCGGAACTGGAGTCCCACAAGAAGCTGTAGCAGCACTTCTTTTATTTAACCTTCACACATCAGATTAACTAACATCCAACTCTACTATTATTGGGAACTTCGTTGTCAATAAAGCTATCCTGGCCCTCTTGAGGCATCCAATAAAATTCAGGCTTACCTAAACATATTTTCAGCCTGGTACAAAGAGTGGGGATTCAAAATCAATGAATCCAAATTTATCCACTGCACATTCACGCTCTGACACATTCTCTGCCCCTCTATCATAATACTTAATAGCCAACATCTCCCAACTGCTCAAAATGTTCGTTACCTCGGAGTAAATCTAGAATCTACATCGCCGTCTTACTTGGGCTATCCACATGCGTATTAAACGACTAATCCTTAACAACTGTCAAAAGCAGCTTTGCCTTCTTCTTTCATCCAAACATGTTACACTTCATAATAAAATTCTACTTTACAAGCTTCTCCTTAAATCTATCTGGTCTTCAGTTTTTGGGTTCAGTTAAAGGACTCAAACATAAACAAAATCAAAACTTCCAGTCCAAATGCCTCAGACAGATAACCAAAGCCTTTTTTTGTGTGTCAAGTGATACCTCTCTACAGAGACCTAACCTACTCATTCTGTATGTTAAAAACATTGCCAAAAGACTTTACAAACGCTTCCATCTTAATAACAAATCATCGTAACATACTCATCAAAAATCTCTCTTCCCAAACGATCCCAGGGGATCCCAGCCGGTGTTTAAAACGTAACTGGTGCCGTGACCTCCTAGCTGACCATTGCCACACACGTCATGGAGTCCTGTTACTGAATAGGTTCTCCAATCAAGCTAATCAAACTCACTTGTTTTTCTCTCCATCTATTGTGCTTATTGTAAAATTGTAATACAAATTTTACAAATAAATAAAGATGATATAAAAAAAAAAATGATTCATCAATGGTTCAGTATGCAGAAATTTGGGATGGTGATAGGAATTTCTCTAAGATTTATGATTATCTATGTACGGCCATTGTGTAAAAAAATAAAATAAAATCGATTTGATATATAGGTTACCTTTAAACCGCTGGGCAGAGATAATTGAATTATTATTATAATTTTTTTAAGAACTTTTATTTACATTCTGAAAGCTCAATGATTATAAATTATAATATATACAACAAGATTAACCAAAATACAATAATTAAATAAACAGAAAACTAAAATTTTAAAATAAAATTAAATCTTAAACTAAATAGAAAATTATAACTAGATAACTATATTGATAACTTCTTCAAAATAATTGAATTATTTTATTTGTAAAACGATAAAATACGGTTGTTACTTACACGCAACAGTATGTGTACAATACCCCTACCTATATTAAATTCCGACATACCTACCTAATGCTGTAACAATGTAATAATAGTAATTAATAATATTTACTATAGACTAAAATCAAAAAAAATCATGCATTGTAGGGTTAATATTTAATATTATATCATATACATGTATTAAAATAGATACTAAATTAAATAATATTTTGACTAAATTATCATAAGTTTAATATAGATATTGTGCTAAATATAGCAATTCATGAAGACTAAATTATTCTAATATAAAAAAAAAATATTTATGAAATGATATTCATATGCACATGTATAAATACGTAGTTCAATGAGCTATACAATTTATAATGGGTCATGATTTGAAATAATGCATACGTTTTTTAAAAAACATGAATAATCGCTAAACTACACCGGTTAAAGTAGCAACTCTAGCGTACCTGTGGCCGTTTTAAATATGCGACTCGTTTCGGGACGTTATCAGAAATTCAGAAATGGGGTTTGGTCTTCTTATTCTAGTCTTCAATTTATTCTTCATGGTTGTACTTCAAGGTGTATTGATCAATACGCCTTGTTGTACTCTATGGGGGAGAATCAAGATTAAAGATAATATTATCTACAGCTGTGGGAAGAACTGGATGTAATAATTGAGAGGTGAGTAATTGATAAATTGTAAAAATCGAAAAATTTCTTCTTATTCTTTATCCCAACTATTTGGTGTAGACCACCCTTATCCTGAATTTCTTCTTAACCACAATGCGATATTGTGTTATAGAAAAAATTATTTTCACCAACTATCAAGTTTGGGTTTTTGGACTTAGCGGGGTTCGCAGAAAGTTTTATGTAGATGAGATTGTTTCGGGCACTTAAAAAGTTTATTTTAATTTTTGTTTGATATTTAATTAAATATATTGTGTTATATATTTTTCAATTCTATATTTATTATATATTTTCTCTGCATTTGCTTGAAATCTCCACCACTGTTAGCCAGTTATTTCTAATGAAAATGTGGAATAAACTATGGTTTAGCTTACAAATTTATTAAGTAAGTAATAAGATAATAAGTACTGGACTTCATGATTATAGACAAGGGAACATTAGATTTAAATACAAACTAAGATAATATTCTATCCTAATTCGTAATTTAGATTTCAGTTCATAGTTTATTATTCCATTAACATCAGCATTTTAGGGGGAGGGGTCTAAAATCATCATTTCAATCAATTTGGTAATTTTTTTTTGCCTTGTTAAATTTTTAAAATTTTCAGAACATTCTTTTAGCTTCAAAAGAATGTCAGGTCCAAACCTATGAAATAATACATACATTATTATAATCAAATAGTAGTTATGAGATACTTAAGTAAAAACAAAGAATACTTTATTTAAGTTCTTAAAAAACTTATAAAGAAAAATACAGGAATTATTGTTATATAAATGATTTTATTTATGTGTTAACTATTACAATCTTTTAAAAACTTTAAATTCATATTGAATACCGTTTTCTTCTTGAATATCTTTGGGTATATAAGGTTCAAATATTTCTTCAAAATTGTTAGGATCAAAATCTGGGAAAAAAGTATCACATACAAATTCCTGATTGATTTTAGTTATATATAAATATTTGCAATTTTTGTCATTGATAGCTTCATTATATAAACCTGTACCACCAATTATCCAACATTTTTCTACACAATCATTTGAATATAAATCTTTTAAGGCTTCTGTAAGTTTAGGATATAATAAAATTCCTTCCGGTACACTATTCAGAGTCTTTGAAATAACTACATTTATACGGCCTTTAAGTGGCCTATATTTATCTGGTATTGATTGCCATGTATTGCGACCCATAATAACAGCATTTTGAGTATTTTCACGATTCACCTGTGTAGTTATTCGATTGAAATATGCCATTTCTTTTTTAAGTCTCCATGGTAGATCACCTTTATAACCAATACCTCCATTTTTTGATACTGCAGCTATGATGCTATAAGCGAAATTGTCCATTGTACATTACCTAAATTTATAATGATATGAATTTTAAATATTGAAGTAATTATTCCCACTATACCATGTTGTGTTGGTTTGATTTAATTAGTTTTTGTTAAATTGATGGTAACATCACACAAGTTATATGATAAATATATCTAACACAACACGTCATGATGTAGTGAGTACAAGATACTATAATACAAATTTAAAAAAAAACGATTAATACATTTTAAGTTAAACAAAACACAAAAAGTTTTATTGTTATACACTTTTAAATACCTGTTGATGTTAAATTTTAAAACGTACAGTTATGTTTTGAAATTTATAACAGCAATAAGCTCTCTGGTATAGCCATATTGCTAGACGTAATCACGGATCTAGATAGATAAGATTGAAAGATTCTTATAGCTGCTGTGCATATAATACTTGGATCATTTACAATTATATACGAACAAAGATATAAAATTATAAATATAATGAAAATGATTAAAACTCTAAAGGAGAATGAAAAATTATTAGTAAAATTATTTAAATAAATTATAGATGATAAGAGTAGTTTGTTTCCCGCCCTTTTCAAACAAATTTAATATATTTAAATATCTGTGGGTAGCATAAATATATTACCAGGGACGTAGGCAGAAAAAAGTTTTGGGAGGTGTTTTTTTAAAATCAGTTATTGGAACTTTTTTTAGTAAACATATGAAAGATTAGGTTAGGTGAGGTTAAACTTAATACTTTGGGAAATTGTCTGCATATTAAAAAAGTAACCATTGCAGTACCTGTAGCAGCTGTTGTTAATTTAAAATTATTGTATTTAATTTTTGGTTTTCTAAATTTATAATATAAACAAATATCTACTTGATAGAATCTAATAATTGACATTAGAATATTAATAAATAATAATACAAAGGTTATAAAAGTATAATCATAGTTCTATTTACAACTGTAGGTTTTATCCCTAGAGAAAAATGTATTGGATAAAATTATTTTATTTTATTAAATAATGCCAGGCAAATTATAATTTGTCAGCTTACTTGACACATTGGTAATTATGTATTTATGTGGTAGTGTGAAATAGGAATCAATGTTATTTTACAGGTACTACCTGTTCCATAATTAATTTGATGGAAATTTGTGTTCCTCATGTCTAATTCAATCCTCTATAAGATAAATTAAGAAATAAACTACAGATAGTATATGTTATTTGATGAAATTACTATTTTTTTAAAATATTATTTATTTACAAATATATAAATGAGTATAATTATTTACATAATTATATTAATTTACAAAAAAAAAAAAAAACCAAAACTATAAAGTATATACAAAATATAATTTTACACAATAATTTATATGATTCAAGATTTATTTTTATTAATAACTTAATTTTAAAATTAAATTACACATAGGTTAGAGAAGAATATGTATGTATATATTATGATTATTATGGAATAGTTTGTACAAAATGGTTAACAAAAAAAAAATTAATTTCTATAAAATTGTAAAATGGTTAATTCAGTTTTACACACAAGATTTAAATTTTTTTTTTATTATGAAAAGTCTGCCAGTTGAGCTATCTTAAAATTATGGAAATTTTAAAACATCATGGTATAAAATAATACTTTGAACACTTATAAAATACAATTATATAAAAATTGTATTAATATTAACCTACCGATGTGTGATTACCTTAAAATGTTAAGATTGTCTATTTTTTTTAAATAAAAAAACATAGACGTCCATTAATTATTTAGAATCAAAACGCTTTATTTAAATTATAAACATAAACGTAAAAAAAAATATCTACAAATTAAAACCGATATTATTTTACTCTATCAACAGTTTAAGACTTTTGTTTTAGCTAATAAAGTAGTCCTATATATTAATTATTTATTTTAAATTCTATTATAAAATCTTAAAATCTAACAAAAGTGAAAATTGAGATCTTTTATCTTTGACTAAATGTCAATTTTATTAAATTTACTTAAAGCTAAATAACTGTATATTGACTAAAAATGTAAGTAAAAAAAAATATATATATTCAAATTTGGAAAAAATAGAAGAATAAACCCTATCTATTACAAGCATTTATTTTAGGACCATTTCGTCATGTTGTCAAAAAAATAAAACAATCACAGCTAAAAAACAACCCAAGACTTATAATAACGTAAACTTTAAAAATAATTGGTAATATAACAAGTACAAAATGAAAAAAAAATTGTTCGATTTTAATGAAAAAGGTTAACAAATAGTTAAATAAAAAAAAAAATAACATTATTTTACGTATTGCACGTTAACATGTAAATTTATTTTAACTTAAACTAGATAACAAAATTATAATTAATTGACATCTGCTGGCCTTAACATGATAATATCAATTTGGAGTATTCATAGAACATTTGTTTATATTATTATTTCAATTAACAACAAATTGAGGAAAACAACAATTCAATAATACAAATATACACATTATATTATACATACACATGTCAATTCAAATTAAATATTATATATATAAATAAATAAATAAATAAAAATGTACAAATTAGAATTAAATAAATAACTTACATTTTACTAATATATTTCATACACATAATACTTATCATTGATAAGATTAATTTTATATATACAAACTAAAAAATTGTATTACCGTCACCGAACTTCACAGTTATTGTTTAATGAAGTATCAGTGGTGGTTTGGTTACTAGGAGGTTTCATAACATATCCTTCTTTACATCTAGATATTTTAAGTTTAATGGGGGAAGCTTTTTTAGGTTCTTTTACTTCACTAACTTCAGCTTCATCTGGTGCAGCTTTTGAAAATCTAATAATTAATTTAGGGGTACTTTGTTTGGCTTCTATCACCTGAACTTGAGATATTTCTTTATTAATGCGTGGTTTCTTCTTCCTCGAAACTGATGGACTAGACCTGCGTTTCTTTTTACTTTTCACAGTACTAGGAGCTACTGAAATTGATGAAGAAGCTAGATCATCTTCTTCAAAACGTGCAAACACTTTCTTTCGGAATTTCATACTATCACGTCGTAACTGTTCCATAGTGGGCGCTATCAAATGATTAGTTTCATCATTTTGAGTATCACAAATACGCTTTTTAGGTGGTCTAAGACTCCGCTTTTCTTCCATTGTTGTAACCATAGGCTGTTCACCAATTTTGATTTTGAGCTTGGGTGTTATAGTTTCACATTTACGAATATTGTTAATACAATTGGATTTTGGATCATCAAATCCATACTTTGTACGCTTTTTTTCCATATTAGCATCTACTACTGCTTTGTAGTCTTCCTTGGTAGGAATTGTTGTCATAGACGCTACTGCTTTTGGTATTGTAATGACATTTCTGCTTAGTGGAGGTACTATAGGATGATTAGTTGTTTGTTCTATATTATCTTGTTGGTTACAATATTGCCGAAGTAATTCTTTCTTTCTCATTTGTCTGAAATTTGATGGTAAACTAGGGGCTTCTGAAGGAGGAACTGAATGACTTGGTATATTCATAATTATAGCTGATGTATCAATTGTAGGTAATATTGGCTGATTTTGAACATTGTTGTACTTTGCATTTAAAAATGGCCCTTTTATTTTAACTTTTAATTGATTCCTAGATTCACTTTGTAATACTGTACTAGAAGCTATTGGTTCTTTTTCTACAGGAAGTGGTGGTTTAACCGTTTTTATTTGCTCTTCAAAAGAATTTAACTGATCCTCAATATCTTTTTCTTTATCTTGAGCAGATAATTTTGATAAGTTCTGTAAGTCTTCTTTCAAAGTATTCACCATATCAGTTACTTTGTCGTCAACATTGGTATTTGTGTCATAAATGTTGTCAGAGTATGATGTTATATTTTCATATGAATTATACGTTCTCATGTCGACTGGTCCTGGCAACATAGGTGACAATTCATCGATTGTCGTTTGGGCTGTTGTATCATCAGGATTGATTTCTACAATTGGGGATGGCGGTTTAAGTTCTTTAACACTAGCGTGTTTTCTTCTATAATTATTTGGACTGCTTTGTATTTTAGGAGATACAGGCGATTTACTTTCAGCTTTAACATCAGACTTTTTACGTTCTCGCATTGCCCGAAGATTTTCCATAACACCATTATTATCATTTCCAAACTCTTCAACGAAATCAAGATCATAGACAGTACCTGCAAGTTTACTAACAGCAGGATTAAAATCAGCATAGTGATTTGATGAACGCCCACGTCCTCGCCCTCGACCACGTCCAGAATTTTTTGACTGAGGTTTTGGCCCTCGTTTGTTTTGTTTTTTAACCTCAGGAGATCGATCAACTACATCGGGAGATTTATAAGATTGAGCAGAAACACGACTCGAAGATCGAGTTGCTTTAGAAGGAGATTTCTTATCAGAGGGTGTTCGGTTCGGATGAGGTGAACTAGTAAATGAAGGAGATGAAGCAATAATAGACATAGGAGATCGTTCAGGTAAAGGAGTTGTGGGAAGAGCGGGTGATTGTTTAGGAGTCGGTATACTTGGAACAGTTTGATTAGATACTTGACTAATACTGATTGGTGTCTGCACTGGAGTTTGATTAATGATGTTTTGACTAACTTCGACTTGACTTATTGATGAAGTATAAACATCTGGGGTAGACGTTTTGCTTATAGGTACTTGGTTTGTTGTAGGTGCAAGTGTTTGTGTTGATAATTGAACGTCATGAGTTGTTACTTGTACACTAGTAACTACTTTAGTTTGACTAATAACTGGTTCTTGATTATTAGAAATTGATATTACAGGTATTAGTTCAGTCGGATTATGTGAAGTAATTGGTACTTGATGGTGATTTGATGTTGATGATTGTACACTAATTATTTGAGTTTGGTTATTTGTTGAAGCTGGGATTAAATTATGACTGCTAGGTACTTGGCTACAACTAGACACTCTAGAAGCTTGACTTGTTGATAAATTAGACATTTGATTATCCATATTAGATGCTTGACTTATTGTATTAAGCACATTATGCATCACAGATTCTGTTGGTAATGGTAAATTATTACTATTTGCACACATCAAAAGATTATTATCAGTATACACATTCATATCGTTGAAAGGAGGAATGAAATTATCGTGATGCGTCATTGGAGATATCATGGCTGCAGTAAATGCCATGTTTTGAGTTGATGAAGTAAAAGCTGCAGTACACGGAGTTTGTAAATGTAAAGGTTTATTAATTTCAGGCATTAACGAATGGCTTGAAAATGGTTGAGGCAATGCAAATTGTTGAGGATTGAAAGCCCGCGAAGAAGACATAAAAGATAACTGATTACTTGTAGGTGGGGCGTTCAATATATATGATGGATCTGAATATTGAGAAAACTGTATATTATCCATTTGCATTGGCACAGATGTTGGAAATGGATGTACGGGTTGATATGACTCTGTTGTAGTTGGGTCTCGATGGTCAGGAGAAGGTTCATTTGATGTATCCGAGCGTCTAGATGGCATGACAACACTATCTGACCAACGATTGGCATCATTAATATCCTGATAAGGGGATTCTGCTTGACTACGCTGACTAGGTGGTACCCATCTCTCGTCAGACAAAGCACTTTCACTTCTATCCAATTTGTCTCTTTCCGGGACTTTATTCACATCAACTACTTCATTGGACTGTTGATGGAATTTATTATACGCATTGTAAAGTGTGTTTTCGGTTTTTTGTTCTGGTTCAGATTGTTTAGGTGGATCAATTACTTTAGAGGATTCATTTAACTCAATATTTTCTATATTCTCATTTTCTAGGGGTACAGATATTTTTGTGATTCCCAACCTTAACTTTTCAACAAGGTTCAATGTTTCTCTAGCTGTTACTTCTTTAGAATCATCTTTAAAGAGGAATTCATTGCTAAATGAAAAAGACAGTGGGGCATTTCTTACATCTGTGTCTCTTGTTAGTCCAAAACCTTCTTCATTTGCTGCTTGTTCAACAGCAAGCATATCGTTATCAAAGTCAAAGTCTGGAATATCTTTGTTACACTGTTGTGGAGAAAATATAGATCTTTGACCTCCAGGAAAATGATTATTACAATTAAATGGCATTTTGGAGAATTTCTTATCATAATCAATATTATTAACTAATTCCCTTTCAATATCTTGTCTAGTTAAAAATGAAGAATTTAATAAATTTTCTTCTTTGAGATCATTTAGACGATGACCACTTGGTAAATATAAGTTTAATTCATCGGTTTTCTTATTTTCTTTATCTGAAGTATGTTGTACTGGTGTTACATTTTTATTTTTAACTTCTTGGATATTTTTGTTAAATCCATGGTCTTCTTTAAGAACCCGTTGATCACCTTCATCAAATTTCAACTTCTTCTCAATCTCTTTGTCCTCAACTGCATGTGTGGGCTGTTTCGTTTCATATTCAAGCTTAAATCCGTCCGGCTGACTAGGTGATGTTCTAACGTGGTCACAATCGCTTGGTTTTCTATTTCCATCACTCCCGACACTAGAATCTCCACATGTGATGACTTGAACAGTATCGCATCTATCACTTCCAATCGATTTTCTTCTAGATTCCTCTCTCTTAGGTGGCGGATCCTGAAACCTGTGTTCAGGCCGCCTGTCGGAAGTTTTAAGCTTCTTGTCTGGCGCCCTGATCACTTTTTGGTCTTTATCCGACTCACTACTAGAGGAGGAACTTATCTTTATAGGTTTATTCTCTGATAACCAACCCTTAGCTTTAGGAGGGCTTTTAATTTTACCAACTTCTTTAACTGGACTTACACGATCAATAGTTTTAGCTTTCTTTTCGGGTTCTGTATCACTATCAGAAGTAGATGAACCCGATGAAGATGATGTACTAGATGAACTTGATGTGCTTGAAGAACTGCTAGAAGAGCTGCTACTTGACGTTGAGGATAAAGAAGACTTTGTACTACGCCTTAACTTAGCTGGTTCTTCTTTTTTAATAGGTTCAGATACTTTGGTTTCTTCTATAGGTTTTGTCATACCACTTTTAATGCCTTGAATAGCTTTTTTAGCTGCTTGCCTTTGAGGAACAAATGAGAATAAATCTTGAGAGTCAGATTCTTTTTCTACTGAACTTAATTTTTCAGCGTTTTTAATTTTATTAATTTTGATAGGTTGTTGTTTATCAGGAGATTTAATATTAGAGCCAACTCTTTCAGGAGATTTTTTATTTACTAACAATTTTTCTGGAGATTTCTTTTCAGATGACATTTCATCATGTTTACCATGCACCCGATGAATACTTTCAGTAGCTTTCTTAGCAGCTTGCCTTTGAGGTACAACAATAAGTTCTGAAGGCAATGTAGGATTATTTTTAATGTCTTCTTTTTTAATTTTCTTAATATCTTTGTCTAATGATGTCTCTTTAGTTTTAGAAACCAAATTATTTTTATCTTTTATTGTTTTATTTTTGGATTTTCCTTGAGTTAATTCTTTCACAGCTGCCTTTGTTTGTGTTACAGATAGACCATCTTGTTTAGCTGACAACTCAGAATCTGAGTCTGAATAAATATTATTCACCTTAGTTGGACGTTTAGATAAAAGTTTAGGTAAAGAATCATCTCCACTATCATCACTGCCAAATTGTTTTTCAATTTGCAATAATTTTTTATTAGGTGACGTACTCCATTTTGTTTTAACTTTATCATTTTCTTCTTCTGTAGATGAATCAGTAGAAAGTTTTGTTTTTGATCGCTTTTTATTTAGCCTCTTTTCTTTCAATTTATGTTTATTCAACACTGACTTAATTAATTTAGCTTCATCCATACTTGATTGTTCACTACTAATTATCCTAGGAGGTTTAAGTTCAAGATCACTACTACTTGACATACTTGAGTATCGAATAGATCCATTGACATATGACCTTTTATATGGGTTGTCTCTTGAAGGCCATTTCATGCTAGTGTAATTTGATTTTTCTGGTGAAACAGCTCCAGCAATATGTGATAACATAGTTTCAAAGTCTGTACTTAAATCTGGAGCATCAGGATAAGAGTATAAACGATCATAGATTGAAGGACCGTGATTAGCGTCTTGGACGGCTGATACTTCTGCTGAACTAAGATTAAGCTTGGAATCCGAAAGCACGGCTATTTGTTTATGGAAAGTCTGCTCACGCAAACTTAGTAAATTCCGAGAAAGTTTTTCTCTTCTACTAACCATGTAACACAAATTTCGAACCTAATAAAAGAATTAAATTGTATAGTAAACCATTACAGTCAAATTAATTTTAGTTTTATAGCTTACCCTTTCTAAATCTTGTCTGAGTTGGACGAACATTTTAAGTTTTTCTAAATCTGCTTGTTCTTGTTGTCTTCCAAGAAGATCACCATCATCAGATTTTGGTAATAACAATGGACGATTATTTCCAGACCTTCTTTTTAATACCCAATAGTTATAAATATACACAATACCATCATTGTCAACATCTCGACATTGTGTAACATCAATGACACTAACATGTTTTTCAAATTCACCTTCAATTTCTTGAAGTCTAAACAAAAAGTGACAATTATAAAAAATAAAAATTATACATAAAAATGTACATACTTTGCTGCTCTGGCTTGGTTTTTTTCTTCGGAAGTCATATCTTTACGTTTTCTTTTAGTTGAATCTTCATCTTCTGAACCAGAATTTCTATCTTTTTTACTTGTAACACTATGTTTTTGGCAGTAGGACTGAAAAATTATTAATGAAATATTATTATTTAAAAAAAAAAATTCAAAATGTTTAATACTAACCCGTAATTTTACTCCATCTTCAGCACTTTCATCTTCTATAATTGCTCTCATTTCCAGACCATGTTTGAAAGCACAAGTAACATGATATGCTGTTTTGCATGTTTTAACTGAACATTGTATACACGCTCCCACTCGTTCACGACATAATACACATATAAGTGCCCAACGACTAGGCTAAAATCATTTAATTATATTTGGTTAATTGTATTCTACTTTGTATCATTATCATACTTACGGGTATACTAGATATTTTGGTAATAGGTTCCATTTTTTCTACACACCCAATGCTAACTTCTGGTATCCATAGTGCACAAGACACATGAGCCCATTTATGGCCTGACCGTGTACATTTCATTGCACCATTTTTATTTGGACAAAGTACACATTCAGGACGAAAACGTAAAGTACAAGTTCTACATAACCATGAACCAGATGGAATTGTGGTAATACCATAACATGCTTGGTGAACACATATATTGCAATTATCACAAAACACCATTTCATTACCATCTTCAGAGTCCGGCTAAAGAACAATAAATAATATTAATATAAAGACTGTTTGTAATTTTCATACAAGACATAATATTAAGTTGTAGACTACATTAAAAACTAATGAGAAATAATCAAAAACAATTTAATTATTAAGTTTTATACTAAAATAATTGAAACTAATTTTAACAATTGTTTTTTGGTATGAATTGTATTTATACAATTTAATTCAAATATAATATACTACTTTTAATGTTATTTTATTATACATTTCAAATAAATATTTTCTATTCTATCATTAATTATATAAATATATGATATCAATGAAAAATAAATAAACTTATGAAACTTTAAGAACGCTGCCTATTTGCATTCGCAGCAAAAATTATAAATAAATGGTTGTTTTTAGCAATGTGCCTCATGATAAGAATATATTATACTTAAAGGCATGGGCAAGAAGAGACCATGGGGCGGCAATGATTTTTCCTTGGGTTTTTAATTCCTATATATTGATATACATACCCAAAAAGGTTTAAAAGAGGGGAGAGAGGTAAAAATGCACAAAAATTAAATACTACAAATTATATTATTTAATATAACACTAAAATCTTAAACAGAATAACTTATATCTATACTAAATTAAAAAGATGGTATAAAAATGTTTATATAGTTATTTCATGACATAATGGACACTAGTTAGCATATTAAATTAGCAATAAATGTATAGTAGACTACATGGATATTTAAACTATGCAATAATAGAAACCTTTATAAAAACCCAACATTTGATCATATTTCAAATGTTGAACCTAATCAGGAAAATAAGTACTAATAATGACTCACTGAACGACACACATCACATATAACATTTTCATCATATTCAATACCCAGGCCTTCTTCTTCTTTAATTATTGCTTGCACTTTTTCCCAACACCTCATTTCTAATTCTTCCATTACACGTTCAAATTGATCATCTTTTATTTTTGGTAAACCTGATAATAAAACATCATTTTATTTACAATTAATAGAACATAATAATATTTTTAATATGATGAAATTACCTCCTAACGATCTTTCACCATTACACAATTTTAGCCATGCAGTATCTACATCATCCATATCATAGGAACAAGATTTTTCAGCTTTTAAAGGTAAAAGTGATAACTGATGTTCTTCAGTTTTAAAATGTTCATCTTTAGTGATACGAATATACTTGTGTTTTGGCCTGAAACAAAATATTAAATTAACAACATATTCAAAGAAGATAATTACATATTTGTAATACATACAGTTTAAATTCATTATGCTGTGAATGATAAATTGATGATGGTGAACGTTTAGGGGATTTTATTAAAGCTTGCAAGCAAACAACTGGTACTTCGTGAACACTTGATCCTGGCAAAGAGTCGGGATTAACTGGTACTTGTACACCACGTTCCCACTCTTGCTTCCATTGGTCACTTATAATCCAATAAGCATCAGTAGATAACTGTTCAGAATCAGGAAGCTTCATGGCACTGATTAAGTCTTTGCGAAATAACTACAAAGGTAAATTGCGTTTAATAATGAAGATTCTTTTAAAATATATCATAAAGTGTAAATAAAAATTTACTTCTGCTGGTGCATCAGTAGTAGTTCGTGTATTATAAATTGATGATGGTATTTTCATATCTGAACGTGAGCCACTTTGAGTATCTAAGGAGGACGCTTCTTCTTCTTCCTGTAACGTCGAAGGGCGCCCCTTCCGCCTCTTTGTCGGTACTATAATTAAATTAAAAATATAAAACCTATCATTTTTAAATTGTTTTAAATAATACTTACATGGACATTCATCTTTAGAGATCGGTTGACGTTTAGTTCTATATGACATACTTAGTTTGCAAATGATAAAAAATTATCTCCGCCTTGTGCAGCATCGATGCCTATAATATAAGACATAATAAATTTAACTATACAAATATCACATGACAAATTTTAATGAAGTGAATTTCCTTTAAAATATTAATTTAAAGGTATCAACATAAATTGATAAAACAATAAAAATCATTCATTTATTTATGTGATTATAGGATTCATTACCTAACTACTAGATAGAAATAAATATAAAAAAAAGAATTACTTGTTCCATTTCTTAAATGAAATATATAATTCTTTTTAAAAAATATTAAAATAATTTGTATGTACTTACCACATAGCAGAGTTGAAAATGAAGGCTTAAATATATTCTCTTGATTATGCTTAACTATTCAACTGAAAACAAATGTTATTAATTTAAAAAAAAATTGCATAGACATTAACTGTCACAATAATAATTATGGTTAATGGATTGGTACTACTCGTATAGATAAACGTGACTGTAAGTTATTGTATACCTAACTAAATTTGAATTATAGCCTATAGGTAACTAAAATACAAATAAAAGGGTTGATAATAAATTAGGACAATAACTATATAATATTATGTCTATATATGGTTCTAAAAAACTAAAATTCTAAAATTTATATAAACATATACATTTCTAAAATAAATTTCTAATTCATTTTGGGTGAAATTCCAGCAAGTTTTATGTAAATATAATTCAATTTTAAAACATATCACCACTAAGCAACCTGAATTACAAAGATAGCCTATACTATCATATTTAATTAATATAATTTTTGATTAAAACTTATGTGAATACTAGATATGATAAAAGTACGGATTGTATACAAATTTTAATAACAAAATATATTCCACACCACGTTTTCTAATGAAAGAGTAATTTAGTATATTAAAAGCGCATTTTAACTATATAACAATTAACAAGTTAATGTAAAACATATCAAAATCAAAATGTAAAATATTTTACTAGGTTATTAAGCGTCTAGGTAATTGATGGGAAACAATAATAGATAAATATTATGGTTAGTTGAAATTTGACATTTTCAGGAATAAAAATTTATGTAAATTGGCAATTTTGAATTTATAACCCAATAAATTAATTTAAATTGTATGTTAAAAATTCAAATTAAGATGTAATAATGCAAAATTAATTATCCCATCAAAGGTACAGGAAAAATTAAGAAATATACTTACCTAGGTAAATAGGAATATTTGATTGTAATGAATTGGTTATCAATTACTTTGTTATCATTTTGAAATTGAATTAGAAGGTTTGGGCTAATTTAATTTATATGAAGACATCTAACAACTTAAAAACGTGGTTAAAAGTGAATAGGAAACAAAATAAATATTTTATAGACAATTCTTATGAACATGATTTTGTAAACATAAGTACCTTGGTAATTGCATTATGAATATAGGTACATATAAGTATATTCTGAAGACTATAAATGAATGTTTAATAAAATTAATAATTGCCAAAAATACACAGTATTAGAACTCAAATTTCCTACCATAACCAAAGATGTTGATAATATTAGTACGTAAATGAATCGAAACGTTAATTTATATTGCGAAAAGTTTGTGATGTGCGCTAGATACGAAGCGTTCTAGGAAATAGCTTGACAATAAATTAAGACTTACCGGATTTTATGTGTTGTCAAATGTCAAATGGCGAATATCGAGCTTGTAGAAACTGTACCAATGCTGGTGCATTCCATTGCTGCCTAGACGCGGGTTGTTATCTGAACACTGGTAACAATTCGTAACAAGAAAATATAGCTGGGATATTTATCTGGTGGTGAATAGTTTCGGGAGACAGTCGAAAATTGATTACATTTTTCGAACGAGGGAAATCAGTCGTAAAGGCCTAAAAATAAAAGTACATACGCGAATTCGCACCAAAAAACTCTGGATCGAAATATAATAAAACGTAGATAATGACAACAAACGCGGGCAGCCGGCAGATGGCACCACCGTTGTTGCCCGTGTTTTCGTTTTGATTTGACGGCGAAAAAAAGGATGCGGGACAAAAATCGTTAACACATACGATAATCTGCTTTGTGTCTAATACAAGCCTAATCAATTCCTTATGATTTGCCCGAAAACCGAAAGACAGCGTACTTACGTATGACAAGAAGGTAATCCCAAACGGCATAAACGGCGCTCAACACGTCCTCATTTCGGTCGTGGGCCAGTATACATCGGCGGTAGAGTTGATGGTTCAGGTCAGGCGCGCGCGCGCAGTATAATGGACGACGATATAAAAGGCTGACGTATAACGATCACGGCAATGTATGCATACGGCAAGCGTCCAACGGCGTCAAATACGGTGTACGGACACCAAAACGCGAGCGATACGGGATTTCGCACTTATCGTTTCATGCTCGACACTTGCGAGTAGCGATTGGCGATATTGGATAAAAAAAAACCAAAAAAAAAAAAAAAAAAAAAAAAAAACAAAAAAACACCTTCCTGCTCCTGATGACTGCAGTGCAACCAACCCACCCATATAACTATTCTCTTTAGGGTTTATATTGTGATATACGAACTTCTTCTGATTCGATAACAGAAAAATAATAATATTCAAAACCAAATCTACATTCTACATTTTACATTATAAAATTCGTAATGTTTTCGAAACGGACGCACGTCACGCACGGTTCTCCGTACTCTTCATTGAATTATATAATATTATCGTCTTTTTATTCCGGTCCGGTATTTTATATTTGTTTGATATGGTTATCGTCTATTGTGATCATCGTCTTTTTATTCTGGTTCGGTACTTTATATTTATTTAATGTAGTTATCGTCTGTTGTGATTTATTATTGTTACTGCGATATAGGTACCAAAACTATTGCCAACAAGTACATACAATTGTATCATGTTATTTATGTCCAAATATACAAGTACGCATCTCAACAGTGTTCATATTTTTAATTCACCTATTATACTTTTAAAGTTAATTCAATCGAATATATTCTTTTATTAACCGATAAATCAACTCTACTATGTGAAGTGCAACGGTTTAAAACGTATAGGCTGCAATAAACTTAAATTAATCGCGATCGTCAATTTTTCCAATATCTGTCAAAGACGTGAGAATGATTTTCGTGGAATTTTTGCACAATGCCGCGGTTGGTACCTACTCTCTGAAGTGAGATATACGACGTTGTCCGCGGTCGTGGCTGGCGCCACATTCCAATGGTCGTGTGTGCGTTTAAAATATTATCGCCGCACCATTGTAAATAAACGCGTAAAATAATCTTATTCTGATAGTAGCTAATGTTTATTTATTTTTGTTACCGTTCGTAGAGTATCCATATACCTATTATCAAAACTGCGCATGCGCGGCTTTGTGTTAATCGATAAGCACCGGGTCAAACTATAAAAATTTTAATAATTCAATAAATAATAATATACTTATATTGGATTTTGAAGGATACCATTTATTTAATTATTTGTTTTCATATTGCGAAGTCGTTTATCTCGATAACACTTAAAACTCTTTACCATATTATGTAGACCTGTTTCCCGTCTACCGGGTAGCCACCCGTCCCATTGCATAACAATTTATGTTTACATTTTTTCCCGCTCAACGATAACTATATTATTTACGTTCAGACGTCACAACTGAGCTGTTGATCGACGTCATAATATTGTATTATTTGCTTGTATAAGCGTTCTCGTCGCTGCATAAAAGTATAGAACAGTATTAAATACCAGTACCATAAAAACATGTTAGGCACATTGAGTGTTTTATTTGTACTAGCAATTATCGATTGTGAAGACGAACGAATTTATATTTACATATTGTAATTATAATTTAATATCTAGCGAATCTTCTATTATTATAGTATAATCAATAGTACTATTAATAGCATTGGTACAGCTGTAATAAAATTAATTATTTGATACTTTTCACAAATTTTGATACTTCTTGTTATTGTTGTGAATTTATGTCAACAAAAGGTACGTTAAGTTAAGTAATCAAAAATATGTTAGTGTTATTTATATGGGTACCTATAACCACTTATAGTACCTATTTGATATATTTTCGAAATTTCGATAACAATTTGAAGTCTATTGAGTATTTTTAAAATATAATTAATTGATGCATATTAATTCGAATGTATTTTAAAAGAGAAATCATTTAGTGAAATAATAAATTGTACAATCATTGTAAACTGGAGCAAAATTGCTGGTAGAAAATGTGAACACATGAGAAAAAAAGACTATAATATTTTAACCATTTTTAAACTATTTATTACAATTATTTTACTAAGAAAATATCAGATTAATGAATAAAAGAAAAAGACGTCCTACTCGTCCTAGAATATTGGGGTTGAGTGCAGCCACTATTATAAGTAATTTAATATACACTTGTAAGCAATGACTAACCATTACTAACGAAAAAGCGATTCTAAATGGAGTTCAGTTGCTTTGTCAACAACATATATGTTATATTATGGTAAAATTTCAATTAATCAAATTCCAAACTTAAAATTAAATATAATATTTATTTAATTTATCAATTTTCCAGCTTTTCCTACATTTTTCCCGTTTTTCTTACTTTTTTTATTCAGTTTTTCACATTTGTTGTGAAAACTCTGAAGAAAATTGAAAAAGTACCTCCCCACATCGATTTCCTTTCAAAAATGGTGCTGCACATAAAAATTGGAGCAAGATCTTTAGTAGAAAAGTTGTCCAAAGATAAAAAATAAACATTTTTGTCAAACCATGAGCTCCATTCAGAATCTAAAAAACCTTTATACTTTTTTTTGTTAGTTGTCAACGGCTTGAATTCAAAAAAAGACGATACTGTTAGAACGGTTGAGTCTGCTAAACTATTCAAAAACAAAATAAATGCTATCTTTGACACGTTAAATGATTGGAATCTTCAAACCAAGGTTAATATTATATTATTTACTTTTAAAAATTAAAATTTTAGAAAAAAATTCAGCGAATTACGTTGCAGTCGATTTATTAATATTATGTGGATTATATTTTTTTAAATGTTATATCTTAATTAGAGTGATGAAATTAAATTTTTGATACACCTAATAAGTGTTTACCATGGTTAGCTAATCATATTGTCAGACAAACTTAATGCTAGCCCTGATGTTCGTAGGACATAATTTTTTTTTTTTTAGTTTGTATTTTTAAAGAATATATTCATAGGAAATTAAATAATGTTACCCAGTTGTTAACTATGTGAAGTATTTTTTTGGTTTTTGTAGTTTTTTGCCTATACTATAATTATATCAAATTTAAAGTTTAAAAGACGGACACACTTCGCACGTGGTTGTAGTAGCTGTTGTAGGTGGGAAGTTAGGAAGTTAAGATACAGAAGGAAATTGAATGTACTTATATCTGTAAGCAACAATAAACCATTGCTAACGAAAAACGATTCTGAGCGGAATTCAGTTGATAGTGTTGCTTTGTCAACAATATATACGTCATATTATGGTAAAATAATTAAATAGGCATTATATATTTTCTTTAATATTGTACTGATTTTCTCGTTTTTCCTATGTTTTTCCCAGTTTTTTAAATTTATTGGAAAAACACCCGGTTAATTGTTGCTTACAGATATACATTAAATTACTTATAATAGTGGCTTTACCCGTTCCTATTACTCTCGGAAAGCCTTTTTTCTATTGCAACAATATTTCTGGTAGAAAACATAGTGAATTAGCATCGTAAATGTATTAGTTTTCATTTTACTAAATATTATGAAAACTACTTGGAAAATCAAAAAAACAACTTACTTCGTGAGTAACTAGATCCATAATTAAACAAAAAAAGTTTGTTGTCATTTTTCTACTAGATCAAAATATCTGGTAGAAAGTAGTGGTGGGAGTCGGTATAGATGGAACCATCGTGATATGATTTCAAGTGGTATACTAACATATTGGCCTTGCCTATAGAGTAGCTCTGCTGAGATAGTAACCGTACTAATATGATAGAGCATAGAATGAATAATTACTCAAATAGTCTAAGGCCGTGCTGCATAGTCTGTACATTAACATTGAAGATATCTGTATCAATGGGTCTGTGGTGTAAAATTGATAAATTATGAATGATAGTTATAGAAGACATGCATTTTGTTCTGATACCACTATTACCTTTCGCTAGCAGTATTTGATTTGAAAGTTCAGGGGTTAAATTTGTTTTAATAAATAAATAAATAAATTACCTTATTAGCCATTTTTAAATTTTGAGAACCACTGAGCTATCTTATCATTATCAGAAAATTATACGTAAACAAAATACTAAATAGTCTTTTTTCTGTGGTCTTCATTCTTTAGTTAATTACTGAACCTAAACGTAATACTTGTTAATTTATAAAATAACTCAGTAGCTAATTGCTATACTCTTAGATTTTTCGTTAAAAAAAAAGGAAGATAAATAGGTACTAATTTAAAAAATGTTGGATTCTCAAGATGCTAATCGACCAGAGTTACTCGAGGAAGTAAAGTTGTATCGTAATGCCCGTGAACGGGAAAAGTATGATAATATGGCCGACTTCTATGCTCTTGTCAATACTCTTCAACATTTGGAAAAAGCATATATACGCGATTGTGTGACTCCCAAAGAATATACTGCCGCATGTTCGAAGCTTCTTGTTCAATGCAAAGCTTCTTTCAAACAAATACAAGGAGACGATTTTCCAACAATTGAAACATTTGTCAAGAAATATAAATTAGACTGTCCAGCAGCAATAGAACGCATCAAGGAAGACAGACCAATTACTATTAAGGATGATAAAGGCAATACTAGTAAATGTATTGCAGATATTGTGTCTTTGTTCATAACTATCATGGATAAACTTAGGTTAGTATCAACAATTTAAGTAAATAAAATGTTAAAATGTTTCGTTTGTTAATTAGTTATGTATAAATCATTAATTTTCAAAAATATTTCTTAATCATTAAAATGATAATTTGCTATATTTGGTCATATGCTATTGCCTAATTTCGGTCACCAAAAATGTTGACTTGATGAATATAACTTTTATCATTAATGATTAATGATTTAATATCTGAACATATGTTGGTATATCTGTCTACTTTATAGTTACATAGACTAAATGAGCAGCTGAAAATTATATTTTGAACTCAACTGCCTATTCTTTTATCTCCATTGTATTTTAGTATTCATTTCATGTAAAATCTGCTTATTGAATATTGTGTTTACTATTGCCAGATCTACAAATTATGGTACCAGGGACAAAACATACAATTAGTACCTACCCCTATTAGTTACAGAAAAAAAAAAAAAAGCCGATACCAGGGATGGGTGTGGCCACTGTTGTATAGGTGGGTAGTAGAGAAGATGGGATACATAAAGTTATTTAATTTATACCTGTAACCTACAATAAACTATTGATAACGAAAACCCATTCACAGCGAAGTTTGATTATGCGAATAAACCGTAATATTTAAGATTTTCGTCAAAATTGATTTTCATATTAAAAAAAAAAAATACATTAAACTAGTTTTTTTTTTTTGAACATTAAGTCAACTTATAATGAACTTCCTATCAAATTTTCAAGCATTTCTGTCTGTCTGACAATTTATTTACAGAATACCTAATAAATTCTATATTTAGTATTTTTTGGTCAACTTCACTATCAGTGGTGAAATATTAAAAGAAACAAAATTAATCTCTTTTCATTTTTGGATTGGAGCAATATATTGTAGAAAACATAATAAAAACATTAATGCCGTACATATTTGCCGTTTTACCTATAATTTTTTTTTTCGGGTTTTTCCCAATTATTTCAAAAATCTTTTGGAAAATTGAAAAATTATGCTAAAATTTGGTAGAAAAGTTATTCGAACAGAAAAAAAATCTACGTTTCTAAGTATAATTTATAATTGAGTATACAATTTAAATCCAATAGACGTTTGTATAACCAAACAAATATTAAGAGGAGCTAGACCCTCAAAGCCCCACTATGTTTATTTCAAAGATCTTTGAATTTTTACTTGTTATATAGTTATTTACCGAGCATTTTTCTTGATGTTATTAGTTATTTAGTTTTAGTACTTATATATCAATATAAGTACTAATATATTAGTACACATATAATTACGCATATATTTTAAACTATAGGTTGGATATTAAAGCTATGGATGAATTGCAACCGGATCTTCGTGATTTGATGGATACTATGAACAGGCTTAGCATATTACCAGCTGACTTTGAAGGCAAACAAAAAGTATCTGATTGGTTAAGTTCATTATCTTCTATGAATGCTTCTGATGAATTAAATGAAGCTCAAGTGAGGCAATTGATTTTTGAACTTGAATCATCTTACAATGCATTCAATAAGTTGCTTCATCAGTCAACTTAATCATGATTATTGATAATTTAACATAATGCAACTATTAAATACATGTACATTAAAGTAAAATGTACGAGAATATTGTTTTAAAAATGTATTAAATAATTTAATTTATAAGAATACAAATTATAATAAATTGAATATAATTATATATGATATTAGAAAAGACATTTTTATGAATATTATAATAGTTCACAATGTTTATGTATATATATTATATATATATATAAAAAAAAAGGAAAAAATCATTGCTAATTTATTTAGTAACAATAAAAAAAAACATCTTATTATTTAAAATTTCACTAAAAATTACTGATCAAGTTGTTGAGACTCGTCATTTTGCTCAGCTTCTGAAGCTGCCGGAGGAGGAGGTGAGGCTACAGCTCCATCATCTCGTTCAAAACCAGGAAACCTGTAGATATCTTGATATTGGATATTTTGATCCATAGATATAAAGCAACTCAATGGGTTAGCAGCAGCATCTAATTCTAAAACTGGATCAGCAGTTGCTTCAGCTAAATTTGTTACAGACTTAGATTTCAAACACTAGAAAATAAAGAGACCATTAATTAATAAATTGTTAATCCAATGATATTTTAAGGGAATGTTATTCCAACGAGAAATGTTCATAAACTTTGTTATGTATAACAGCCAATAGTAGATTTTATTTTAAACAAAATTAATATTGTGTATACTTTTATTATTTATAAATATTACAATAATAAACTTCAGACAAAAATATTGAAGAAAAAAAAAAAGATCGATTGATAATCCACTGTTGTAAGTGAGAAGTTGGGAAGAACATATATAGGGAAATTTAATTTACATCTGTATGCAACAATAAAATAATTCGGAGAGAAGTTTTAAGACTTGTACTTACATTTTCATGTTTTTTCAATTATGACAACTTTTTGGAAAATCAAAAAATGACCACTTCAAAGTATCACGTAAATATTAACTTTCAGGAAAGGTATTATATTATAATATATTAAGAAATCAGAGCAACATTTTTAGTAGAAAGATTGTTTACAGATTAAAAAAAACATCATTGTAAAACCAATACATTCATCACTACGCTCTCAATCTAAAGTGGTATATTATAAATTTTATTTTATTTCTTATTTCAATTTGTTAATTATTTGTGCTCTTATTTTGAACTAAAACTTATTGTTATTCGAATACAAGAAATTTTGTTTTATTTTCTATTGGAAGGATATAGATACTTAGAGTATTGTATTAAATTAAAGTATTTAATTAATGTTCCGAATTAATAAACAAATAGTTTACTTGGAAATCGACATGACGACTCTTTGCTTCTTCTTTTTCCCATGACATATGAATAAATGGTCTTTGAACATAATTGTATATAACATCTGCTCGACCTCCAGCCCTTTTTTTAATTTTTTCTTTATATGTAGGATAACCTTCAATGCCTAGACGAATCTTTTTAAGACCACGTTCTTTCATAACTTGTTTGGCCACATCTCTGTTTTCAATATATTTGAAGAATCTATATAAGGCAGTACTGTTAACAGCTAAAACAAATTTTATTTAATTACACATTAAAATAACATATACATTCGTAATATAACATGAGAAGTTCAAAGTAATTATAAAAACATGCTTAAACAAACACAGTGATAATTATTTCTACCATTAATTTCATAATATACACAAATGAAAGGTCAATATAGAAGGATATATTGCTCTTGACAATAGGTAAATCGCTTCCAATTTAAAAAATAAGGCTGTATAAAATAAATGATTCTTGTATTAATTTAACTATAAAAATATTATATTTCATAAATCAAATTAGAACCAGAATAAATTTTAAACACAAAAATGTCTGCGTATTAAATATAATTATAAGATTATTTTTTAACTTAACTCTAAAAGGCACACTTCACAGTCTAAAAAACTGGACTTTTAGAATTTTGTTCATTGCTTCAAAAATATGAAATAATAACTTAACCTAACCTAGGTACCTTTTAATTAGGTGATAAACTAAAATTAGATATAACTCCCACTGTATACGATCTGATATCTGTGTACTATAGAAAAGTTTGAAGTTTTATTTTATTATCACTTATTAAAATATGTTCTAAAATGCTGCTTTACTGTGACATTTATAAACAATTTAATTTAAAACAAAAACTCAATAATTTTTGGCTGATAAATGTGTATCAATGATAATTTTATTTACATTGTGATAGGCGAGATTGTTGTTAGTTAACACTAGTTCGTCATACTGTGTGTAACTATAATACATGTATGAATAAAATGTCAAGCGTATATTACACTATTTTGTATTATTATTAATATAATGTTACTATAACATTTAAATGAAAGTTTCATTTGTTTATATTATCAATATAAGTATTTGACAATTTATATTTATTTAAGAGCAATAAAAATAATGATTATTTCAATTTATCGAGTTTTAATTGAAATATTTCAATACATGGTCAAAAACAGTGAATCTCGTAAATATTTTTAATGTGTGTAATCTAGGGTTTACATATTACATAATATTAAACTTAAGTTTTCATAATATGAATTTTAAATAATTTATTGGTGTATACTTTACTTTGTGAATATTCTTCTCCCATTTGAGGAGGATATTCTTCATCCCAGTCTACAGAATCATCATCTAATAAGACTACTACATGACATTCACGATCTCCTCGTTGAGCAGAAATAACCATTAGAGGTAGTATAAGATCTTCTAAAAATACTTCAAACTGACATCGTGCTCCTTCATTTGATAACTCATGCAATAATCCTCCTAACATTTAAAATAATATTAGAACAAATATACAATTATTTTCAATGAATTTTACATAATATATAAAAGTGACTCACTTAAATTCTGACATTTGACAGTTTTAGCATCAAATGGTACTAATAAATAATCACAAGCTTCTCGCAGTTCTTGTACTGAAATTGAAGATGGACAGCGCATTACATTTCCCTTATAATACTCCAAAATGCACCTGAAAACATTTGCTGATACCCCTTCTGCTACTACATATTCTCCGCGTTCATTTTTATTTGTATATTCATTAGAACTAAACATTCTATACAAAAAAAAGTATTTAAGAAATAATATTTGTACTCTTATCACCATATTATACAATTTATTCAATACCTTCCAAGCATAGTATTTGAATGGGCAATAAATATAGCAGGATCAACAATAAATCTAGTATTGTCTACAAGAAGAGTTACTCTATCTTCTTTGTTAACAATATTATTTCTAGAATTAGTTGAATGAGCTGAACCCGAAGGGCTCGGATAAGATGAACCTGAAGTAGTTGCGTTTTGATTCATCAGACTTTTCATTGAGCAAGAAAATCTGGGCATAGCTTTTCTGTTAAGCATATAAAAATCAAACCTTTAACAATTTATTTATTTATTTACCTATCATATAGCACAATATAAACATCATCGGTACAATATATATTAAATTAAATTTACATATGATAAAAAATTATCAAATTTAATCAAACAATTTAATAAATAAATTATATTAAAATAGAAAAAAAAACCAAATTTTAATAATAGTTTAAATTAAGATTTATTTTTTAAAAAATCAGCTATCTAGTCAGTTATTAAATGTATTAAATTAAATTTTAGATTTTGATTGGTTTATTTTGAAAATGTAAGTGACCAGCTTAACTTCACCAAATGGCTCTCAACACAATCTTCCCTATGATAGTATGTACAGTGAAAACTGTCTTAACAGACACTTTTCTTAACTGACAAAATAATAAGGTCCTAGCAAAATGATAGGTATTCAAATTTATTTCGACCTGTCTATAACGGACAACTATTGTAGTTCAAAATCAAATATATATTACACCGCACAACAGTGTCACCAGTCTATTTTGAATACCGACTAAGACTGATTACATGTTTGATAATAAGGATAAAGTTAATTGCAAGGACGGAAATATACATAAAAACGTAAAGACTATTCAGTTATTTTCAGTTTATTCCCTATCGCTTCGCTATTATAGTGTTGTACATTTTAATTTTTTCTTTGCAATGCAACCTCCTATTTATAACCAACATTTTTTATGGTCCCATAACTGTATGTTATATGTATATAACGGTTTCAGTTTATAATTTAGATTTATTGTGATTTTTTTTGTATCTAAGATGAGTACTTATTTATATCAATACTATACATAGATTTTTATTGTGATAATAATTAGGGCAACTTTTAATGTCTTTAAAACTAAACCAGAAAAAAACTTGTCAAATATATCAAAAATATCAATTTTCAATTTTAGCTATTTGTCAAACACATTTTGAATTAGTTCCGAAAAATTCTAGTTTATAAGGTTTATGTTCCAAAACTCTACAAGTATGATATATGACAGGAAGTTTTGATTATATCAATAGATTAAGTATGCATTTTTAATGCTTAAACACATTTTAAGAAATATTATATTTTAAAAATGAAATTTTCCTTTTAACTTTCAGATCAAGTTCTTCAGATTTTTCTTTTTTTTATACTATTAAAATATTTACACCTGAAAACCCATATTTTAAACTAAAAATTAAAAATTCTAGTATCTAATTATGTTTAACTATAATTATAAAATAATTTATTATCCTATATATTATATTAATAATTTGTTTACACCATAGTTTAATGTACTCAAATGTACCTATTTCTCACAGAAGTTGTTTGTTGTTTGTTGATTGGCGTTAAAGGTAATTGATTAACAGTTGAATGTCGTTGTACCAAACATGATTTAGGTTTTTGAGAATTTCCATAACTGTAAAAAAAGTATGTAACATTACAAAACTAACATACCCATATAATACTGCCTAAAGAAAATAATATGATAGCATAATGTAATATTTTATTATTTGACAAATAATTGTTTTAAATACAATTTTAATTTATTGTCATAAAAATTTACCCTCAGATTAATACTAAACAATAGCTTATGACTAGTTTTTACTATTTAAGTTTGATATTTACCTTAGTCGTGTTTTGAATACCCGTCGTCTATGATCCTCGGTACCATGATAATCTTCTGTGTCACTACTTGAATCACGATCGTAGTTGTGACGTTTGTCTTTAGACAAGGACATGTCCTAGGCTGGAAAAACAAATATATCTTATTAATAATTATAAAAATGATTAGACTATGAATAGACTGCACCAAAAACTTACTTATTTTACCCATGAATTGTACCCAAGGTACAAAAGTAAGATATTATTTATGACCGACCTTTCCTTTTTTGTAAACAAATTTTGGATAACTGAGAACAGTGACAACTTAGAATTGCGATTTGGGATCACATTCTATGTAAACTTATTACTTAACACAATATCTTTACAAGCAGTTTTATGTTATCAACAATGTGGCCACTTCTTTTTTATGTAGATGTACAAATAATATTTTATATCACCTGTGGTAGAAGTTTAAATCATGGTTATTTTGTTTTGTTCATAGATAATACTATCTATGTTCTCATTAGGACCACGCACTAAAACACTAAGTTAGATAATATATATATCTATATATATATGTATCTCAGTATACTAAGCCATGGCGTGAACTAAGATAATATAGACTGCCAACAAACATAGATAATAATATAATTAATAAAGTATTATATTATGTATTATTATTATAATATTACTATATTATAATTAACTTGATGTTTAAAAATTTAACATTAGTTATGTTTTCAAAATTAGATTTATAATTTTTTTTTCACTATTAATTGTATAATTTTGTCCAACAGATTACGCTTTAGCTTCACAATTTCTCTCTCCACAAAGAGCCCTTATTAAAACCTAACTGCATATTTTAATTTTTACTATCGTTTCAGTCCATGCCACGAACTAAGTTTCAATATTATAAACACAGTTTTATAGAGTTTTCCATATGTGTGAACTGTTTTACCTAGAGCAGGCAACTAAAATTGTCCTAAAAAATTGCCCAGTGCAGTCGAATTACAGATAAAAATAGATTGTACACTCGACCTTAGAACAATGAAATCGTAAATTAAAATTAAAATTAAAAGCAAAATTCCCTATGTATCAAAAATGTATATAATTTGTGTTTATATGATGTATTTTTAATTTATACAATAAACTTCACTTACCTGTTTATATATAGGTATATTTATTTCTTAAACTTGAACAAATTTTGAGGAATTATATTTTCCTTCACATTGATGTTTTTAGATTATGAGTGGAACGAAGATTCGTTTTACAAAGATGTATTTTTCTTCTTTTTTTTTTGGTTAAAATTAATTAATAATAATTGATTACCTTTTTCAATGACACAGGTTTATTAAACATTTATAATTGTATACATTTCAAAATGAATAAATAAATATACATAATTATTACTGTATAAAAAAGATAAATACTAGTATATAGATATACTAGATATTCAGGATTTTACTTTTAGTAATGATTTTATAATAAAAAAATTATTAGATTTGTTAAAACAATTAAAGGAAAACTTTGTTTGACTTCTACTGGCATATTTTTCCAAAATTATTTGAATTTAAAAAAAAATAACATAACATGTTTAATGCCTATGAAATAGTATTTTTTATTTTTAAAATATTTAATTTTTTTTTTTAAGCTACTATTAAAAATTATATTATTTTTTTATAATACCATTTAGAATATTATGTTATAGTTTATTATTTAAAATATTATGAATAATTAGTCTACAAACAAATTGATATTATTACAGTATTTTAACTATGTTGAAATGGTTACACCAAAAAAGAAGTCTATTAGCCAATTTTTATTTCAATTTTTATTCAGATTGATACTTCTATATTACTCTATGGAGGACGTAACGCCATATAAAGTACCAAATGTAAAACCAACAGATAATAACAAAGAGTCATTCAACAAAACTCCATCATCATAATCCGACAAAATATGTCATAACCATAACAACCATGTAATATAGGTATAGTAATATCACAGTTCTAATTTGTGCTAAGTGCTTATAGAGAGAGTAGCTTATAGTGCTTCATATAAATTTTAAAAATAGCGGTAATATAAACTACCAATGAGATGCCGAGAAAGCCGTACTAAGTATTTTATCAATGTTTTAACCTATTCTATGGCTGAACTGTTGAGTGGTGTTGACTGTTATTATTTTCCTTATCATTAGTCGTTATGTTCTGTTAAATTTTGAATAAATAATACAAAAGTTTAAATTATTTAACAAATCCCTAATATATTTTATTCTATATTAAAAGTATAATTGGAACTGTTGTAATCTATATGTCTACTTGTGTATTTATGTATTTCTGTTCATCGTAGAACAATTCAAATGAAGAAGTCCTCTTTTGGTGGCAGACGGTCGTCGACCCTTGGTGGACGAAATACTTTTGGAAGACAGAATTCATTTGATGGGAACGATATAAGGTTTAATTAATCACCTATATAATACTAATGTATACAATATTTTTGTTCAATAATAATGTAATTGTCTATTATTATTTTTGGTAAAAAAAAAAGATTGAGTCGAATAGAAAATCGTGGGGCAGAAAAAAAATCGATGCTTTTAAAACCAGGATTTTCTGCTAAAAAATCAGTTTCATCTGATAATTTATCTGCACACGATCCAAAACAATGGTCATCAACAGTAAAAAAATCAGCAAATAAAACTAAACAGGCTTTAGTACGTTCAACCACATCCATAAATATGACCGGTTTTAATTTAGTTGCCTCTACTCCATGTGTTACGCCTGGATTTAATCCAAATTTACCTGGGATAAACTCTAGTTACAAGTAATCATATTATTTATTAGGTTTTTTTTGTTTTAATTATTAAGTATTCAAAATACTATTTATCCCTCTAGGAATCGTAGATTAAGTACAGAATCACGTTACAGTAGCCATGGTGTTGTAAATAAAAATAGAAAAGAAGTACGTCCATTAAGTGAAAAAGAATTTCAACAAGCAGCTACAAATCAAGTACATTATTATATAATTAAATATTTGTCTTAGTTTTTTTTTGGTTTTAGGTGGGTACTTCTTTCTTTGTAATGGGATTATAATTTATTTGGTTTTTAAATTGTTATATAGTTAAACTTCTAATTGTTTTTCCTGTTTTAAATAAGTTATGTATTTATCAAGTTTTATGGCATCTTTATTTATACTTTTTTTTTTCTTTGCCTTCATCCCAATTTTTCGGGAGTTGGCCAACATCATCCTAAAATGTCACTTGAACCAGTCTTCCACTTTACATTAACCTGTTCTCCATATTTCATTCTTATTTGCATTCAAACCACCCCTTTTTGGTGTTCATTCCCCCTCTTTCATCCTACGTTAATTTTAATTATAATTCTTACTGCTTTCTATATTCTTTTCTCATTAAATGTCAAGTCCTCAGTCTATTTGTTCTTATTTTGCCAATTTTCTATGTACTCATTCCTTATTCTATATTCTCTTTCCCCTCCATTCCACTCATCCACCTAAGTATTCTCTTTTTCACTATGCTCATTCTCTGTTCTATTTTTCTGTTTACCGCCCAACACTCCGAACCATAAAATATAGTTAGTCTCACTACATATTTGGAGAACTTATGTTAAGTCTCATTAGAATTCTATTTTTTTACATAAAACATTTGATGCTTCTCTTAACTTCATCCAACCACACTTAACCCTATGTTTTGCACCTTTGTTAAATCCACCATTTTTATGTACAAGAGATCTTAGGTACTTACAACTATTAACTTTGCCTATTACATCTCCACTTATTTTTGTTAGCTATTCTTTTTGGTTCTTTCAAAAAATGGCCTATTAATATACCAAATAAACAAAATTTGGTACCAGATTCTTGTTCATTTTTGTTGTAAGTAATTAAACACTTAGTATACTGGGTATGAAACATAATATTAATCAAAATTAAATATCCTCAAATTTAGTATTAAGATAATTAAATAAAGTAGGTAACCATTTTAAACCAATATATAGAAACCCAGAAATGTATTATACCTGAAGACTCAATTATTAAATAGTTTCACATTTTTTTTATTTTTAAATATTTAAAATAAGATTTACAATTATAACTAGTTTTATTTGTTACTTTAATTAATATATTAATAATTACTTATTTTGTAGATTCAAAATTATTTTTTAAATGCTCCTAATGCAAGTCATATTCTTAATAATAATGGTAGTATGAAGCCAATGACAACTAATATGTTTACTGATATGTGTGAGTATTTATTACATAAGCTAGATCGCAATCAATTATTAGATAAAAGTAAATATGTGGAAGAATTACCGAAAATTATGAAAAAGTATTATTATAAAGGAAAAGTTGACAAATCATGGCTAATTACTGGTAAGTGTATGCACTTTATATATAATATTTATTGGTTATGAATCAATAAATTGATTTGTTTATTTTTATTTTAGAACTTTATTTAAGAAATATATATAGGTTATACTTATAAATTACTTATAAATTATAATAATTAATTTTATAATTAGCTTATAACTAGGTATATTTTTGCATGTGTTATTGTTTTAAAGTAAATGCAAGTCATTCATTTCCACAAGTAGTTGGACTACTTCTTTGGTTAGTAGAGTTGTGTGAAACTCAAAATAATTTCAATGTTATGGATGCATTGTATCCACCGATATTTGATCAAGATCCAGCTGATGATGGTGAATATGACCAGTATGTAGAATTTAAGGTAAAATCATTTTGTTTTAAATTAAAAGTTTTAAAAACAGATATGTTTAAAACATTTTTTTCACTTCACTTTTCTATTGTATATATACAAAATACAGATTTATATTTAATGTATGTGTACACACATTGATACAAACCTACATCTTATTTTATATTTTTTTTCGTAATTTTTACATTTAATGTATATTAAAATATTTAATGCTAAATTCTGTGCAGAGCAAAAAATATATTGATTTTATGATTTATTTATTTTTCATCTGAACAACTTTTCAATCAGAAATTTTGCTCTGATTTTTAAATGTAACACTCTTTTTGAAAGGAATTTTTGACTGGGATGGTACTTTAGGGAGGTCATTTTTGGATTTTATCCAACTCAAAAGATTTTATATTAAATGGAAAAAAAACTTACAAAAACAGGAAAATTCACGAAATGCTTATTATTTTAAAATCGTAAATATTATGATCTTTCAAAACATGTATAACCGAATAATTTTTTGCTAACAATGATTAATCTTTGCTTACGGATTTACTCTAAATTTCCCCCCTACCTTCCCAACTTCTCACCTACAACAGTGGCCCACCCATCATGCGAGTATGTCTATTTGTTTTTTAATTTTTATTTTAGTCTGTATAAATGTAATAAGTACATTAAGTTCTCAATAAAATAATTTCAAATTTTATTACTTATAAACACTTACTATTTTTAGATGTATTTTCCATTTTTATTAAATTCTTATCAAGTGGAAAGTAGAGGAACTGGTAAACAAGCAGACCAAGAATTTTTACAAAAACAAGAAGAATTCTTGTATGAAAATTACAGTGAGTAAAAACATTAAATATCAATGGTTCTCAACAATCAGTTCTCTTACATTAAGTAATTTTAATAATATTACACTATTGATTTTTATTTTGTATAGAAAACACTCTTGGCATTGATGAAGCGGCATTAAGTAAATTAAAGGCTGAAATTGCTAATTTTAATGAAGAACTTGCTTCATTATCTGACACTACAGAAGAACATAAGTTAGAGGTAAAAATAATTTTCTTTTTATTTAAGGATTTTTAATTTATTCATATATAAAATATTCTTATTGTTTAGTGACATTAATTGTTATTGATAATACATTTTTCAAATGAAAGTCAAACAAATTTATACTTAATATTCAATAACAACAAGTTTTATTCATAATATTATATTTATAAATGATTAATGTGTATCAATTCATTCATTATAAATAAATTTACAAAGTCAAAAATTGAGTAGTAAGCAAGTCATTTTTTTAAAAAAAATTTCCTTTGCACACACTTCAATTTGATATTCATATTAATCTTGTCCACTTTCCATATTTATGTTTTTGATAAATAACTGGTTTATAACCTCTTGTTCAGATACTTATTGAAATCCAATGATTTTTAGTTATATATTATAACTATTAATCTCCTCTCCAAGTTGAATTTCATAATATAAATTTTTCTTGTAATTATTATTTTAAACACTGTCTGTGTTCCAAATTCCAAAGCTCTAGTTTGATTAATAGTACCCTAGATTTATGATGATTTATTAGTCATTAAGTTAATCAGAATGTCTGCGTCTAAAATTGTTATTTTTGGACACTTGTATCTTGAAAACTATTCCACCTAGACTTACAAAATTTGGAATATTGCTTCTTTAGTAACCTTATCAGTTAATCCTTCTGAAAAAATTCCAGATGTGTGATGATTATTTGTAATATTTTTTTAATAATTTAAATGGTTGTATTAATTCAGCAAGCACAAATTCAATCACAATATTAAATAGTATATAATATAAATAAATAAATAAATATATATATATATATATCCGTTAATACATACAAATTTAAATAATATGATAATTATATTTTTAGGAAATGAAAGCTATGAAAATAGGTTTACAAAAAGAAATTGTGTGTATGCAAAAATATATTAAAGATTTGCATATATGTTTGGGAGAAGCAGAAGAACACATATCAAAGAAAACAGACGAACACAATTTTCAAGGTATTAAATATAAAAACATTTAAAACTATCATTTTAATTTAACATTTAATCATTACTCCCTGAAGTGTATGTTGCAGTGCCCTGGAAAACTACAGTGTTTTTACAAACACACTATTTATTTGGTCTAAAAATACATCAGCTGGTTTATCCATCTTATTGGTTTATTGTTAATAAATAAATTACATGTTATAATAATTATGATAATAGTAATTTATAAATATATAAAATAAATGTGCTGATTGTTTAAATAATCATTGCATAGCCCAAACCACAGAGTATATTGTCAAGTATTTTATTATTTACAGACAAGTCCGTGTGAGATCAGTTAGTATTATAAATTATAGTTAATGAATACATTTGCTCAATAATTCACTTGTTTGACATGGTTATTATAATATATCTATTAAAATTTGTATAGATTTAATTATTTTATCTCATCTTTATAATGAAAGATAAAATGAAAATTTAAAAATAACTAAATTTTATCATTCATAGTAAATATTTTTGTATATTTGTAAACTAAACCTTAAATTCAACCAAATAGTTACAACCTTGGGATATGTGAAATCATTTGTTGCAATAAAATACATGAAAAACAAACAGATATAATACATGTTAGTGGTGAGGCTTTTGAATACGAGAACTTTACGTATTATCAATTTTGACATTATTCAAGTAGGGATTTTTTGAACACTGATTTTCTTGAATTTTAACTGGAACTTGTACATATAAGTTATAATAATTTTAGATTCTGAGCGGAGCAAGGAATTTATTGGTTTTACAATGATGTTTATTTATTTATTTATTCTGTGAATAAATTTTCTATTAGAAATTTTGCTCAAATTTTCAAGTGGAACACCTATTCTGAAAGGAAATTTGACTGGGGTGGAATTTTAAGGAAGTCATTATTTTTATTTTCCTTGGGGTTTTTGTAATAAATGGGAACTGAACAATTTACAAAATGTATTATTTTCAGATCATAAATATTACTACCTACCTTTTAAAACATATAACCAAATTCCACTCAGAATCTTTTTTTGTTAGCAATGATAAATTATTCCGTACAGATATACATTAAGTTTCCCCTCTATCTTTTCCCAACTTCATAATTTGAAGACCATTTCTTTCTATTTTCTTTAAATAATACATTTTTTAACTTTTTAATCTAATTATTTTATTATTAATTTAAAATAAAATATTTTGTAGAAAAAGAAATTGAAAACCTTCAGAAGGAATTAAATGTGGTCAAAGGTTGTATAAATGGTCAACAAATTACTCAGGAAGATAAAAAAAATATTGAAGAAGAAATAATTAGTTTGAGACAAGACATACAGTATGAAGAAAATTGCTTAAATGAGTACTCAAACATAGTTTATTCTGAGGACTTGAATGTAGTTAATTTTCGAGGAAAGGTTTGTATTTATTATTATTTATTATAATAAACTTATCATAAATTACAACAGAAAACCATCTTCTAGAGGTTCTGAAACATATGTAAAATTATGTGTCTCTATTTAATTTTTTGTATATGTGTCCCATCTTGAACAATTATGTATTTTTGGGCAGTGCATTATATGATTTAAATGTGTCTTCTCTTAGCTCTCTTCAATATTAAATAGTTTTGAATGATTCTTGTTGTTATTATACAAAATTTGCTACGCCATAATATTTTGAATGATCACCATACTACCACTCATTGTAATGTGCATATTAGTGTTCAGTGTTTATGTTTATGATTACTGTTTTATATGTTCAATGAATATGAATGGGAGTAAAATGTTGCCTAATGATAGTGCCAGGCTAATAATGACACAATTTTATAACACGGCCATGATAGGTGGTTTGTTTTATCTGTATGTAAGCACTGGACCATAATTTTTATGATACTCATCAGTTTATTTTAATAAATATCAATATATTTTTTTAATGATATATTATTATGTCTTACTATTTAAAAATTATATGTAAAACAATATTCAGTTTTCTAAAATAAGAATATAAATTTGTAAACTATTCATATATTTTATTAATCATGGAATCTTGTTACAATCTATATATTAACTGAACATACTTTCACATTTATTTTGTTTAGCTAGACAAATTATTTGTGCAGTACAATACATTGTGTGCGGAAAATATGGTTGTTTTACCAGAGCTTGAGAATGCAATAGCTGATAAGAATGTCCTAACTATACATGTAAGAGAATCTCTGAAAGAAGTTGACAAATTATTGAAATGTTTAAAAAACCAAAATGCTGAAAAACTGAAAGCAGCAGAACAAAAGGAAGCTTTTATACAATTAGAAATAGAATCGGTAAATGATTGACCAAAAATAATTTATAATTTGAAATGTTGGTTGATACAATGTATTATTATTTTAGGCGAAGTTGGAGTATAATAATATGAAGAGAACAGCTGAAAGTTTAGAACTTGAACGTGCTGCTGATAAAAAATGTTTATTAGAAATAACTGATCGTCAATTTGAGGTGAATTATAACATGTTGATAGAATTATTTTAGGCAATTTTTATATTTGAGAGATTTGTAACATTTATATTTGTATAATTATTTTACTATTGTTGATTTATAATTAAAATAATTACTTTAGAAAAAGAAAGAGTGGGAGAATAAATTGTATGAACTTCAAGCGGAAATTAAAAATATCCATCTCGATCCTACTGAAGTTGAAGTTCTTATAGAAAAAAAAAATAACACATATAAATTGTAAGTATTATTTTATAATTAAATTATAAACTTATATTTATTCTAAGTGATTCAATTGTGTTGTATATTTTTCAGAATTAGTGAAATAGAAAAGAAAAAAGAATATATTTTATTAAAAACAACCAATGCTTTACAAAATCATGCAAAAACCTTGCAAGGGACAAAAGTGTTTGTTGAGGTATATTTACTTTACTTTGGTTATAATGCAACTACCCAATTTTATAAATATGAAAGGATTAAGCAAATTAATTTTAGTACAGCAACCAGGCGAAGCCTTAAGACAATAAAAAAAAATATATATATATAATTACTTATTTTTTAATTTATTGTACATTTATTATGAACATACTGAAATATTTCACTGTTATTTTTGGACATCAATAAATCAATATATATTTTTTGTTTTGTTGAGGAATTTAATTGGAAACATTGGAAAAAATGGAAGGCTACAAATAATTTTGATTTTAATTTATTGTTATATCTGCTGTAGTTTTATCAATAAAATCATTAGAATATGATACTTTAACCTGAAAATACAATATATAAAGTGAAGATTAAATTTCCTGAATCTTAATATTTTTATGTTCTAATTCCCATGAAAAATATGTATATTATTATTATTAATTTTTTTTTTTTTTTTTTTGGGGGGGGATCTTAAATTAGTAATTGACTTTTGTTAAAAATATCACTAGGTAAACATGATACCATCAGTTTCAGTGTTTCAGGGGTTATCACTAGTACATGCAGGAATGTTATTAACTATAATCATGTTTAACCTGTTAAGTTGGGAATTTAAATGTTTTAAATCATATTAACATTTTATATTTATTCTTATAATACCTATTACATTATTTTTTGTTAAATTTACAGAATTTGTTTGTACAGCAACAGAAAAGTATGGAATCTATTAAAACAAATTATTATAATTTATAAGAATAGAGAATAAGCAGTAAGTACATTAAATAGATTTAGTTTATAAAATAAGCTTACTTTAATGATAATATGTTTTCTTTTATTTCAATGTCATATATTTTTTAATAGTACATAATATAAAATTATATAATAATAATTTGTTTCAATTATATTACATATTTTTAATTTATGTTGCATAATACTTAAATCACATTATTTGTATTTTAAATAATGTTTTTAACTTCCATTGTATTTATTGATATCTAACAAATAAATAGTTGTACACATATAACATCAGTAAGTGTTAAATATATCTAACACCAGTAGTAAATTTATAATTATGCCGATAAAAAAATTAAAATATTATTATTAATTGAATGGCCTTCTATTTAAATTAAAACATAATTTATGAAATCAAGATGAAAAGCTTTTCAGTTTAAAATTGATAGAATGATTTAAAAACTCAAGAAATGTGTAACTATAATTTACACATTATAAAAGGTCTAGTTATTGAAATCATTTTTAATACGAAAAATAATCAATGTACCTAATAAAACAAATGTTTACCAAATTTATAAGTTTATATTTTTAATTTATTAGAAATTAATGCCACCTAACAAGGAATGGGACACTTACAAAATATTTTTAAAAAATAGAAAAAATTATAGTGAATTTAAGCCATTTTCGTACACTTTTCTTCCACGTTTTTTTAAATTATTATAAAAATTACTTAGTAAATCAAAAACCAATTTTCTCAATGCACCAACTAGATCCAAATTTCTACAAACCAGCTCTCTTATTATTTTATTATAACAATATGTCTGATAGAAAAATTGTTCAAACAAAATAAAAACATTTAAACCGTAGGTAACCTAACCTACCTAGTACAACCAATACATTCATTGTTCCGCTCAGAATCTAAAATTTACTCTAATTTATGTAAATACTATATTGCATACATAATATAAATACAATTTATTTAATACTCCTTATTCAATAAGTTCATTATACAACAGTTCGTAACGAGCTTGTATGTGTTCCTGCATAATATGTTTATTTGGCTGTTTTCGGTATTCCGACTTCTGGTTAATGTGGTAATAATTATTATAAATGTCAATCATAATTGAAATTATTTCTGTCAACGCTGTTTTTTGACATTTTGATTTATCAACGTAAATCTAAAAATCCAAATTTGTTTATAATAAATTAATGTGAGGTAGGTACCATGTGTGTGTATACCAACGAATGAAATATGTCTGTACTCTTTTCATACAAGTTTAGGCATACATTAAGATTGTTCATACATTCATTTGTGAAAACCCTACAAGGTTCATAAGAATCATCAATAGTTTTGGCTTGAGTCATTTTTTTTATTTCGCCATTTGAATTCTTAGTAGTATCTACTGAACAAACAGTAAATGTTTCTAAAGAAATATCAGTTTTCAAGCTAAAACAGTAAACATATTATACTATTATAAATTTAAAATCTCAAAATTCAATTTCATTGTTGACAATAATAGTTATTAGATAATGTGTGTTGAATGCTGATGTAGGTACCTGCTATTTATCTCTTTGTATGTCTTATATTTACGGTTCAAGATATCTTAAATCATTTTAGGTAGGTGGGCCTTTTTTTTTTAACCATTTTACGGTTATATTAGATATAATAAGTAATAACCTATGGACATTTATAATTTATTTTACACTATAAAGAGAGCTTTCTTTTATAGTTTAGGTACCTATATCAAATATATTTATAATCATTAATCACTGTCAATGTATTTACCCACCTATTGCTGATGTTAACACCATTATCGGTTTCATTCAAAAATTGTTCAGCTGTTATTTTTTTTAACACAGTTTTCTATAGACACAAAAAATTTTAATGTTTAACCTTTATAGATAGGTAGGTATATAATATAACAACGAAAATGTGAATTTTTTTTCATTACGTTTTCAGTGGGTGAACTGTTTTGATTCACACATTTGTCTATAATACTTTGAGATATGTAATTTTTATAGAATAATTTGTCTTCTGGCAATACCAACACAAATATTGGATTGTACCCTTTGAGTTTTAAACTTAACGCTCCTTCTAAATTTGTAAACGTGATTAATATTTTATTGTCACTAATACATGTAAATAATTGGTCTTCGTCTATATAAAAATGTAAATAAATCAAAAACATTAAACAAGTGTGCGTAGGTACTAAGTGAATACCGCTGTATTCACCATTATATAATATAATTATCACGTGTGTATACAGTATACTAACTCAAACCGTACGAATGTCCCAAATATCGGTAGCTAAACACAAATTCTCCATGACAGTTCATTGCATTAAACTGTTCCGTAGTGATTGTTTTAAATATCTTATTTTTATACTCACTATCGTTCGTCGTATAAATAGATGCTTTATAAAATTTACGAGCATGTTTCATGTGTATTCGGTTCAATAAATATTTCTTGCGAGTTTTCGGTGGACCGACCAAAATTACCATAGGAAGTGATTCCCGGTTACAATGGTACGACGAGCCATTTCGGCATACTATGGGAGATTTTCCAGATAAATGTTCCAAAACAGTAGATTTTATTGCGTTCATTTTTGCCGCGAGCATAGACTTGACTTCCAAATTATTTAACTTCTATTTAAATTTGGAGAAAAAAAGAATATATTACTCGTAACACACCTAATTCTAATAAGTAAATGGACTCTCCCACAGACACCGGTATAATTTAAATAAAATATCGTCTAAAAAGAGGTATCTAATCAAAATCTGCCATTGCTCCTACCTATTCTATTTACGATTTCCCTATTAAATCTGTTGGAAATTCCGTTAGAAAATGAGGATTTACACTCAACAGTAATCTTTACCCTTATGTTATGCATTGAAGAGGCCTACTGAAAATCCCCCAAGTTAAGTACTTCGTGATCACTTGCCCTACTCAAATTTATCTATACTGTGCTCTCATTCGCTTCATCGTTGATTACGGTTCAATCTTCTGGGATCTTAACATTTTTGTTACTGGTAACATGATTAATCGTGTACAGACACAATTTTCCCTGATCCCCCCAACTATTATTAACCTATCCTGCTTGCATCGAGTCTTTCAACTAAACAAAATTTTCTAATTTGCATGATATCTACTGACTATTATTGTTTATTACTAATGTTTGGTACTAATATAAAATATTTGAACTATTAATACAGGTAAGTATTAAATTATTAAATATTTTTTTTTTAAATTTTTGAATCAACAACCGGAGGTGGTAGGTACTAACTATTGGTGTTAATCATCACCCTTTTCCCCCCATCCACCATCGTTTATTGGATAAACATAAGAAGGCTAATAATATTTCCAATAATTGCATACATACGAATATACGTGAGGAGCTGTAGTATTAAATAGGTGCTTGATAGTGGGAAGGTATATTTTGTCTAATAATACCTAAATATTATATTGTGTTACCTGCACGAGTTCCGTTTTTATAAATGTTTGATCAATAATTGATTTAAAAGGCAGATTGTTTGAAAATATTTTTTTGTGAATATTTAGTTCAATAAACTCATTGTTTTCGGCACTTAAAACGCGAAGATTTGATAACGTTTTCAAAAATTCTATTTGAAGTACATCATTTATCATATTGTTTTCAATGTTCAAAATTGACAGCTGTTTAGCATTCTATAATAATAATATTAGTTTTACATACCTATAATGATTTTTTTTATAAATATAAAACTAATAGATTAATAATCTAATTTACTAATAGGTACCTGGTACCTTCCTATTTATTATTATTCCTTACACTATGATTATTATCTACACGAAATACTTGTAAATGTTTTAACTAGGTATTATCCAATAATAATTATAAATAGGTACATGGTCTTCTAAAATCGTAGGTAGATATCTAATACCGTGATAAGTATCGTTAGGGCAAGGCGGTTAGAATATATTATAACCGCCTTGACGTGTTAAGGGTACTGCCTAATAATGTTCCCTGGGGAGGAGGTTAGAAGTTATATCCCCCCTATTGGCTAAAAAGTACAAATATAGGTAATCTAATGTCGAAATGCATATATTTCAGCTATGTTATGAGAAAACGCTTGATTAGAAATTGACCTTTCTTTTAAATTACCAATTCTCACAGTCAAGTTAGGCAGAGAAGATGAATTTACGGTTTATTCACGATTCTTATTCCTGGACACACCACTAAACATCTGCATCAATGGCGATGATACCATGAATTACTTTACTTAAATTTTAAGAAAGTAAATCAAAAAGACATAAAAATAAGTGTCTTTTGATTTTTCGATTGAATCATTTTTTCTGGTACAAAACGTCGTCCTTGTTTTTATAAAATAATGAAATCGTGAAATTTTACGTTTTTTCCCACTTAAGTGCTTTTATTTAAAAAATTACATCTCTAAGGTACCCTTTAGACAACTTGAGCTTTTAGAAAAGTTGCTTTACATAAAAATCAGAGCAAGTTTACTAGGAAAAAACGTTCACAGACTAGAAAGAAAGAAAAAATAAACACCTTAGTAAAACTAATAGAATCTAAAATTACTTCAATAATATTTTAAATGTACAAACCTATTTTAAAAATAATATCTTATATTAATACATTTTAGATAAATAACCAAATAATTTATATTTTTTAACATATTTATATCTAATAATAACCCATTTTAAAAATCTCTCCTATTAAAATAAATTATTTTTATATAAAACGACCGATTTGTATAATTTTTTTCTATGTATTCCTTTATTTAGTTTTTATTTTCAGTCGCGTTTTTCATTTTAATTATGATATACCTGATAATGAATTTTTAATTTGAAACCAGTCGTATACACTTGTCATAATACTCTATTAATTAATTAATTTTTTCTTTACATATATTAACCATTTTAATAATTTTGTTTTTACTTTAATATTTTATTAAACAATATTTTTTTATTATTACAGATCGCAAATATTTGTATGTTTGTATAAATAAATAAAAATAATAAGGTAGGTAAATAGTGTGAGCGATCCACAGATTAAAGCAGTCAAGTCAGTGCAAGGTGCCTCTGAAAAAACAAAAATCTTTGGAATTCAAGATTTGGCAGAGGATTGTTTATTGTATTCAAAATAAATTGTAAATTCAATTTTGGGTTTGGATAAAAAAATTAAAAAATCCTCCTACCTTTTACCTCTTATGTGACTGACTAATTTTTGCTTTATACTTTGCTTCATTTTAATAAGTCTTCAACTTGTGATTGGATTACTTATATACAGAATGTTCCACAGAGATATATGTACCCATCACAATATTTCCTAGATAATAAAGATAATCAAATTCTGTTTTTTTTTTTTTTTTTTTTTTTTTTTTTATTACTCATAGGAATAAGTAATACAAATATTTATATTTTGATTATTTGTACCAATATTTTGATAAAAAAACATAAAAAATTAACTTTTTTTTATTATTTTCAAAAAGATACTAGTGCTTCTAATTATGCATCATATTATATTCGCTAATTAACTATTATTTTTTAGGCTAATTTACTGTACCTATACTTTTTTCCTCTGGACTTAATAAATGATTAAAAATCACAAATTTAATGAAAATAAAAAATAAAAAGTTTCTACGTCAAAATTTCCATAAGAATATTATGTAGTATATTAAATGGCTATCCTTAAATTTGTCAAAAGTAATGAAATATAAATATTTGTAGTTTTTACCTCTATGAATGGTATAAAAAAACAGAATTTGATCAAATTTATTACCTCAGGAGATATTACACTGGGTATATCTTTGTTGGACACTGTTTAAATTAGTAAATTTGAAAAATTTAATTTAAAATTTAAAAACTGCTGTATTTGAGTTTCATCTCAATTTCCAAGTAGATACTCTTAGATTCTGAGTGTGATTAGGAATGTATTGGTTTTACTACAATGTGTGCTTTTTTTTAGCGTTAACAACTTTTCTCTGAGAAATTGTGGTCCAATATAAAAAAAGAAAATGTTTTTTTTATATTAATTGGAGAGACTGTGTTTTAATTTTCCTAGGGGTTTTCTTAATAATAGTGAAAAACGTTTGAAATAATAATTTCTGTTATTAAATCTATTAAATCTATTTGAAAGTTTTACCTAATAATTATATTAGCACTTTTAAGACTTGTTACATTTTTAAAATAATTAGCAATTTTTTTCTAATTGTTTATAACTATTTGAATTTTACAAGTTTTTTAATTTGTATTTTGTTTGATATGATTAAAATTGTTTCATGAAATTTGTAAAATTTTTGAAAATTCGATACAAAGTTCAGCGTTTTTTTTAAACTTTAGAGTTTATAGTTTTTTTTGTTATTAGTAAACAATTTTAGAAATACAATCTTACTTTTAGAAAATTGAGCAATTTTAATTTGTTATGTGAAATGTTGAGTATTTTACACATACTCAATGACATATCCCATTGTATTTGTTCCAAATCATTGTAAGACAAGTTTATTTCCACTAATGTACATGGTAGTGAATCACTTATTTGTTTAATAAAATTATGAGACAAATTTAGACATTTTAAACATCTAATGGTTAAAATAATTATTGTTAAGTATTCGTATAACTAATAATTATATTATACAGTGTTAAGCAACTCACTTTAATTCCTGTAGCCCATTAATGTTTCTGATGGAATTGTGGGATAAATTTAAATATGTTAAACTCCAACTACTATTTAAATCATCTATGTACTCTATATTGTTGTTTGAATAGTCAACATAATATAACATCTTTGGTGGACTGAAGTTTAATATTCGTTCCAAACAATTGTGAGACACGTCCAAGTATTCTAATTCATTTAGATTATTTAACGCGCCTAAGTCTTTTATGGAATTATGACAAAGAACCAATGTTTTTAAAGAAATATAATCACCAATAATGTCAATTTTTTCTAATTTCTATGAAAAATGTACCATTTATATAAACTATGTAAATAGATAAATTTTAGGTATGTATTAAATTAAAATTTAATTTACTAAATTATTCAAAATGAGTTTGGTAAAACAAAAATAATTCTCAATTTGTTGATGCATAATCATGTTTGACAGTCCTTTAACTAATGTGATATGGTTTAATATCCTGCCTTGAATAGGTTTTGTAAACATACTTCTTAATGGCAATATAACTGAACCATGCAAATGATCTAAATCTGGAATATTTAATGAATTATTCTGAGTCGACATGTTGCACAACTATTTTGCTATATTTTTTATTTAATACAACTATAATTAGGTTTTTAAGTTTCAATTCATCAAAATAAAAATCTATAGTAATGCTATATCTTGTTTAAAATTCAATAGAGTTAAAGTAACAATTAATTATAATATAATATTGTGGCCAATAATCTGAATTAATTGCAACTTGTACATTCATATTTTAATTGAGATTTAAACTTATATAGTGTCTGGAATGTCTGTCAGATGACCTCAAAATAATATGCACTTTGTCATAATATTGATCGTCAAGAACATATTATTATAATTTATAATATATTTGCTGACAGCTGTAGTTTTGCATTCCATCACAAATAAAACAGAAATAATATATAATTTACTATTGGCTGTACAATATTTTGTAAATTTAGGTTTCTTTGTCTATAATATTATTTATTAAAATAATTTAATAATTAAATATATAAACTAATATACTACATTATATTATATAGTAGGTGTTCATTTTATTTCATTTTTATAACAAAATACATTTATTGAACACAAATATTATGTAATTTTGAAATGAAAAAATAAAAACACCTTACCTAGTTTAAAATTACAATACTCAGTATGAAAGTAAAAAAAAAAATATATATATTTACAATAAAAGAAATTATTCATTGTGATGAATGTCTAGGTCTAGGAACAAACCCTATTCTTTCTTGTACTGCATCTTGTTTGGTTTTTAAGTTGGTGAGTACATTTCCACCCAATAGATTTTTTACTTTTTCATCTCTGGTTTTTTTAATAGCTTCAAATTCATTTTTAATTTCTGAGAATTCGGTTAGATCTTCAATTCTCAATTCCAATCGTGTGGGATTCAATCTAATCATTTTAACCTAGAAGAGTTAAAAATATTAGTGAAAACTAGGTATCTATCATGGTTATCTACACGATAACCGTAGTATTTATCATATTTATAGATTATGGACACCAAATTATTTACCATGATTGGTTTATTGTAAATAATTTGTGGAACCTATTCGTTAAAAGTATTTCAATTTTTTATTCTAATAAAAAAATTAAAATTATAATATAATTTTGTAGAAAAAAAAAATGGAATTAAAAATACAAAATGCCTATACATCACCATCATTATGAGATTAATTTCTTTATTTAGATATTCTATATGACTATATGAATATTCAATTCTTAGATTCTCTTACTACCAGAACCGGAAAGAGAATGTATCAGCCCACTGAATCTTAAAACTTTTGGTGACACAATGAATATAAACAATTATGTTTTTGCATGACCTCTTGAGTTCAATTCCTCAACTCAGCAGGCTTGTCTAATAAATGTAATAGCTAATATTACAGTAGCTGATTATATTATACAAGTAGATTGTATATATAAATATAATTAATGGACATTTGTATATTAATATTAAATATTTAATTATTGAACAAAATTTCAGAACTCTGGAATAAATTTAATTAAAATTGCAATATTTTTTGAAGAATTTACGAGCCATTAGACTCTGCAGCCAAAATGACTTCTTTCTATTGACATTTAATGTTGAAAAATATTTATTTGTGAATGTAGTTAATATTTTATGGCTTCAATTCTACCTGGTCAATCCAGTCCTCTGAAATGGTTAACAATTTGGTCTGCACTGAGATCATACCAAAGATTACATTTTTCAATGGGCAGTTAAAAAATAAGTAGCTCAGTTTATTATGTTTCAAACATATTGCATAAAATAAAATATATCATGTATTAGAGATGTATTATTCATGAACGTTCATGTGAACAGATCACACTTGTTTTAATACAAGGACTTAGTAAACAGTATTTAAAAACAAGTTAGGTCTAAGATTGTATCTATTTATCTTACAAAAATTAAGTGTGGCCGTTTAAAGTATGGTACTAAAATGGTAATGAAAAAAATTTAGTACTTACTAGTAAGTTAACAAAGATATCTCCTATAGGACTCCGAAATAATTATTACTACGCTTAAATAATTTATCAAAAATACTATGTATAAACAGCTCAATACCATAAGCTATAAGATAGAAAACTGCCTCTATCATAAGGTTTTCAAGAAACTTATCAGTCGAGGAATATGTTTATCTTTTGTTTACAAGCAAATTGATAACAACATTTGATTATAGCCAGGTAACGTCAGGTAATCAAGACCTTAATATACTATGCAGATAATTTATCATAAGATATTTTAGATACTAGATAGCGACGGTTTATTTTTCGTTGCATTTCTGCATTTGCGCATGGTAACTTAGGATTGCTTTTCGAGCATAGTACATTGGAGTGATTCGACTGTTGAACACTGTTCTGACACTGTTTTTAATATTCTGAGCGACCCGTCGCATCCCTTCTATCGCGCGTCACAGGAAAAAACTTAACACATTTTGACCGTGATCGGTGACCTTTAGAGGTCGTTTTGTAGTTGCAGACGATTTTAAAATAGAGTGCAAGTGGACGCGGTACTCAATTGACAGCAAACGTTTAACAATACGTTACTAGTTATTTATTTTGTCATCAATTATCGTTGAATCTTGTTAAATATGATTAATTAGAATAAATCGTTATTGTCAACAACTTGAAGTTATATCTTTATTTGTAGTTTGTTGCAAGTATAGTACCTACAATTTGTCCTATTTCAATAATACTATTATGTTATAGATTTTTTTATTATTTTATTAGGAACAAAAAATAATGGAGGAAGACCAAAAGAGATTTATTGAAAGAGGTTCCCACAAAGGAAAAGGATTAGCAGTTTTCACTAGTGGAGGTGACTCTCAAGGTACTGGACAATTTATACTTTAATATACATAGTAATATAGAGATAAATTAGTTCAATTATAATTATTTGTCTTCATTATTATATTTAATTTATGAAATTACTATATATAATATAACTTGATTGTATACCTTACAAATAATTACTTACCTAATACATTTTTGATTATACAAATAAATGTATTGACATTGTCTGTTATTATAATTAAAAATTAACAATTATTAGTTAGAAAATAATTATTGGGTACTATTAAACTTTGAACTTTACTAGTACTTTAAATTTCATTATTTGATGTTTCTATTGTTTAATTATGAATATTTATCTTCATTTTAAGATTTAATTTATGAAATTAAATTACTATACATAGTATAACTTAATTGATTGTGTAGCTTAAAAATAATTGCTTAATCCATTTTTTACTATACAAATAAATCTATTAACACTGGATATGCCTATTATTATAATTAAAAATTAAGAATTATTAGTTAGAAAGTAATTAGTAGGTACTATTAAACTTTGAACTCTACTTCAAATTTCATTATGTGTTGCCCTGATTAATACTATAATATGTACTAGTAATATTTACAGTTTTTATTGTTGTCATGAGTAATCTGATAATTATAAAATATTAAAACTTATATTAACATATTTATTATACTATATTAAAAAATTGTTCTTAATGAATATATTTATTTTTTATTTTTCTGTTAATTTGTTATATTTTTCATGGGTAGACAGATAGTTTGTATAATATGCAAATCATTAAGTTTTATAATTATTATTTGTTAATTATTTAAGCAAGTAGTGCCTATAATAGTTATACCTAACTTTGGTAACACCAATGATTAGTTGATATATATATATATATATATATATATATATTAACTTTATTAATAGTATATGCTTTGAATAATAGTAAAAATTAAAATATGATGGATATATTATTATTTTATAGTACCTAATAGTATTATTTCAAAATACTACATCAAGTTTGATATATTTATACATCAATTTAGTACTAGAAATAGTTTTATGTATAACTTTTGAGTAATTTGTATCAATATTTTTAGTTTTATTATACTTAATCTTTGAAATTTGATTGTAGTAAAATTAGTTTTATGTTTTCTATGCCTTTCTTATTTCAATTTAAAATTTGATTTTAATTATTAATCATGATAACATTAATTATTTTGAAAATTACTTTTACTAATATTTTTTACAGGTATGAATGCTGCTGTTCGGGCCGTTGTTCGTATGGCCATATACCTTGGCTGCAAGGTGTTTTTCATTAAAGAGGGTTATCAAGGTATGGTAGATGGCGGGGATAATATAGTAGAAGCTAACTGGTCTTCTGTATCATCTATAATACATAAGGTGTGTTGATTAAATCATAAAATTTACAGGTATATCCTTTAGCAGATATGTTTATATAAGAAATATGTTCTCATAAATATGTATTATTATTGAATATGCACTGTGTGTTACAATCAACTACATGTTTTGAATTTGTATTAGTTTGTCAGTTGTAGATAAAAGTTATCTATAAAGAATGCACTAAAAAAAATTAATAAAAATAATTTTATCTTGAGTAAATTTAATACATAATATACATATAACGACCAAAAAGTATCTATTAATATTTTTTAAATTTTAGAAATTATTAGTGATTACAGTTGGACCTTAATTATGTAATAAGTAATTGTAGATTATAATTAAATTTAAAAATCATATAAAACCTATATTAGGTATATTGATATTAAAATACTGTACCTTCATATGCTACTGCTGTGGGAGAGAAGTAGGAAAGTTATATATATCGGGTAATTCAATTTAAATTATGAATATAACAATAAATCAATGTGAATAAAATTTGATTCTGAGTGGTTAAACGTTTTTTGATAATATCAAATTGAAAATTATATCCATTTGTAGCAGTAAATTAATTGAAAAATATTTGGGTGTTTCTTTTCAGTGTATATTTACACAATCTATCATTGTTATACTCATTTTGACCTTCAAATAACCCCTAGCTGAGTTGATACTAACAACAGAGTCATAACAGTCATCATATCTTGATAATTTCACAACAAAATTATAATAACTTTTTTTCTGAAAAATATTTTATAAATTTATAAAAGAAAACTCGTTTTCTCACACTTCAATAATTAAAACGTTAAAACTATATTTAATTTGTACTATGTAAAATAATGTATTTTACCTATCACATAAAAGGCTCTACAAAAAAAATTACCTTATAAAAAAAAAGGACATATTTCGGTTAAATAAAGTTACCATTTTCATTGCAAGATCATTGTCTAAGCGTCTGACTTAAATTAACAAACTTTATTACTAAATAAATAAGATCATTAGTTCTGTCCTATAAGATTAGGTTATGAATGACAACAAAACAAAAATAAAGTCATTATTATTGTTCTATGACACCACAGGACAATAATAAAATCATTAATGTGTTTACCAAGTACCGTCTGACATGGTGGAAAAAACTATTCAATGATGATATACCTATTTCATATAACTTTAATATTTGTTTTTTTTTTTTTTTTGGTATTTTAAATAATATTGTTTAGATTCATACATTTATAATTTATAATATTTATTATAAAATTTTAAACTATTTTTTTTATCAATTATTCAATTATAAGATAATAATGAATTTTGAATTTAAAAAGTTATTTGCAATTAATAATTTGAAGAAGGAACTCATAATTTCCAACCATTTTATTAAAAATAACTTATCAAATCTGAACAAATTTTTTCTAAAATCAATAATGCATTACACAAAATAATTTTATTTTTTACATAGTAGGAGCTAAAATTATTTTTAAAAATCCCAATTTCATTGTACTTGTTTGACCTTTAATTATAAAGCATAATAACTCTTATGTAGTAATTGTATTTTTTTATTATTAGGGTGGTACTGTAATTGGTTCAGCACGATGTATGGATTTCAAAGAGCGTGTTGGGCGTGTGAAGGCTGCTTGTAACCTGGTTAAACGTGGTATTACAAATTTGGTGGTTATTGGAGGTGATGGCTCTCTGACAGGAGCTAACCTATTTAGACAAGAATGGTCTAGCCTCTTGGATGAGCTATTACTGACATCACAGATTAATAAGGCAGAACGGGAAAAATATGCACATTTGAATATTGTTGGACTGGTTGGTTCTATTGATAATGATTTTTGTGGCACTGACATGACAATTGGTACTGATTCTGCATTGCATCGTATTATGGACGCAATTGATGCTATTGTATCAACAGCCTATTCACATCAGAGAACATTTATCATGGAAGTAATGGGACGTCATTGCGGGTATGTTTGTTAACTTGAATTATTAAATATTATATCATAAACAAAAATTATAAAAACTCCAAAAATCAGGTGATTCTATGATCTTAAAATTTAATAGTTATCGCAAAGATTAAGGATTTTGATTAAATCAATTTTATTAATTATTTTTAATCAGTTGTAATTTATCAACATTGTCGGCGTTGTAATTTAAAAATAAACCCAGAAATCTCCCTATTTCTATGAATACTAGATTTTGGTTAGACGAGTATTGTGTTTTTGATGTCGAGTATTATTTTGTTCGATTCGAGTCAAGTTAATCGAAAATTACGAGTATTCGAAAATAAGTAGGGTTGGGTAAAGTATTGTTTTTTTGATGTCAAGTCTAGTCGAGTTTAATTGTACTCGAAAATTTAATAAAATCAATTAAATCGAGTCGATTATGTGTATTGCAGGATGGTCCATATTACAGTAGTCACTAGTCATTATACAACTAAATAATAAACACGTAAAAACAATAACATTCTATTTTTATAAATTCAAACAATGAACCTTCTAGTTATTTTTCGGGTTTTTCTTATGAGTTATCGGAAATATTTGGGTTTCGAGATATTTATAGTTTTTAATATTTTTCAAACGGTGTAGTAAACAGAGTACAAAAAACACCTTAATCGAGTTTGAGTAACTTGACATTTTTTTCAAAGTAAAGTACTCGCCTAACCCTATTAGATTAGATTAATTTTTTACTTTCACAATAATGTTTAACAATGCTCAAGGTGTATTGCCCGCAAAAACCAAATAAATATTATAATGTATGTAAGTTACTTGTGACAACAATGAAATTTGATATTATTTGTTTACCTAAGTAAGATTCTTGTAGCAACGAGAAATTAAAATTCAAGTGACAGAGCATGCAGTATATAAATTGAATTTTAAAACTAGCTTTAAGATCTTGTCAGTATTTGGTGTTCCGTGTGGTTATTTTCAAAATTTTGTTGAACATCTAACACACAGGTGTACAATTGATTATAAATGACCAATTATTCAGAAGAATTATTATTGTATTATTTATTTATTTAGTTTTTTTTTTTTTATCTTATCTGGATGGTATAAACTATTAAGTATTAAATATTTATATAATATATAGTGTGAGTAAACTGTTATGATAATTTGTATTATATGTAATAAAATACATGAGATTATTCATTTATTCATAAGGGCATACAAGTAAATTTATGATGTGAGACTTTTATGGAACCTATATTTACTAAATATTTACTCGTCTATTATATTGTCTAGTTGATGACTTAAATACTTAGATATCTTAAATATAAATATAAATACTTGAAGTTTTTAATTTAATTTTGATAACGTTCCAATGGTTTTTCTTATCTTTTTTTTATGAAATGTATTTATTAGTGGTAGTCAATTGCTCATATAGTTTAATTTAATAATTATGTGAGAAATACAAATAACTTTTTTGTTTTGGAATTTCTCATCAAAGGATCGACGGAAATCAAAAAATTCAACACTAAAATGTATTTTAAATAATATTCTTTCTATTTATGAACTTTTTAATATAGGTTGCCATTTGAAAATCAAAAGTAGGTAGTGGTTTTACCTCCAAAAATAAGGGTGACGAAAATTAACATAAATATAAAATTGTAGAGCTGCTTGTTTTTTTGAATGTTATAGAAAACAAATTCCGATAAAAATAAATACTTTCCGAGATAATGAGTGTAAGCAATTAAATGAATCCCCCAGTATACAGAGTGTATTAGGACTATTTGACTCTGTATATAAAATGTATTGTTGTTATTGTTATTTATTCATGTATAGTATAAAAGATTCTGAACGGAGGTTATACATATTTAAAAAGTTCATAATATTTATAATTTTAGTAAAAATTTGATATTAAAATTCTTATAAAAAAAGAAGAAAAGCACATTAATCACTAAGCATAACTTATAATAAACCTGTTAAATTTTCAAGCATTTCTGTTTGGTTATAATAATTTTATCCACAGAATACCTGCCAAATAGAAATTATGCAAAATTAAAATGTCTATAATCTAAAAGAGCTGATACTGGGGATGGGTGTAAGTAGTAAGTGGGAAGTTGAGAAGATAGTATGTATAAAGTTATTTAACTATTGACAAATTTAGACAAACATTTATAAACAATTTAGACTAAAGTTTGATAAGACATATTTTAAAATGCCGTAATTTTTATGATTTTCATCAAAATTTAATTTTGTAAATCATAAAGTAGAAAAAATTATTAGATCAACCCCACGAACCTCCCTCGATTACGCTTATGGAAGGCAGTAAATATAATTGTGGTAGATTATTTTACAGTGAAAAAAAGTAATTTATATCCCATTTATAGAACTAAAAAACTATTTATCAGCTATGTATGTTAGATTTAAATCTTTAGAATAATATCTATTACAAAGCTATTATTTTAAACAGTGAACAAATAAAAAGTTATAAGTAATATCTATACTATATATAAAAAAAAATTTCATGACGTGATTCTGAATGAAGCAAGGTTAACTACAATGTAGTATGTTTATAAAACTAGTTCAACACTAAGTGCTCTTAATAATAATTTGTTAAGTATGTGTATAGGTTTTTAATGTATAAAAATATAGAATCATTTTAAAATATAAAATCAACCAATTATATAATAGTTAAAACATATTATTTAAATTTTGAAAAAGTCTGATAGTTATAATAATTAGCTAATACAAAATTATCAGTTTAAAAGAAATATAAAACAATTTATGAATAATTTTGCTTTGTTATTTATAAAATAATTAAGTACTTTTTCTTATTTCTAACTTTAAATTTAGCTCTAAAAATTATATGCAGTTTTATTGTAAAAAGTGTTTCTATTCTATATATAACATAGATATGTTGTATGTTCTAAGCATATAGGTAATAATAATAACTAAACCTAATTTAGTTTTATGTCAATTGTAATTTTTTGAATGTCAATATTAGTATGAATCATAAACAATTTTTTTTTTTGCAGGTGTATATTTATATATTTATATTTTATTTGCACAGGTGTAACAGTACCATTTAATCTTATTGAGCAAAAAAAAATTTCCTGTTGTGAGCAGTGATTTTATGTGAATAACGAAATTTGTGTCTATTATTATTTTTTTTTTTTACTGTTAATCAAAAAACTGCTTATAGGTAAATAAGGTAAATCATCAGAATGTTATAAGGAACAAATATGTTTTTATAGTTGATAAGAAGAAAATCAACATTGACAAAGTCATTAGCTGCAAAATATAAGATTGTATGGAAAAAAAAATTTTCAAGGGTAATAATTTTAGGCTGAGAATTTATCAATATTTTATACATTTATATGTTTCATGGCTAATAACTTTGTCAATGTTGATTTTCTTTTTATCAACTATTGGATTTTATTTGTTCCTTACTACATTCTGATGATTTACCTTCATGTAATTTTTTAACCAGTAATAATTGAAGCACTAAAAAAAAAAACTTACAAATTGCGTTATTCACTTAAAATTGTTGTGTACACCTGTATAAATAAAATATAAAGCTCTACCAGAAAAAAACAATTTTTTTTTTGTTTAGCCTATTCTATGTAGTTGTTGAATGATTAATATTGATTAAATCATTAGTTAGATCTTTACATGTTAACTGCGGTATGTATTGAACCTTTCCTGTGTGGAAATTGTATTACCTTTATTACGAGAATCATTATAAAAATAGTCAGAATTTTAATTAATGACATATTTAACAATGTAAGAGGTCTTACTTACCTATGCGAAAGCGCAAAAACAAATGACTTGTTATAGCCTGGTATTATTGGGAGAGCTAAGAAAGTTGACAAAAAGTTGAAGAAAGAATGACAAGTTGTTAACGCCCATTGTAGAGAATGAATATGTTTTTTGACATAAGCTGTTAATATTGATTCCATCCTTTTTTCTATGATTCACAAATATTATTTTTAGTGAACCAGTAAATGGTGGCTGAATTAAATTAGTATCTGGAGAAACTATTGGGCTTATTTACTCATGCTTTAACATGTTTTAAAACATATTGTAAAATAAACTAGGTTAAGGTAGAGGTTACCATTTCATAATATATTAACTATTAATATCAAAAGTATGCGTTTGTCTATATGTAACATCATTACTATAAAAGGATCAATAGAATTGTGTACTGAATTCTGTTGTCATATATGTATTATTTTATGTCTGAATTGTATCCCTATGCTAAAAAGTATGATAGTACCAATGTTTTAATAATTAAAAAAAAAGCTGATTCTGCTGATGAGTGTGCCCCTACTATACAAATTAAGATACATAGGATACGCAATAAGTACCTATATGTATTTATATGAAATTTCTTCGTTCTTGAACTACAGCTAGCGATCAAATGTAGCCATGACGAGTTTCGCACTATTGTCTGGCTCATAAAAAATGAACTCTGAAAAAAAGTGATTCCAGTGGCAGATATGTCTATATAATTTATATAACAAATAAAGATATATTAAATTGTAATTTGTATTTAAAAAAAATGCATACATTAATATAATACTAGTAAATTATAATTTACTTTAAATAATTGTTGTAACTTGCCAGTATAACCTACTTTCATTCATCATATTCTCTTTTGTACATAATATTTTAAACATTGGAATTATTAAATAAATTTACTAAGTACAAAAAAGCATTATTGGACAAATCTGATCACTTGAAGTATAATTAGTTTTATATTGCTATAATTAATAAATGAATATTATTATAATATAAGTTAAGTATTTACTATAATACTAAATAAAAAAACTACACAAAGTTTCAAAAAAAAAAAAAAACCTGACAGACTGACCTTATTGTTGTGGATACAACAGATATACTTCGCACGATGGGTGGGCCACTGTTATATGTGAGAAATTGGGAAGGTAGAGAAGAATTTTAATGTATATCTGTACAAAATGACTAATCATTGCTAATGAAAAACATTTCTGAGCAAAGTTTGATTATATATGATGTGAAAAACCGTAAAATTTAAGATTTGAAGCTAATACATTTCTTAAATGTTTCCATTTTTCCTATGTTTATTCCCGATTTTTCCCATTTAATATGAAAACTTCTAAGAAAATCAAAAAGTGACCTCCCTAAAGTACCATCCCAGTCAGATTTCATTTTAGAAAAAGTGCTACGCTTAACAATCAGAAGAAAATTTGTCCACAGAAAAAAAATAGAAAAATAATAAATACCTAATTAAACATCATAATAAAATACAAGTTTACAAATTTAATAATAAGTGTTAGCATTATTTTAACCAATTTTTTTTTTGTTGAGTAGCAATATTGTAATATATTTTATCAAAAGTATGCATTTATGAAATTTACTGTTGGTGTAAAATATCTTGTGTACTTTTTTTAAAATGTTATGTTATTATATAACAGGATGTTTTAAATTTATTATTTTTAGTAAATTAGTGTATTTTTACAGTTATAATTTGAGACAATTATTTAAATTTTTTAGTTAATAAGTTTTTTTGTTTGACACACAACAGTGTTAAAATTTATGTGCTAGTTTTACAAATTTTTGAAGAATGCTTTTTTTTATGTCTATTTATATTTTTTGTTCTTATTTTGTAATTAACCAGTAACATACAACCAATTGAAAATTGTATCTAATAAAAGCTATGCTATAATAAAATATATGCTTATAAAATCAGTCAACTTCAACAGCTGGAACTGCACAAATATTTATTTCTCACTTTTACAGGTAAATTTGTTATGTATATGTGAACCTTTTTTTGTCACAGTTCAAAAATTCAAAAAACTATTCTTATATAAAATCTGGAATAAAAATAATGAGTTTCTATTTGAAAATAATACATTGTGGTTTTTTTAGATATAAAGAAAAAAGTTAAAATATAAAAATATATATAAATGAGATACCTGTTAAATAGAAATAATTTGATATTGATTGTAGCAAATAATTCAATATTTATTTTATTTAGTAGGCTATTTGAATTTTATAAAATATTAGTATTTTATTGTTAAAGGGGTTATTTTTTACCATAAATTCAAGTCTTCAAGTTCAAGTCTTATTTTGATTATAAGAACATATATTCTTTTTAAACTTTATTTATTATTTTCACTTTTGAGAATTAAGTATTATTCTAACCTATATTTAATTGTGTAAGTGGAATGAGAACTTTATTTAATTTTTATAACAGGATTATTAATTTCTTAAAAAACTGGTTAAAAAAAATATATTGTTATTATCTGCTAGACTCTAGATCAAGGTGGTCCAACTTTTTGTAGTTGGCGGTTCAATTTATACTTTCATAAAAACATTGGGGGCCACAAAAAAAGAATCAAGAAAAAAAGTGATATTATTGTGTATATTTTATTTTTTTTAATATACAAATTGTTGCATTACAGATTAATATTAACATATAATTAAATAGTATAAATTATAAATATAAAACTATACAATCTAAATTTATACGATTTTGTTATAATATTATTGTGATTTAATTTTTAATTATCAAAAAAAAATAATTGATTTAATTGTGGGGGGGCCTAAAAAAAGTCTTCGAGAACTGTCTGAGACGACCACCCTGCTCTAGATGATTGAGTAACTTTTTTAGTAATGAATTATTTATTAATTATTTGTTAAGATCATGATTAGTTAGGTTATTACGGGGTTAAATGTTAGTTGGTACTATAAATATAATGGTCTATAAATTTGCAATTTGTTAATTAATCCAAAATTATTCTGAGGTATTTAGGCTTTCAACTATGATGTTTTTGCATATTATTAAAAATAACATCTAATTTCTTGTTTTTCGGATGGAATAAACACATCTCAGCCTTTGTTCGGTTGAGTTTGAAATACTACTTATAGAAGTATTAGTTTAATGTATGAAGATCAGCATTAAGTATACTACTACCATTTTTAATTTCCTTTCTTTGTAAAATAATTCTAATATTGTCCATAAATTAGACTTAATGCTCTGTCGTATCGTGTATATTACTTAGAAAACAAATTGAACAAGGTTGTTGGTGCCAACATTGATCTCTAAGGGAGCTGGTGGTTTGCTGTACTCCAATGATTTCCTTTATGGCCTATAAACCATATTTTGTAGTGTTAATTTATTTTTACAAACCACAACATTGATAACTTAATTAATGAGGCCATGTCTACACAATATCATACATTGCAGAGAGGTGCATTGCAATGGTTTTCAAATTAATTTGAAATCTTGCATCTATTAAAGTTATGAGTACGAGAGTTTCTAAGAGTTTGTAAGTGGGTGTTATTCAGTTTTTCGTATTATTATTTTAATAATTTTTCATGATTATGTACAGAAAATATATAATATAATATATGAGAAATTGTAGATTGGGTAATAATGTGAACATATAGTGAATGATAAATCATTATTGGTTTGTTTAATTTCTTTTGAGCTAAAATAAAATAAGTATATTGAGATTTTGTTTAAAATACAAAAGATTAATAGGCACCATTTTATATTTTTAATAAAAACAAAGTCAATCAAGTTTTGATAGTGAATATTATAAAGCCGAGTTAATATTCTTTAATCAAATATGAGTAATAAAATACTTTAGAATTTGAATAAATGTTTGTATTGCACGTCTTATTAAATTACATTTTATCTACAAACATTATTTTGACTTTTAAATATGGCTAGTATTGATTGTGTATAATTTGTATTATGCTTTATTGAATTTTAATTGCTATATTATATTGTTATTATAATTAACTCGAATAGTCATAGAATCACCTAAAGTAGAGTTCAATTTATTGTTATTTATTAGGTAATTGAAATTGACAAATATTTAAGGAAATACAATTGTAGCTAAGTCAATTATTATATTTCATCTGTCAAAAAAAAAAAAAGTAATATTATACAGTGAAAATTTGTTGGAAAATAATTTAGTTAATTTTTTTAAAATTACTACCACCTAATTACATTTTACTAATTCTGTAAATAGTTCAATATGTGCATATTGTATATGTACATTTTATTCTCAAAAATCGTTTTTTAAAATCTCTGATTATACAATAAAAAATGTATATATTTATACATTAGAGTTTATAATAATCAGTAGAAATATTCATGTTTTTCTAATCATAATGCAATTGACTTAGCTTTGGTTTTCAGTTTTTCTATTGTGTTTTGATAGCTAAAATTGTTTAATTATTTAATAACCACTACCGCATTTCAACTTGGTATACTTCTTAAGTTTTATAACAAAATAAAAGTGATTGAAGTGTTCTTGTTTCAAGTTTAATAACGCCGCTGTTGCATATAAAGGTACCTTGCACTTGTCACAGCCCTCACTAGTGAAGCTGACTACGTGTTTATACCAGAGATGCCTCCACCACATGATTGGCCGACCAAACTTTGCACCAAATTAGAGCAGGCAAGGACAATATTTTAGAAAAAGAAAAACCTATAACACTGTTACCTGAACTTTAACTTTTCAAATACGTCTATACACCTATAAATACACATATTAACAACATTATTTGCACATTATTCTACTAAAGCATGATTGTTTTCGTGTTATTTTATTTGTCTTCCTTAACTTTAGTGCTTAACTATTTTTGTTTTTTTCTTGCCTGAACATAGATAAGGTCATAGGATGTCCACCATAACATGAATTAATCGTACAAAGGCAATAAGTCAGATTTATTTGTGGCTATATGTTGTGTTAGGTGAAGTGTAGTTGCAAAACTTTATAAGTTATAATATCTATAATCTATATTTTATATTTATTATCTTTATATTATATTATAATATATTATTGTACCTACTACTTATGTTAAATGTATAAAATGTGTTTATTTACGTATAAAATCTACATAATAATATAATATTAATTATGTAAAATGTTTTATCCGTGAATTATTTCAAATACTAATTGGATGTTAAGCAGATATATTTGGTGGTAGTATGCTATATTAAATGAATGTGCAGGTATTTAGCTTTGGTTACGGCATTGGCGTCAGAAGCCGATTTTGTGTTCATCCCGGAATGGCCACCTCACCAAGATTGGGCATCGAAAATGTGTAAAAAATTGCAACAGGCAAGACTGACTTCTGTTTTACAGCATTACAATACAATGCATGAGTGTATTAGTCTTTCAATGTGTTATCCTTATATACATCATATTATTAATTATACTTTTATACTGCAGATTATAAATACACATAATAAATGTTTAGGTATAATTTTGGTAAAAATTTGGGTTTTGATAAATTATTTATAGTAACTTGTTTTATACAAATTTTTAAGTAGTTGGTTAAAATATTTTTTTTTATTCAGAAAAATATATGACATATTTTTTAAAAATATTATTGGCTATAAAATAACATTTTCTTGATATTCAAGATTGAATTAAATTATTATAAAGTAAAATTAGTTAAAAAAGTTACTTGGAGGATTAGGAATAAGAATAATTATTTCAATAATATTATTTTTCTCAAAATTGTTTTTTTTTGTATTCTAAGTTATAATTGGTTCAAATTTGAATGATTAATAAAGAATATAATTCAATTGCATTTTTTTCTTTATTGGGATTTAAAAAAAACACAATTTTTTATGGTCATTTTATATTCTTATTTATTTAAAATCTAAATTAATTTGTGAATAAATCGATTATTGATACGTGAAAAGATATTTATAGAACCTCAAAAAAAAGAATACAAATTATTTTATATTAGTTTAAAATATTAAATGTCAATATTTTTTTGAAGATGAAAAATCCATTAAACTACAAATTTAATTAAAACAAAATAGAAATCACTAATGATTTTTGTGAAAATATGAATAAAATGAATTTTATTTTTAATGTTAACTTTATATTTTTACAATATTGTTTATAAATATTATTTGATGCTAATTGTACATAGTTTGTTAAAATTTTAAAATTAATTTTCTTATTTTTTCAAATTTAAGTAACTAATTGTTAGTTTTCTTTCTATTAAAGGTAGAAACCTTTAATACCTGTAATTTGTATTCTATTTTTGTTTTTTGATATACTGCATAAGTATTTAGTAATATTACTCCTCTAGTGGTGGATCTAAGTTTTTTTTTTTTTGGGGGGGGGGAAATTTTAGTTTTATACATTTTCAGTTTATTTATAAATACAAACTATAAATTAGTTACTTATCATGTTATTAAAACATACTTATCAAAATAGATATCAAGTCTTTTATAAAATATATTTTTTAAATTTGTTATTATTTTACGTCACAACTTTTTAAAAATACCTAATTTACTAACCTAGGTGCTTAGTCAATTGGGAAGAGGCTTCTAGACCCCCTTTGTAAATCGGCCACTGCATTCTTAAGTTTTAACAAATGATAAATATTAAGATTTATGTAATAGTTTTTATAAGTGACTGAAATAGTAATAAACTATAGATTATATTATATGAAGGAGTAGCGATAATTTTAAGTGCTTGAAGTATTATGCTTGTATTAGTCTTTGGTAAATATTTTATAACTAATTGGGAGTATTTTTTGCTTATTAATTTGTGTAATTATTGTTAAATCTATTATTTTAAAAATATTTTTATTGAGACTGTAGAGGCTTTTAAAAGATTACAATAATTATCATAAATCAGATCTATTTTAGGTCATGAGAATGAAAAGATCAAGCTCTTTCTGGGTCTTAATACCATATTTAGTGGGAAATTATATTTATTTACATTGGATTTAATTTGTTAGTTTTTTTTTTTTCATTCGCATACAAGTATATTAAATATATTTCTAGAAATATTTTAGTTTGCTTTTGTCTTAAGGCGGATCTGAGATAACCAAAGAAAATGCTAATTAACATTAGTTATTAATCATTGATCTAATAGAGTATTCATTAAGTACACAACACATTTTGTGTATTAATGCAACAATACTTTTAAGTAAATAATTATACAATTTTTAACAATGATTTATTGCCAAACAAATTTTCATCAGTTATTATCCTAGATTCTAAACCAATTGATATATTTTGACACTGTTGTAATTCGAGCCTGCATGCTATGGGAACTTTTTAGTTGTACTAAGCATGTTAGAATTGCATTGCATTTCTTATTGTTTATGTTATACTCATATTACTTTTATTCATTTTATTACAATTGAAAATAATATCAATTCAATTTTAGTATTGGTAAAAAAAGCTTAGCCATTTAGGTTTTTCTATCAATCAGTATTATTATATATTATATATATTGTATTAAATAAGTTTTTTATATCCATTCGTGCAGCTTTACAGGTTGTACTTAATTTTTACAAATTTTTAAATTTTCTTAGTATAATTATCATTATTAAAAATTATTCAATTATTTTCTTAAGCAAAATAATGGTTGTTTGTTGTTGAACACACGTGATGGATAACACTATTTTTTTTCAACTTGAGCTTTTGGGATAACGCAAATTTTGATTACTAAATATGGCAATTTATATTCATAATACAATACTTTTAGGAACGTACAGCAGGTCAGCGGTTGAATATAATCATTGTATCTGAAGGTGCTATTGACCGCAATGGTCAACCAATTACAGCTGAAATGGTGAAAGAAGTGGTAGTTGCCAAATTAAAACAAGATACACGGATTACAGTCTTGGGTCACGTCCAGAGGGGAGGCGCTCCATCAGCTTTTGACAGAGTTTTGGTAAATACCTTTTAAAATATATTTTTTTTTTCTATATTTTGTTTACAATATAAAGTTTAGTAATACTCATCTAATCACATAGTTAATATTTCACTATCACAATGTCCATGTGTTTCCTAGGGGTGCAGAATGGGTGCTGAAGCTGTGATGGCCCTAATGGAAGCCACTCCGGAAACTGAAGCTTGTGTTGTATCCTTAGACGGCAATCAGGCAGTGCGTTTGCCATTAATGGTGTGTGTTGAAAAGACCAAAGCCGTAGCAAAAGCAATGGCTGATAAACAATGGGAGTTGGCTGTTCAACTCAGAGGAAGGTAAAAAAAAACATCATATACATTCTTATTAGTTCTTACAATTAGTATAGTAAAATGTTTTGTTCATTGAAAAGGAATTGTGACTATTATGTCTACTTAATAATTATTGTTCCAATCTAGATAATAAATACAGTGTATCCCCCTGTGTTCGTGTTCAATGGATTTTTCTAGTGCTGCTAATATTAATTTTTTTTTCTTTCAATCGGTTCGTCTTTGAGGAGTACATTGATATAGAGAAAAATTAAATTTTTATTTTCAATTCCTAAACACAAAAAAAAAAAAAAAAAATAACTATTCACTTAAGAAAATGTTCTATATTAAAATCAATTTTAATAGTCTATGTATGTAGTTTATAGCTTGTAAATTATGAAATAGTTAAGATATCTGTACTTAAACATTATTTAAGATTGTTATTTTCTAATTGGTTAGCATATATTATACTCAGTGTTAGAAATCTAATTTGGTATACTAATGTGTTGAATTAGTATAAATTTGTTGACCATATAATGGTCATGCTGGGAAATTTAAATAGTTTGGATGATTAAGCCCTGAAACTAGTTGCCAGAATTAATGTTTGCTATTATTTTATTACAAACCCATAGGAGTTTTGCAAGAAATTTGGATACTTACAAAATGCTGACACGTTTAAAGCCTCCTCGTTCTGCGTTTGATGAAATGGGACGTGGACTGGTAAGTTAATAATTTTCTATCATAGTATTTTTTATACACAAACTTGTTTATTGACTCTTATTAATCTATGCAATGTTATTTGAAATTATTTTTTCATGCATTTTCCTTTAGAGTTTAAATCGAGTAAGTAAATTTAAATTCCAATTATATTACAAATAAAACACTATGCACAAAAAAATCACCTAAAATTATTGTTTTTATAACAGCAAGACACGCTTTGGGGTCAGGTAAGATAACTAGTGGATGAATTTGGTGTACAGTGTTAAAGCTTTATAGTGCATTATTTAAAATTTAAACAAATTTGCAGTAAAAACCATATACTATATTCAATATATTTAGAATGGTTCTTTTTTCATAGTATAATGAGTTTATAACAAGTTTCTTAGTTTTTTAATAGTTTTATTAATATTTATTACTAGGGCTGGGATATCGGTGTACTTGGCATTTTTATCTAAGGCTTGCTGTACGATGCTCATATTGTCACAAATTAGTTTCATTTACTTTTGAACGAGAATAAGAAAGTTTATTCTACATTTATTGACAAATTTCAGTGTTTAATTTTCTTTATTTTCTAGAGCATTTTAGGGAGCATTTTTTGAGTTTTTAAATCCAAAATTTGAACTTAAAATTTTATCTTAAGATTTTCACACACTAATATGGTTTTTCTATAAACCATAAACCATATTAAGTTGGAACTCATATAATACGATACAATATTTATGAATAGACAGTAATAATCTCAAAATCTAAATAATGAAGGTTAAACAGATAACTTCTAAGACAAAATCAACGTGGTGTTTTTAGAATCATTAGATAGATTTTCTATTAATAATCATGTTGGAGCAATAAAATAAACTTTATTTTTCAGTACTAGTTTTTTTATTCTTAAGTGAATCTATAATATTATAATTTATATCAAAATTATTAAAAATAACATAGTTTTAGTACATTATTTAGAATTTCCAGAGCATTAAAGTATTTTTCAGGGTTTTATAGGGCATTAAATTCCCAGCCCTATTTATTATTATTCATTTGAGTGTGTAATATAATGATTGGGCTTAAGTTTTAGTTTATTGCAAATTAATTTTCTACAGATAGTATTATGTTTGTATATTTATAATTTGAAGTTAAAAATTACAGGAAGGTTATACCCTTGCAGTAATGCATATTGGAGCTCCTGCATGCGGTATGAATTCTGCTGTGCGTTCGTTTGTACGAAATTGTATCTACAGAGGTGATACCGTTTATGGAATACATGACGGTGTGGAAGGTTTAGTTGCAGGAAATGTTTGTATTTTCATTTATAAGTGAATATCAGACATATCATAATATTATGTTCGTCGCTTAGATTCAAGTAATGCAATGGTCTGATGTCACTGGATGGGTCGGTCAAGGAGGTGCCATGTTGGGAACAAAACGTACTCTTCCTGAGAAAAGAATGCCTGAAATCGCTGCTAGACTAAAAGAATTTAATATCCAAGCCCTTTTGATAATTGGAGGTTTTGAGGTTGAAAACATTCTATACTTATATCAATAATTTGTTGTACTTACATTTTAATTATTTTAGGCATACCAAGCTGGTGTACAACTGGTTCAAAATCGTAGCAAGTTCCCGGAATTCTGTATACCAATGGTTATTATACCATCAACTATAAGTAATAACGTACCTGGTACAGAATTTTCATTGGGTTGTGATACTGCACTAAATGAAATTACTGAGGTTTGTTATTTTATAATCAATAATAACATTTAGCCAATTATTATTTAAAATAGTTTTTCATTATATTATGGTTATTTATCTTTGACTAAGTAGCTTTTTTATAAATAAAGCTTTTGTAGTAAATCTAATTTGTAAAATTGTTGACCGTGTTTTATTTTATGTTCAGATTTGTGATAGGATTCGGCAGTCTGCTCAAGGTACTAAGCGACGTGTATTTGTTATCGAAACCATGGGAGGATACTGTGGTTATTTAGCTACTGTTGCTGGACTGGCTGGTGGTGCTGATGCTGCTTATATTTATGAAGAGAAGTTCACCATTAAAGATTTGCAAAATGATGTATACCATATGGCTTCGAAAATGGCTGAAGGTGTTCAGCGTGGTTTGATATTAAGGTTAGTTTAATAAAATAAAACAAGAATAATTGTTTATAAGTTTAAATTTCATTTGGAAATTGTATTTTTATTTTCAGAAATGAAAAATGTAGTGAAAACTATAACACAGATTTTATATTTAGACTTTATACGGAAGAAGGAAAAGGATTGTTCAGCACTCGAATGAATGTTTTAGGTAGTTTGCATAGATAATAACCAATTACTCACATAATTGATTTTTATTATTATTAAAAATTATTTGAAGATATGTAATAATAATTACAATAATATATTTAATAAAATCATTATTGTTATTTAAATTTTTTGTTTTCCAGGCCATATGCAACAAGGTGGCTCGCCCACTCCATTTGATCGTAATATGGGTACCAAGCAAGCAGCAAAGTGTGTTGAATGGCTAGTTGAAAAATTAAGAGAATCTACCAGACCGGACGGAACTATTTACACTGATAATCCAGATACAGCTGCAATGATGGGCGTTATAAGACGACAGTATCGTTTTACACCTTTAACTGATTTGGTGCCTGTTACTAATTTTGAGTGAGTGGAGTAATATTTTTAAAATGTCATTATAACTTATTTCATGGTAATAATATACTATTAGAAAGAAACCAATTACAAATAGTGTAATCTAAATTATACACATTTAAAAAAAAAGAAAAATAAGACAATGGGGACAAGTGCAGCCACTGATGTAGGTAGGAGTTTGGAAGGTAGGATATAGATGGGAATTTAATGCATATTTGTAAGCAACGATAAACCATTGTTTACAAAAAAAACAAGTTCAGTTGATATAGATGCTTTGTCAACAATATATATGTCATTTTGTAGTAAATAATTAAATAAGCTTTATATATTTCCTTTAATAAAATTAGTTTAATGTTGTACCAATTTTCCTAGTTTTCTTACGTTTATCTGGGTTTTTCACATTTGCTGGTAAAACTCTTGGGAAAATCAAAAAATTACCTCTTTAAAGTTCCTCCTTAATGAGATTTTCTTTTAGAAACATTGCTGTCATTAAAAATCAGAGCAAAATTGCTGGTAGAAAAGTTGTACCACAGAAAAAAGAAACACTGTAAAACTATAAAATATAAATTTCAGTATATGTTATATAATATTAATTTTTTGATTAAACATACACTGTTTATTGTTGTCATTATTGTTGAATGGTTTTGCTAATTATTTTGGATTTTCTTAATTTACAGACAACGTATAGCAAAGACTCAATGGTGGTTAAAACTAAGACCACTCTTACGTATACTTGCTAAACACGATAGTGCTTACGAAGAGGAAGGCATGTACATAACTGTTGAAGAAGGATTAGAGGCAGATACGTTACTGGCTTAGACAAATATCACGTTAATTATTATTAATTTATAGTATTTACAGCAACTTTATTTTTTTTTTGTTTGTCTGAAGATTATGACAGTTAAAGTTAATAATAATAATAATGACTAAATTTATATGATTAAATTAAAAAAAAAAAAAAACTTTATTAATATTTATCCATTAGTCACAACACTCTAGTCATCAAGTGTAAAGTAGATAATAAATATTTGTATCATCGATATGAATATTTAAATATCAATTTAAATTATTATAATAACGTTTGTTAACTACGTTTAGATTGTGTTTAGATAAATTATATTTGTGTGTGTCAGTTTAATACTGTCTAGTTTGTTGTTTAAATGCAATTATTAATAATTCAAAACTAATGTTATTAGATTATTTAATTTGTCAATAGTTTCAAATATTTCTTATTATATAAAAATATTTTACAAGTAATAATATATACCTATTACTTAAGACTAGATTTTAGCAAATATTTAATCATATCAATTTAAAATATGTAAAACAATATTATCGATCAACAAATTAAAATGACAACTTAATATAAATAAACAAAATTATACTATACAATAAAACAAATTCAGATTTTACATTACTTTCACTCTGCTTTCCAAAAATTGATAATTTAATTATTAACATTAACAGAAATTTAATTTATTGTACATTATGCTATACACCACATATTAAGATATAATAGATTGGTACCGGTATAGCCTGCCAGAGATGTAAATGTTTCCTCTGTTATCATAAAAATGGAAATCTATATAATTTATTTTACAGTTTTTTGGCTATTTATGGGCACCAATATATAGTTTTGGAATTATTTTAATTGGAACATTTATATTACGGAATGAGAAGGTATGGAGTGTTACGGTTTCGAACATACAATGAATAAAATTACACAGTGCTTAACAGACATTACTTAGAACTGATATTATACAGGATTTAGAAATAGAAATTGATTAGAATTATAATAAATGTATGTTCAAAGTATTAAAATTCCAAGAATTATCAGTTCTATCTAATATAATTCCGCTTCATAATATTCCAATATTAATTTTCACAGACATTATGTGTTTATTTGATTCTATGAAACTTTTTTTCTAAATAAAATAATTCCATTGAAATACATTGAAATACAGAACCCATATTTACCAGTGATTTAATTTGGAGTCGCATTTAAGATTCGGAATTTAGTAAAGAATGTATTGGTTTTACAATGTTTTTATTTGTTTTAAAAAAAAACCATCAAATTTGATTAGGTTAAACACTGAAAATAGTATAATTCATAAAAAAAAATTCTATATTTTTTGTAGATTACAGTTTGGTGCCACTACGAAGCTGAAACATGTTTTGTGAGGCTTTTTAATTTAATTATAATGCAAACCGTAATAAAATATATATATTTAAAATGTCAGAAAATGTATCCCAATATTTCCAGTTTCCATCCCATAGTTAAATACCAACCTTAAAACCAATTGTATAATTTTCTATTTTTATTACCTACTTATATTAATTTAAAATTAATTTGGCAGGTCAACAAGATACATCTATAGTTTATAACGTAATCCAAGCTGTTATCAAGATAAATAATGTTTTATTTTTTTGACAACTCTAATGATCTATCTATTCTGTATTTCTGTGACAGTTGTATGGGATAGATAATACATATTAAGTACATTGTGTTATATTTGTTGTGATATTTAGTTTTAATTAGTGGATGGTTTAGGTTTTTTTATAAGTATCTAACATAACATGCAAATTTTAAATACATGTTATTACTATAGGCCAATAACTGAAAACTTATTTTATCCTTTTCCTGTCCGGACTGTTTAGATGCTTGTCATATTACTACTTGTTTTATTTTCATAAAAAAATCAAATTCAGTAGGTAATAGATAATTTTAGTATTATTACTTTGTTAAGATAAAGTAAAATTATTTATAATTATTGGTAAAATGTTTATATCTGGTATTGTGCTCATGATCTAACAGAGTTATTAAATTGTAAAATTTATATAAAACAACGAACCGATAAACTATAAATAAACTTTAAATGTTTTACTTTAATTTCATAGTAAATCAATGTAGTCTAGAAATCATTAAAAGATTCAGAAAGAAACAAGAATTTAATAATACAAATACAATTATTAGTAGTAATAAATAGACATGAAATTGTGTGTATTATAGACTGGTCACACTGATTGCGACTGTAGAAGATGGCCGTCACGATTTTCGTCCGGCCTATGCTGCCCGTGTCCCATAGAGTAATATTATTCTATGAGAAATTCGTTGGTATAAACCAGTGTAGATATTCGACGATAGAAATCGGTGTATCCCCACCTTTGTCTAAAATTAACAATGATAATACTATACAAAATATATCAATTAAATATTAATCAATTATTTAAATTATTAGTGTATTACCTATACTATACTTCCCATTTCCTGCTAATAAGTACTTAGTAACAATTAATTTGAATAGGTATTAATTGTTATCAATTGAATTATTATTACTATTAATTATCTGTTTGTTTATTATTTAGAGGGAGAAATGAGATGGGATGAAACCGGTGTAAATAGTTTGCACCAATAGTTATGCATGTGAAGGTGCAGAAAAATTAAACCGGTGTCGTTGATTTTAACACCGGTTACTCTGAAAATTTTCTCAAATTCATACCGGTTTGTACCAACGAATTTCTTGTCTGTGTTAATTCTTATCAGTGTCAGCCCCCTGATACTTGATAGTTGTGTGCGTTTTTTAAAGAATTGAACCGTTGTTTATAATATTTAAAGCTGAAATGAATTGATGATTATAATATTTCTGCATAGATGTCTCCTGTTGTTCATTATGTCAATAAGGTATGATCGATTTGTATTAATCTTGCCTATTTTTATTTGGAACAAAACTAATTTCACCCCATTTCCAAGCAGTTTTATTTTGATGTATTTCTTGATGCTTAAGATTATGGTACAAAAATTATATTAGAAATTATAGCTATCAGAAATTGTTGATACATAATATGGGTAGAGTTAGCTGAATAGGTAGATACTCCACTTTGTTGAGAGGAGTTATGTAAATTAAATTTTTCAGGCCAAATAAATAAATATTAGATATGATTTAACATGATTATTATATGAAAATAAATTTATAAATAAAACAATTGTTTTTTACTATTTAATTTTTTATGCCATATAAACCAGTTTTGTTTGTTGTTTCAGTTTTGGTTTTTTCCCTGTTACCTAAATATGTGCATTTATATTTAAAAATTCTATTTTTTTTTTTTTGTTTAATAATTTTAAGAACTTTGTGCTTATACATAAAGTGTTTCTCAGTGAATCCCAGTATCCTGAGTAAGAATAAAATCAAAATTCCATTCCCCAGTTATGATAGATGGATAGTAAAAAAAAAAAATTGTTACTCAATGATATGTTGTATTTTTAATTTACAATAATCTATGTAATTATACTTTTAAAATTTTCAGGGTTGGAATTGCAAGACTTTTAGTAAATGTTGCAGTAGGATGTTGTAGTGCAGCATTAACATATGTAATGTATACATATTTCAACAAAGAACAAAATGAAGTGTTATTTTTTTACGGAAATAATTCTACAAGTTGCTCTTCTAGCAATAGTGATAATACTATAAATGCACTTAATCATTGTAATTGTATGGATTGTAATGTTCTCAAAATTATCAGTTGGATTGATGGAGCAAAGAAAACATTAGACATCTGTTTATATGTTTTTAATCATGAGATGCTACTGAAAGCAGTTATCAATGCTCATAAACGTGGAGTTTGTGTCAGACTAATCTTAAATGAAGACAATTCAAGATTAACATGGAATTTAGGGTGTATTGGTATTCCAAAAAGAGTTAAAAACCCTGAGTTGAATTCTAATTTAATGCACCATAAGTTTACCATTATTGACAACAAAAGAATCATTTTAGGATCTCTTAACTGGAGTCAAAATGCAACTCGGTCAAATTGGGAAAATATATTTATCACAAATGAATGTGAAATAGTTAATACATTCAAACAAGAATTTCAAAGACTTTGGTTAGAATTTAATGATTAGAATTAATTTTAAATTAGATAATTTCAAGTTTATCTATTATAAACAACTGAAAAATAATTATACTATTAAGTTCAAACTTTTAACTTGTAGTTTATTATTAAAATTATATATATATTAAGAATAATATAAATTAATTCTTAATTAACCAAAATTTATTAAAAGTGAGATTGACCTTTTTTGACCCAAATCCCAGAATTATATATTAAATATGCATTATAATATTAAAATACTTAATTTCTATATAATTTAATAAAACTAAACTAAAATTATTACTTCGTAAAAATGAACAAATCATGATACCTCATTCAATTGTGTAGGTAGTTTCAAATTAAAATATTATTTACAGTATTTGTCAATTGTTCAGATTGATAGTACAATTTTTGTTTATTTTAATTTCTTGACAAATCATTGTTTTTCAATTGATCTAACTTTTCTTTCTTTTTTTTTTTTTAATTATCAAAAACCTATTTGCCATAAGAACATGAATAAAATGTAAAAGTTATACCATTGATTGTATACAATATAATATATTTATAATTAATGGTAATATGTATATTTTATGGAGATAATTGTTTTTGTGTTGATTTTTACAAACTTTCTTAAGTGGTTATATATTAAGTATAATAGTATTTAAATAAGTACATTTTACAATTTGCATACATGCATTTTTTCTTTCTCTTTTACAATATTAAAATATTTAGAATGTCTGAACAATTAGTACAGGTCATATATGAAAGGGAAGTTTTAGAGTTTATACCCTTAATTATTAATTATGAACCATCTATCATAGTTTATGTCAATATTCTCCATAATTTTAAAAAGTTTTGTCCAATTCACATTATCAAATGCTTTCTCCAAATGTATGAAAGTAATAAATAGAGGTTTGTTAACTCTAAATATTTTTTCCAATATCGCTATAATCATAATGATAATGTTATTGTCACAATAATGTCCCACGGAGATTAATTATGACACTTATTAATTGCTACTTCTATTAGTTTCAAAATGGCACCTCTATAATATCCAGCACAATTTAAGATCTTGCATAGTGATATCCAGTGGCATAAATTGGGTGACACAAATGTAGCACTTCCAAGGTTATATTTTTGCACCAGCAGAAAATTACCAAAAATTGTATACTTATAATTTCTATTTTGTTTATCAAAGAAGTACATTGTACAAAATTGTAATTGATTGTACAAATATAGTATTTTTTTAATATTTACTATTTACATCTCAATTCCAATGCAGCTGGATTAATAATATAGTATAATTTTTTTATGGGTATCTTATCAATATCTGGATGGTCGAGTCCTTTTAAGTCTAATACACACTGGTAAACATGTTGCGCGATTTTGGTCTCTAAGACGTGTCTCAGCCTCTCAGGTTGTCTACGTAGACATGTCTATAGATTAATCCCCGTCTACATGTTTGCGAGACCAAAAATCGCAAGTCATAAGTCTCCTGATAGGAATGGGAGACCGCATGTAACGCGTAAGACGAGTTGTACAACATTTTGACAGTATGGACGTCACTCAGTCTCTAAAGGCGAGAGTGCGAGACGTTCCAGTTACCGAGTGGTGTGGTTTGGCTGTTTATAGCTGGGATCGTTCCTCTAAAGTTTGTATTTTGCTTCATTATTGTCTCTCCAGTTATCATGAGCACAAATATTCAAAATTGGTAGCCGTCAGCCGGGTGAAATCCCGAAAACCCATGGTATCTTTCAGTCTTAATTTATTTAATAATGCATTACCTAACCTAGGTCTTTCTGCGAGCACTTCGCGCGTCCATTAATATTTTATATTAATACAAAAACCATGAAAACGTCTAATAATATTAATACCTATTATATCAGGTATCTCTATTTATTGACCATGTATGTCCCATGAGTCATGGGACAGATTTACAAATGCAGTGGGAGTATTGTAGAGTTAAAAATTACTAATAAGAATATTTCTCTGCGCCACCAGAAATTGAGACCAATTTACACCACTGGTCTATATCTATTAACATATTACTACTCTATGATCTGATCTCAGAGCATAGTTATTATAATATTGTGCAACCAGACTTTTAAAGTAGTTAATCAATAATAACAATCACAATATTATTATCTATAATTGTGATTTACACTTAATTTATCTAAGTTACCTCAGATCGTATTTATTCCATGTGTTTCTTATAGGGTTAGCGAAAAATGTATGACTCGTCGACATTTTGATAGGTAGCTATATCGTAAACCAAGTATTGATAAGACGATTTATCGTTAGCAAATTTCTCAATCCATCGAGGAAAGAAAAATATTAAGTACCTCTTAAAAATTCTGCTCATTTGCAATGATGTCAATTTTCGGTAGAAAATATTGAAAAGGATTTTCAAAATTTGGCTATAATTTCGAACATTACCTACGAGTTACCTGCAGTCTACTGTATACCGTCTATATCAACAAGTATATTATGTGTTGTGCACAGAATGAGTTTCTCTGTACAACGTATTAATATTAATAATAAATATTTTTGTTATTGTCTTATATCGTAAATTTATATATAGTATTGTTTAAATTCTAAATATCGATTAATCGAGCAGTGGCGGATTTTTAACATTTTTCTGTGGAAGGGGAGTTTTGAAAAAAAATTTATTTTAAATGTATCAGACGATATTTTATTGTAATTATATCGGTAGCTGGGAGAGGGGGAGGGGTCTAGGAAATCCGAGTCGTAAATCCGCCACTGAAATCGAAGATGTTTGTTTTACAAAAAAAATGTACCACGATCAATCGACGAAGGTATTTTCAGAAAACTTTTATAACCGACCGAGATGAACTGATATAAAATAAATCAATATTCGTTCACAATATACAATTTTCATAATTTTCCTATAATTCTACATAAATTATAATTACACAAATACACAGAACATGAACAATACACATAATCAAAATAAATGAAGTTACAATATTTGGCGAATACGATAGTGTTTTTAACACTTTATAAACGTAATCGAAAGTCTACTCTTATTCGTTCGGTTTCACGTTGACACAAAGGAACAAAACATGTACATTACAATAGGTATAACCTACAATCATTCAATCGAAATATTATTGGTCTTATTCGTCATCGCACTGTTGATTTTCACTATCGATTTGACTATGGATTTGATGCCTGTGAATAATTCTTTCCCCGTCGGCACGATCTTATCGGCCGGCAACATAAAACCGTATATTCCTTTGTCTGGAAGTTCGATCGTGTAGCTGTATTTTATTCCGGCTTTCCCTTTGGCCCAATCGTCGGATCCTCCTTAAAAAAAAAAATAAAAGAGCCATTAAGGTACTTACTTACTATAGATATCAGCACGGGCGTTTTTTTTTTTGGCTCGGTCCATACATTATTATTTAAAGCCAAATCTGATCAGGCTTGTTTGCAATTTTTCAGTACTGTTGACAAAGATTACTGACAGTGGTCAGAGAGTGAAAAAAAATATAAAATTTTGTTTATTTTATGTCACTGATCCACCCATAATCAACCCGAAATATTTTTCTTATGGCCTGGCCCCGCCTAAGCCCGGTACATCGCTATGCTCAGAATCTAAAATGTTGCATACCTTAAACTAATCAATTTTTGTTTTTTATCAGTATAAACCACTGATAAATCGAGTATTGAACTTTTGGACATTTAACACGAGGCTAAAAAATGTCGATTAACCGAAACCAAAAGTACCTACTTGGCTACCTAATAACTCGAAAACCGACAAAATATTTTGGAAATTATACCACTTTTAGAAAACGTTAACATTCGGTGAAAATTTTCGAATTTTATGCGATCATTTCTTACCTATTGAATCAAATATAATTTGGCGGTGAATATATTTATCAGTTTTTCGATTTTATTTGTTGTTCTAATGTATTCATGATGGATGTTTCATCTAATATAATTTAGTTAAGTACCTGAAGTAGCGTAAAGTAGTGACGGAGATGTGCCGAGTTGGTACTGAGATCCATGTACTTTTTGAATAGCTTCCGTTGCTTGCCTTGCTAAGTACATCATATCGTCATAATCGTCAGCGCGTTTTTTCGTGTGACTCCATGGTACTAGCCACATTTGCGAGTAAGAATGTAAAGTCAAATATAACTGAAATCGTGCATTAAAATTATCACTTGTATACTGACTGAGGATAAGTTATTAAGAAACCGAAATTTCATTATTACGCAAAAAGCATAGATTGCTTCTAACAACTTTCTATTTTTTCGATATCACTTCTACGAAAAATGTTATATTCGAAATTGACAAACAACATTTCGAGATTTGAAAATAATAATAATTTTTGTTTGTTTATATCACAAAAAAAAAAAAAAAACTACGAAAATTATATTTCTATATATTAAGACTATTATATTATAGTATACGTTCTTGCCCTAATAAAACGGTTTAACAATAATATTATTGTAGGTACCGATTGACCACGTCGTATGGGCATAGGTGCAACTAGACTATAAAATTTGGAGGTGCTAAAATTATGAACACATCAAAGATGAGTTATGCTCACCCAGTTCTCTTTATACGGCTTTGACAATAGTCAAGTATACACCTTTCATTTACAATTTTGTGTATACAAATTTGTCATAACTATTTTAACATTATTTTTTATACACACATGCATTGTCTGTAGGAAACTTATATTTTGTTCTCCTTATTAATTGTGAAATGTATTATGGATAAAATATTTAGTCGTTATTATGAAAAACCTGACTGAGTTTTTTTAGGGAATTTTTATTTTAAACTTGGGGTGCTAAAGACCTCCTAGCACCCTCCTAGTTGCGCCTATATGTTTGAGGGGTTAAAATACCTTGAAACCATATTATGTGATATCTCTGGAAAATTACTTACTTGTATTCTATCCCTGTGGTCCAATATAAAATCCGATACTGCTCTCGTTTCAGGTTCGGAAAATGCGTGCGATCCGGCAAAAGTATCGTCACACGGGTCTTGACTAGCACCGACGGAACCCCAATGCCAGTCCCAATTTCTGTTTAGATCGACACCTTCGCAACCGTATGACATACCACCCCATAGAGTTCTATAATAATAATAATTCATATTATAACAACAGTGTCAGTGCCGAAACCAAGATTTATCAATGGGGGATGGCGGGAGGCGGAAAAAAAACAGCAAAACATCGAGGGTGTTTTGTTATCATCGCTACTATTCTCGCACAGGATAGATGGATAGACCACTGTTGTCAGTGGCGCCTAACAAGGGATATAAGTATAAATATTTTTGGGATGATGGTGGTTGATAGTGGTAGTAGCCAACTTGGTGGTTGCAACTAATACTATGATATATTTTTTAAGAATATATTATTGTTTCATAATAATCAATGAATTCAATTAGCTCTTTTAGAATATAAGGATTTATATAGAAATAACTGTATACACGGTACGTCTGGACAGTATGAATAATATAATATTATAACATTATAATATGATTGACATAGTTGGTCTATGACCATCGATAAACCACACGGGAAAAATAAAAAAAAATGTTTTGGTATTTAAATACATTGTAAAGAATTATATAAAAACAAACGGACATACTTTGCATGATGGGTGGACCACTATTGTAGGCGAGGAGTTGGGAAGGTAGAGGGGAAATTTAATATACATCTGTGCGTAATGATTAATAATTACTAACGAAAAAAAATTTTGAGCGGAGTTCGGTTATACATGTTTTGAAAGACTGTAATATTAAGGATTTGAAAATAATACATTTCGTAAATTTTCCTGTTTTTTTCCATTAATTATGAAACCCCTGAGAAAATCAAAAGATGACCAATAACTAAGTAGATAAAATTTTCGTTCAGAAAAGGTGCTACACTTGAAAATTGGAGCAAAATTTTTGGTAGAAAAGTTGTTCACAAAAAAAAAAACAAAATAAACACCATTTTAAAACTAATATATTTCTCGCTCCTCTTAGAATTTAAAATGGGTGTTTCAGTAAATAGAGGATATCAACGGGGGAGGGGAGGGTCAAGTTTGTGAAATTTGTTAGGTAGGTAGTGATTGGTATCACATATTTTGTAAAGTTCATCCGATATTTTAATACTGCTTCGGTGTCACTGACTGTTGTAGGCGGGATTGGTGGAAATTTGGGAAGATACGTAGTGTGTCCAATAAATACGCTAACTGAATTTCTGCAGCAGTCCAAAGTGCAAATATAAGCGCACCGACTACCTTATATCTGTCTACTAGTACTATTAGTACTAACGCTTCAGTAACCGGTTGACTGCCGAGCTATTAACACAATTAAAGTGTCGTTCGTTAGCTCAGAATCTTAAAACACACACCACATACACTATAAAGACTAATGTAAAATAAACATACATTATACTACTGAACAATATGTAGTAGAGGTTAGGTTTACACACCCTACTTTATTACCTTCCCGATTCGATCGGCATTCTTCTGGATTTCCTCCACAGCCGATCCGTGGTATGGGTGTATTCGTAACCGTCGGCATTTACCACCGGCAGAATATACCAATCGACTTGCGAAACTAATGCCCTATATGATTTGTTTTCTACTAACTGTCTCAAAATATATAACGCCACCGCCGGCGATATCCATTCTCTGGCATGAATTCCTATATTACATAATACATTGAAAGTATATATTAGGTATCGTTTGAGTTTTATTACAAGTATATATATATAAAAAAAAAAAAAATCAAAATCAAAATTCGCTAAATTGTCCAAAATCAACATGATTTGATTTTTCCTCGTAATTTCGTAATCACTCTATGTAATTATAAAATAATAGCATTTACTGAGAAGGTTAAAGAAAGACTGAAACTCCCCCGTATAGATATTTGAGAGGTACTATACTAAAAAAAATCTTGCACCATATATTTAATGCTAGACAAGTTATTTAAATGTTTAACTTATAAAATTAAATTGAAAGTTGGGTTTTTAATTTACACAACTCCTAATTCGATGATGTCAGAAATTACTAGAAGAAAATAATACCTTAAGACATGTAAGTTAAGAAAAAAGTTTAAATTATTAATTATTTTCTTTACATAAAAATTTACAATATTTTAAATTTAAATTTATTAAAAAAAAAACTGAAAAAACATAATGTGCTACATAGAATTATATATCATATATTCGTGCAATTATCTGCCAAAAATGTATCTATCTATATGAGCAGTATTGGCTTTTTTTCTTCTGGAATACAAATTATTATTGTTTTAAATAAAACCAAAGTTTAAAACAGATATGTTTTCTATGTAAAATAATGGCGAATGGCCGATTGTGGATTAAAACGTTTAATAGAAATTAAAGCATCCTTCCTGACTTCTTAACTGTGATTATTAATAATTTTTAGCAATTGTCACAATAAATTATTTTTATGTGGTTAAAAATACAAAATAATATACACTCGTTTGAATGAAAAATTACCTGCATCAATCCAGATGGCCGGTTTGACGACGTTTTCTCTAGTTTGTCCGCTTGAAATTTTGACTACTTTTAATGGCCGACCTTCTGTGGTTTTTCCGATCGGCAACAATTCCACCAGATGGGGATAATGTTCTGATAAATACATCAAGTAGTCAAGAATCTCTAAACAAATTCGAAAAAACACTCGTATGGTTTATTGTACGTCATAATAGTTATTCATATTTATTTATATTTGATAATTATTTATTTCTCATAATGACAATATAATGTTCCACTATCATTAAGAAGTTTTTGCAGTTCTGTGGCGTATTTAATGTTTTATTTAGGTGGCGGATACAAATAATATCATTCTGTGACTCGTGGGGGGATACGTCTTTCAAACTAGGGCAGTATAAATGTTAGCACTATTTGCATAACGCAGCATTTTGTGAATGGGTGGTTGTGCCCATAGGATGTAGAATGAGTGGGGACGTGAAATAATTGGTGACTTCTGGTACCATATGATGGGATGCGAAAAGAAACCATGACCAACAGATCAGGTACATCCAATGAGCCATTTAAAAGGGAGGTAATAAAGGCCAAATCAGCGTCCAGACGTCGAGAAGAGAGTAGAGGTATTTTAGGGTGCTTAGAATGAGGGAATAATCGTGAGGAGGATGGTCTATTTTAAATATATACGTGGCGTAGGACAAGAACCTATGTTGAACACGCTCTAATCTTAATTGGTCCCTGGCCAGGTAAGGAGACCAGCCAACTACCCCGTATTCGAGGATAGAGCGTACCAAGAAAAAGTTGAGGGTGTGAAGGCATTTAAGAAAGGTAAAAGACACCGTATTTCGTTTAATGAATCCTAATACTTTTAGAGCTCTTCCAACTGTAGTAGTTATATGCTGTTCAAAGTTTAAAGTAGGCGTAAGGAGGATTCCAAGGTCTTTTCCGCTATAAACCCACTGGAGTAAAGTACGAGTATTGTATAATAGAGATAACTATGAAATATAGGAGAGCGGCTCTTCGAAAATGTCATAGTATTATATTTATCGAGGTTAAGAGTTAAACCAAGAGGTATAACTTAAGAGCAAAAAATATCGAATTCAGCCTGGAGTAGAAGGCAATCCGCTGGAGAATAATTCTCAAGTATATTTTGATATCATCAGCAAATAGGAGAAATTCTGCATTAGTTATGCACTTACCAATTGAGTTAATGAAGATAATAAATATTAGATGGCTAAGATGACTAAGGCTAAGATATTATATTACGAATCCTTAGGACTTGCATTTGAGATATAATATAAGAGTTGATCCAGGAAAGTAGTGGATTCTCGAGACCAAGGACTTCAAGCGCATTTATCAAAAGATTATTATTTACTATGTCAAACGCTCTTCTAAAATCTGTAAAAATTACATCTATTTGGTATTTATCCCTAAAGCTATTTAATTTGTAAGAAGTGAAAACAACACTACTGGTAGGTGTGGATTTGTCAGGCCGAAAGCCGTGTTACTGGTCGGTTATTATGTGATTAAGGCTTCTCTTTATACAAGAATAAACAATAGATTCAAAAATTTTGGAAAGATGCGGTAGAATAGAGATAGGTCTGTAGTTGTCAACATTAGTTGGATCAACCGACTTATGAATGCGAGTCAATGAACAAATTTTCTAGTAATCCGGGAAAATTCCCTCATCAATAGAGTGTCTAAATGTGGGAAAATTAGGAACGCCAGGGAAATAAGACATTCGTACAGTAGAATAGCCGAAATTTCATCAGGCTTACAGGATGTACAATTCTTTAATTTAAAAAGTGCCCTGTAAAACGTCTTCTGGGGAGAAATGAATGTTAGATGGAAGATTAAAAGTGACGTTGTTATTTGTAGAGGCGTTAGGAAGTGAATGATTTGTAGGTGGGTAATAAACAGAAGAAAAATATTTTGAAAGGGTTGAGAAGTTTCTATATTGATGAAAAATCTGAAAGCTATCAAAACCTAATTCTGAATCAGCGATGTCTGAGGAGAGCCATATTTTGGTAAAAATTATTGTATAATAAGGGATGAAAAGCGGGAAGGAAGATCTAACTGTGGTAAGTTTCATTTTAAGACTTCGAACATTTCGATAAAAAAATTTTAAATTTATATTAAGATAATTATTAAGATTAGCCGTTTTAGTTGCATTATAATGGTTATTTATAAAATGTAAAAAATCATTATGTGCTTCACGAGAACGTACCTAAAGAATACAGTCAAAATTATTATTAGTTTGAACGTGTTGACTTGAAAACTTAAACGGATTAGGATAAATGGACTGAGGTGATTGTGGTAGGATTTCAGAAAGTGTGACTAGGGCTTGTTTTTCAGGGAACGTGGACGAGAGTCCCTGTTTTTTAAACGGCTCACAAGTACTTTTGGTATACCACCAATGTACCGTATCTGCAACCTGACTTCTTCATCTAGTGTCCTACGATCGAGTTCTAAATGACGGGATCGAAGTAAACTACGCTCGAGAGTAGTTTTGTCTCTTACAATACGTAAATCGCTGACACGAGAAGTGCAATCCAGCCTAGGTTCGTCAAACTTAGAAATGAGTCTAGCTGCAGTAGTTTAGAGGAAAATATGATTTTCAAAGGCCTAGTTTTATCAGGTTGGGGTTTACCCAAACGGATAAGTTTACAATCATTTATAAAGGCATTACTTTTAAGTGGGCTAATAATGGCTTGAAGAGTTCTTCTATCAACATTAATGTGCTGAGAAGAAGATGGAGCTAAAGATTTAGACAGTCCATAGACTAGGACATTAGCTGCACACTTTTCTATTTCGAAAGTTTCTTGCAATACCTGAGAGGCAGCTAAAGGGGGAAGCGATAGAGATCCAGAGGATTTAAAAGACGCTACTTTATTTTTGAGCAAATCTACCTCTTTACGCAACTTAGTATTTTTGACTTTGAGGTCAGTCACTGAAGTAGAAAGAAGTTTGAGATCGTTTTACAAATATTTAAATTGAGATTGAAGAGTAGAACGCTAAGATTTTAAAGAGATTTTATGGAATTCTGTCCGAATGGATAGGAGAGTTGCCATAAGATCATAGGGAGGGTTATTATTTTTGTTGGTTTTAGTGGTATTACGAGTTAGTATAGTTATTATAGTACGAGGTTCAGTAGAGGAGTAGAATGCCAACTTTAAGGTTTTATGGAGAAGTCATATTGCGGCTGGATAACAAAGAATATCGGTTGGCTGATAACTCACTCTATAGTAGTGTATGTACTACGTACTAAATATGAAGGAACACTCTGTGATGTGTTGTTGTGCACCTGCACGCAAATAGGTTTCGGCCGCTGCAAACCTTGGTACCTCCGTGAATAGAACAGATAACGTAATTGTCGATTGGAAAGACTTATATCAGCAGATAATAATACTAAAAATCATACTTAATTCGGCAGTTGTATAAAAACTTGATACATAAAACCTCCCCTATAGAAGTTGAATTGGACAGGCTGACTCAAAATTGACACCAGCCTGCGCGCGCATTTTTTTTATCTATGTTATAAGAAAAAAAACACAAAAAACTGGCAACAACAGCTGAGGAAAAATAGAACAATTGGAGAGTAACATGAAAAGACGTCCATCACCAACGAGCGATGAATTTGAACTATTGTTGATATTTCCATAACGGTTTGATGGACGAGTCTCATTTTTACACAAAAGTCCAGTAATAACTCATATTTGTCAGAAATTTGACATGTCCCCTTTCTAAAATTCATATAATATAAGACAATATATTTTATAATAGGTACTTATAATAGTACTATTAATAATAAATTGTATTATTTGTATTAATGTAACATGTAACGAATTCGTGTAAACTGAATTACAATACTACGGAAATAGTACTGTAGTAATATAATAGCCGGGGATGGGTTGTGTTATAATATATTATTATACTACCTTGGTATCGGTGGTATCTATTCCACGTCATCAAATGACCTTTGGTCGCTTTTAATTCTGATTTTTGACTTGGAGACGGCGACCTAGGATTTTGTTTACTGATACTTCTCTGCGGGTAATAACAATAAAAATGTATATTCAACCGTGTTAATTATCGTGTTAAATTAATAATTATGTTTACAAAGTCGTATTTTAACTCAAATGGTTTAAGGTGTAATTGAATTATTAGAATTTAAACGCGTACTTCTAGATCAGAACTGAGTATGACGAAGTCGATCTCCCGTTGGGTCAGAAATCGTTTGACGTCTCTGGCGACACTGGGTGGTAATAAGAGATCCGCCGTTTTATTCAACCGTATAGGCATCCATACTTGCACTCCCGGCTCTTCGGATAACGCTTCTAAATCGACTACGTCGTCCTCGTCAGATGGCAATACCCTGAGAAGTTGAAATTTTTTGTACGACACTCGACTGGGTTTCGGTTTACTGCTCGGGGCACCGCCTGCCACAATGATAATTAGATTAATTATTATTATTATTATTAACTATAGTTTAAAATAGCTATGGAGAATTTTCCTGATGCCATTCATATGACTTGTAATCCACTATTCGTGCAAACCTTTTTAGCATTTTTTTGAGTTAATTAATCTATTCAAATTGTTTAAGAAAGTATCAAATTTTCTTAATATATATACAGTAAACTTTATGAAAATTAATGATATAATAGGACGGTGTTTGTGCAAAGGGCTCATGTTGAATTTTTTTAAATTTCATATTAATGTTTCGAATGCAATTTTTTGACGCATCAACTAGTATCATTAGTTTGAACAAATGTAGGATCGTTATCGAGTTATTCATATATGCGTTTTGTCATAATTCATTATACCTAATTAAATTTAGTTCGTGAGAAAGGGTTCAAATCAATATTGTTATTATTGTAAAAGATTTTTCACTTGAGTCCTTTTGCACGAACACATTATTATAAGAATTTCAACAGATAAAACAGATAAGTTAGAACAGTAAGCGACTACTCTAAGATACCTAAAGTTTTGTTTGGACCTAATGATTGCGTGTTAACAAAATTAATTTGTTAAAAATATTATAATATTAATAGTTTTTTTTTTTTTTTTTGGTACCTACATAATTAAAATCTATTTACGTTAGATACACCTAGTTCGTACAAATAGACCGATATATTTAGTTAAGTAGATATATATCATTTAATATTTTCATGTTAAAATTCGCATATTCACATTATACGTCTTATAATATATTGTACACGTTTATATACGTATATAAAGAGGAAATTGAACATAATTCTATACCTCATGAACATAATACACACCGCCTTGGTTATTATAAATTATTATACGACCCAGTAAAGCAAATAATTTATGTCCCTGTGGTATAAAATTATTTTTCGAATGATATCAATAGGTATACGCCTAATATACATTATGTAAAAAGTAGCACGACTAAAATGCATAAAAAGTAAAGTACATTTTACACAAATAAGAGTTAAAATTTATCGTTTATTTTTTTTTAGGTGTGTTATAAAATATTATAATATTTCAAAGTGTTATTAGCGAAGCATTTATACACTATATGGACCGAGAAATACTTTTTCGTTTCGACCGAAATTGTTGGAAGTTGATTTCTGAATTGAATTGACAATAATAATAAAATAAATTGATGTACAGTTAATGTCATAAACTAATTAAATGTACAAAAGTTGATATTATAATTTAGTCAATAGACATATAATTGAAACTGTAACAAATATTGACGGGTAAAGTATTATGTAGGTAAACTAAAAAAAAACTCAAGTGCATAGAATAACTATTGCCAATAAAATGATTTATTTTTACAATTTAAGTATGTAATAAAAAAATTTATATTTTATAGCGAGAATGTATTGATTTTACAATAATGTGTGCTTTCTTTTTCTCTCTGTCTTTTTAACTATTTATACTTAGCTACTTAAAACTTACGAGTTTTTCATTTTAGATTCCGAGCGTGCATGTAAGGAATATATTGGCTTTTCTATGACGCTTGCTTTTTATTATGTCTTAAGAAATTTTATATCAGAAATCACGCTTTTATCGTCAACTCTAATGTGGTTTCTGGTAATGAATTATGTTTAGTTGGTCCATTGAGTTGGTCATTTTCCTTACAGTTTCCTTAATAACTGGGAAACAATTTCGGAAAACCGAGAAAATGTATGCAGTTATGGTTTTGTTATTTTTAATTTTCTTTTAATTTAGTTCAAAATAATCGTAAACACGTGTAATTTTGATGAATATGTTAGCTTTATCTAAACATAGATAGACATAGATAAATTTAAAAAATATTCGAATGGTTTTTTAGTTATTTATAGATATTTGAAATTGTCGAGTTTTTGTTTTTATTTTACCATTAACTTTTTGTGGATACAGTAAAAAAATACGAAGTATTTCAGTCTTCTTTTTCGATTTTATGTTATCAAAAATAATATTATTGTATGAGTATACAGATACTCCACTTGGAAATGGTTTTTTATTGCAATGATTCTCTCGTTTCAATTTAAAATAGTATATTATAATATACCTGTTCATAACTATCTTATTCTGAGATAGACGAACAAAGACCCAGCACCCTATCTCTGTACTTCTATTTTTATTTTTATTTTTAATTTAATGATCTAATTTTTTTTTTCAAATTTAAATTATTGAAGTATGTAGTTAATATCTATATACAGCCGTACTCAATAGATATCCCGTGGATAACCATTATCCATGTTAAATGTCTTAAGTTATGACAAAAAAAATATAAATTAGTTCTATTATAACCCCCTAACAGGTTATTTTTATTTTTACCGTACGTAAACGAAAACGTTTTTGGACTCGAAAATTGCAGAACGAAAAAATTAAATTTAAACTTTATTTTGGACATGAAAAACGAAAAACACAATTATTTTCAAACACGTTTTTACTACTTAAGTTTTCGGAAACGTTTTACAAAAACGTGTAACATAAAAAAAATCGAAAATGTTTTCGAACATTAAAACGCTTAACGAAAAAAATAAAAACGTATTTTATGTGAAAATGTGAAACTAAGAGGAATTTTATGATTATAAAAATACTATTTTATCATTATTCATCATTACCTAATAATCTGTCTCATATTATGTTATTTTAACTCATGACATGGAATTCCTGTTATTCTTGTTTGTACGTCACTGAATTCCTCCTAAACTGTTAGACTGATTTTGATGAAATCTTTTGAATGTGTTGGAATAGGTCACTAGGTGGTTTTAGATTTACAATTTGGACCTGATAGGTGGCGTTGCAAAGGTGGCTAACACAGGGTTGTTGATATTTTTAGTACAGTGATCAAATTATTTTTGTTGATTTATGGGTTACTTTGTTGATACAGATGAAATTAAAAACAAAAAAAATAATTAAATGGTGAGATAGTCTGTGTAAATTGTCTTAAAATTGAAGTGTCGATCTGATAGAAAATCTAAAGTAAAGGTTCAAGTATCCAAAGTATCCAAATAAAAATAACAGTTTTAGGAAATTTTCCTACGGATTTTTCCGTAGGAAAAGTTGTAAATTTGGACGGAATTTTGTTTGAAAACCTCAATACTTTCTTTAAATTCATTCGTATCACTAAGTAACCCGTAAATCAATAAAAATAATTCTATAATTGAAGTCCAGTTCTGCCATCACATGTTTGCATAACAATAGCGAATTGATGATAAATAAAAATAAAGGTCTATGAGCAACGATTATAATACAGTACACGCACTTTCCCACACGTCTCCACCGTTGAAATCTTTTTCTCTGTACAATTTGGTTTTAAGATATTTATGGTATGATAATCATGAAAAATATTTCACAATAGAACACTTTTAGTTCGCTGAAGGTGGACTTCCCACTTTCCAGCAATTTATCCTCATTCAATACTGATACGGTCAAAACTAAAAAGGAGTATGGGTTAGGTAAAAAAAATTAGTATGGTCAACGGCGAGTGGGACAGCTAGTAATATTTTAAAATTTTAAAATATTGTCTCGCGCTATATTCCACCCTGTATACAGTGACACACACATACATTTGTATTAAATTACAAGTAACCATTATTAGCTACTTCTAAAACAATGTTTATTCACCTCGAATTATTAATTCAAATTTAATTTACCTTTCTTCTGACTTATAAAATATATACATTATTTTATATAATTATATTAAATATTTATTAGAAGTAAAAATTTACATCTAAGAAACATTGTAGGTAAAATAAAATTTTTAGGAGTTATATTGTACATACAATTTGTATTTTATTCAATTATTGATTAATATATTGAAATATCTAAAACATCTAAACTACTAAACGAAAAAAAAAGACATTGATTTTGTACACAAAGAAAATCTAAAATGTTGTTGGACACGAGAAAAATTGAAACGGTTTTTAACACGAAAACGTAAGACGAAAAATATCAAAAAGTTTTTGAATATGAAAACGTAAAACGCAATTTTTCTACGCGTTTTTACTCTCGGATTATTTTACATTATAATATGATTGTTGGGTTGGTTTGGTCGCAAACCTTAACAATAATTTTAGTTAACTGAGCATAAGTTACTGTTACTTTCTTAGAGATTTGGAGCGTAGCGAAGGGATCTATTGATTTTATTATGATGTGTAGTTTTTAGATTCTGAGTGAGGAATTTATTGGTTTTACAATGATTTTATTTTTATTTTTTCTGTTAACAACTTTTCTACCTGATATTTTTTTCGGATATTTAAGTGTAGCACTTATTCTGAAAGAAAATTTGACTAGGGTAACCACCCTAGTTACTTCATAGAAAAAAATAAGTTAGACTGTAATTTTAAGTTTTTTTATAATTGTTTTAAGATAAAATTTTTAATAAAAACGTAAATATTATGGCCTTAAAAATCATGTATAAACGAACTTCGACTAAAATCGAGTCTCCTTAACAATAGTTTCTCGTTGCTTACAGATATAAATTAAATAAATTTATATATTTTAGCTTCTCAACTTTCCACTTGTAACAGTAGCGAACCAATGAGAAACTTATTAGCAGTATCAGCTTTTATTTTTATTTCGTATCAGTAACTAAGTTAAGTTTAAAAATTACCATAGAAAAATGATGATAATAATACATTAAAAAAATGTATATATATATATATATATATATATATATATACCTGTATTTTTTAAATTTGCAAGTTTGGTATACTCCTACAACAATATTACAATTTATGAGATACGTTGGACATATAACTATGATAAACACGATTACGCAAAACACAACAACCATATTATGGTAAAAATAAATAATAATTTTATACTTATTACTTATAAGTTATAAGTAAAACTTACTGTAAATCTAAGTAAGTTATCCAATTTGTTAACTACATATAGTTTAAGTTGAGTACCCCCAAAATAGAAATAATAACTAAGCTAAGTTAATTTTAAAATAAACATGAATAACTAAGTTAAGTAATACATTTTCAGGAAAATAATAATATATTAAGTTAAAAGTTAACATTCACTTTAGTAAAATTATCATTTACTACACTCATAATTAATGTATTTTGTATTCTATTATTTAGATCTGTATCATACAAGACTAGTGTGGGACGTGTGTTTACCATATCCCTGCTCCTGCATATCATGAAGGTTGATATTGATATTTACGTAAAAATACGTAATATCCGTAAAAATAGATATAGTCAAGGAACAATGTAGATTTTACATTTTTAACAAAATAATAAAATAATTCAAGTTAAAAATATTTGTTAAAAGAAATAACTTAGATATTTCTTACCGTTTTTTTTTTTTTTTTGTAAAACTAGGTAGATTAAAATGTATACAAAAAGTAACTTATAACCTTTTAATTATGCATAGTTATTGCAGGTCAACTTTGGGTAGTAGGTTATTGGACAGTTTTTAATACAAATAATAATTACGTCAACAAGATGACATATAATTATATTCGAATACAAGAAACTATATTATACCATATAAACATTAGTAGCAATTTCGGATTCATATTCAAATATATATTTAATGAACTGTGTATTGTGTATACATTGTATATACATACTACACATAACATATAACATAATTGCATAATATTATTTTAAATACACGTCATGGTCAATAAATTCATCCATAATAATAAAATAAAATGAATATAAAATATAATAGATTCCTAAACGTTTATACACAAAAAAACAAAATAATATATATGATAATAAAAATAAAAGTAAGTATGTAAATGTTTTCTATTTTCATGGTGTCTATTTTATTTTTTCTTAACTCTGGAACGTGGGTGAATTATTATTTTAAACGTCATAAATATTATAATTTTGTTGTTCATTTTGTCTCAAATTTTACATAATATTTCAATAATAATATGGACAAACTAGAGTAAAATCTAAACAAATAAAAGATTGATTTTTAAGGTGACAGTAAGTATAATGTATATATTGATGTTCGCGTAATACCGTGATTAACGATATGATAAATACATTATACATAGAAAACTTAAATGACATAATCAAGATTTAAAATCTTATATATTAATTTTATGCATCTCTATTGTATAAGATAATATGCAGGATATCCCACGAAGATGTGACCATTGTGATATCTTGGAAATTATTAATTTTTACATTTTTTTTTTTTTTTATAATTGAAGACTTGATATCAATAACGTGTTAAGTGCCGACAAAAAAATTGATTTAATAAAAAACTGAGTTATGTACCATAATCAACCTATAAAGAGCTGTATGTGTCATGACTATGCAATAGTAGTGTACACAAGGTCCAACAAAATGGCGTCAGAGCTATGTGCCGGGGTACTGGTTAGGTTGTGTTAGATTTGGTTATAATGGGAATAATTCAAAATCAACTGACAAAAATCAATTGGCATTTAGCTCGCTATTTATTTCAAGTTTTTAATTTAAGAAACTAGTATTTCTAAAATGTTACATTCTACTATTATTTTATTATTTTTTGGTATGAAACGACTATTAGACTAATTTTTTTTTTGGGGGGGGGGGGGAGGGAGGGAAATTTGGAAGGAATTGGATTTACGAGTATATGGTTATTTAGTTTATATACTGAAGTCTGAAATCAACGATAAATCTTTGAAATGAAAAAACAAACCGGAACGAAATTCGATTAACACTGATAACCGTTTACAGATATTATAATACTTTACGTGCTATTATAATATACTATAAGTCATTTTTTTCTTTTGTAGTCAAAACTCAGAAAATTAACAAAAATGAAACCAAATTATCGTCATTTGTCGTTAGTTTAGTAACAATTTTTGAGAATCTATAGCACATTTTTTCAATTTAAGTAATTATCATTGGACGAAAAATCCATATGTTTAAGGTACGATGATAATAATTTGGATTATTTTTATTAACCAGTAAAATATTTTTCCGGGGAGAAAAACAGATCTCAGTAAAATTAATAGCTTCTTCGCGCTACGCTTATCATCTAAAATTATGTTTAGTTTGTATCTTCTACGACTCGACTACGGTTATTTGTTGATTGCTGCAGAAAATTAACGTTATAAATATTCAAATAATTAAAAAGTTATAACGAGTAACATAAATATTCTAAAAAAGTAATAACGTTAAAATTATTGCTATCGGATGAAAAATGAACATAATCGATGTCAAAATATATTAACATCTATTTAAGTGACATTTTTCAATTTATAATAATTAGTGAAACAGAATATTTTTTGAAAGATACGAACATTTTATTACAGTTTTTAAAGTGCAAAATGTATAATTCTATTTGAACGATGATCTTATTATGTATTTCATTTTTTTTTATAATTTTAATATAGTTACGATAATTTGTAAAAACTATTATTATTTACATAATTTTTTTATAACTATGAAGATGTACTATAATACAATAGAGGTTATACAATATGGTTAAAATATGCTTTAATTTAAATTTAAATTTTAGAAATTTCAAGCGTAGTGAACGACGATATTTTCGCAAACTGTCATTCAGATAATTTTTCTGAAAACATTGACGTATTTTAATCGAAATTTGTACGAAAAGTTTCTCAGTTATTCTACTTTAAATACTAAAGATAGCCGTTTATGGAGATTAGATACCCCCCATAGATGTGACTAGACTTCATCCGCAGCCGCAGTCTAGCTAATGACCGGGTAGGGAAGGTTAGCCCCCTCAATTAAATATGTATATAACTTAAAAAAGTCTGTATTATCTATTTACAATTAATAATGTAAAATATTTTCAGTACCTTTAAATCTAACTACACACATATTATTCAGGCCTGGATTACACCTCCATATAGTTCAGTAATTAACAAAATATATGATGTGTTAGAATATAGAATAACAAAAATGATAGACTTATAGAAAATAGTATTTTGTTATAAACAATGCATAAGAAATTTTTTTTTCAATAAAATTTGTAAGCCAATAGACATAAAATTTGGTTGACCGGTACCTTTTAAAAATTGCAATGGCAGCCTAGGCTGCCACCGTAGACACGCCTATGAATTACCCCTTGATTCATAGGAATCGTGTAGTTATTATCCTTTGCAGTAATGGTGGGAGTATCCTCCTCATCCTTGCCTTTTTACCATTTCTATATCTACGGATTGTTTTACACAAAAGAAAATAAATACCTAAAAACCATTAACTACGAAGTTTTAGATTCTAAGTGGAGCGAAGAAGCTTATGGTTTTATAAAGATGTTTATTATTATTATTTTTATTTGTTTTGTAGACAACTCTTCTACCAGAGGACTTTCTCCGATATATACGTGTATTACTTTTTCTAAAAGGAGAGGTATTTTAAGGAGATCATTTTTCGATTTTCTTAAAAAATTTCTCATCAAATGTGAAAACCCGGAAAAAAACGGAGGAATAACGGGAAAAACGTAAGAAAGCTGGAAAATTGATAAATTAAATATGTATTATAAAAGATAAAATATTACGCCTATTCAATTATTTTACCATCGAAGTGAAGTTCGGTTATAAATGTTTTTAAAGATCGTAATATTTATGATTTACGTCAACATTTGATTAAAAAAAAAATAAAAAAATACTATATTAAACTTTTTATTTTTAGTTTAATCTAACAATTTTATCCATAGAATACATATCATATAGGTTTTTAAAATAATTTCTTATTTTGATAAAAACTAGCGTTGTGTCAATCGTCCCGAAGTTTTTTCTTTGGAGTTTCTTCATTGTCATGAAAAATACGATAAATTTTAACAAATGGTCCAAAAAAGCACCTTGTTTTTATTGGAGTAAGTAATTTACGCCGGTCAAAAAAATCAACCCACGACAATTATTACTTAAATGTTCGTGGTTTTTCCTAACTATTAAAATAAGATGAAATCAAGAAATGATTTCAACACACTAATTAAATACAATTTGCGATAAGAAAATAGAAGGTACATTAAGAAGGTTTAAATCTGGTTTAGAGCAAAATTATTGATAGAAAAGTTAATACGAAAAAAAAAAAATGAATATTTATATCGCAGTAAAACCAATATATTTTACACTTCGTTCGGATCCTAGAAATGTAAAATTTAAAAATTTACATTTATATACTGTTTTTAAACGAAGGCATATCATTATTTGTGTTTTATGTAAACCTTTCTGATAGACCCTGACGTATATAGATGGTTACATTTTTCGAGGTAAATGTATATTAGTTTTATGGTTATCATTGTAATTACAGGGGAGGGAGTCTCCCTTTAGTGGGTGTGAGAGGTACAAATGCAACGGGCATTAAAACCTCGGTGGCGCCAAACAGAGACCAGTGGAGTGCCAAAGTAAATTTTAATAATCCTGCAATTGAAAATGTTTACAATAAGAGTTTGAGTGAATGCCCACTGACAGGTTTAGCGTATATTTTAGTATGAAGATTTTGATGAGCTTTTTAGTTTTATTGATTATCGGTCCGAGCGCTGATTTTGTTAAGCACGGCACTGAATTTAATACGAAGGTGTTGCACGATAATTGTGTCAAACTTTAAAAGGTATTTCTACACCTCAAATGCAATAATAAAAATGCTCATAACCATTATTGATTTCTCAATAATAAGGGAGAAACTTCGACTTTTATGTTTTTTCGGTTGAACACAAATTTAACTCATAATAACGTTCATATCTATTAAACCATTGATTCTACAACAAATTCGAATACACTGCTGAAAAGTTCATTAAATTAGCTTTAAGAAAATATATCATAAAAGTTTCCTACCTTAAATTTTGGTTAAAAGGAATAACACAAATCTTTTATTAACTAAAAATGTTGAAGTTTTAAAAAAATTAAATTTCGTCTTAAAAAAATCCCTTTCAAGGTAGGGAGGTGCAAATTCCACAACAACTTCAAAATTTAATAAGCTTTTAACGGTGTACTCATTTTTTTCGTTAACGCGTACAAGTTCATATTTAATAAAAGAAGATGAAAAACAAGTACACAACTTAAAAAAAATTTTTTATGAAATTTAAAATAAGTTTGTCCACATATATTTATTGCAAAAGCTGTTCAAAGTGTCCACCATTTTGCCACAAATAAGCGCGTGCTTTCTCACTTCTCTCCCAGTTAGTCCTTCTGTCGCTACTCTTTTCCACTCTTGTCCACCACATTTCTCTAGAGCAGTCACGAAACATTCACTTCTTGGAACGGTAGAGTAGGCACAAGTCCATGGCTTCCAAGGCCTTCAGAAAAAGCTTATTATACTTTGAAGTTTTTGTGAAATTTGCACCCCCCTACCTTAAAAGGAATTTTTTTAAGACAAAATTGAATTTTTTTAAAACTTCGTCATTTTTAATTAATAAAAGATTTGTGTTATTCCTTTCACCCAAAAAATTAGGTAGGAACCTTTTATGATATGTGTTCTTAAAGCTAAATTAATAAACTTTTCAGCAGTGTATTCAAATTTGTTGTGGAACCAATGGTTTAGTATATATGCACGTTATTATGAATTAAACTCGTGTTCAACCGAAAAAACACAAAAGTCGAAATATCTCCTTTATTATTGAGAATTCAATAATGGTTATATTTTTTTGTTGCATTCGAGGTGTAGAAATACTTCTCGAAGTTTAAAACAATAGATAGATCAATCTTGATCGCTGGTGAACAAGAAAAAAAAGCATCACATGTCATTTATGCGTAACATGAAATCAAAAATAGGTGTCTTATGATAATGGGGACGAGTGCTAGCCATCACTGTTATAGATAAATTAATGTAATCTGTAAGCAAAGATTAATTATTGCTAACGAAAACACTATTCTGAGTGGAGTTCATTTGATAGTGTTGCTTTATCAACAATATATAAGTCATAACATTATGGTAAAATAATTACATATTATGCATTGTATATTTTCTTTTATAATATTTGTTTAATATTTTACCTATTTTCCCGGTTTTTTTATTCTGTGGGAAAACTTCTGGAAAAATCAAAAAATTGACCTCCTTAAAGTACCTCCCGAGCCCGATTTTCTTTCAGAAAAGCGCTATAATTAAAAATCGGAACAAAATTGCTGGCAGAAAAGTTATACAAAAAAAAAAAAAACAACATTATCTTAAAACCAATACATTCCTCCCTCCGCTAAGAATCTAAAATGAATGACGAGAGTACATTACCCATATAGGTACGAGAGTAGAGTATAAGAAAAGGGAATATTTACCTGTAATCGGCGCTATGACGGTGTCATAAAAGTATTCTAAGTAGCTGGTCACGGCGTTGTACAGCTGCAGTGCTTTGAACGTGAACACGCCGTCCAGGACGCCGCCGTCGTCACCGGTCGTGTCGGGGGCGGCCGTCGCCGCGGCGGCCACCGCGACGACGGCCGCCACGACCGCGAACCACCGTGGCCACGAAAACGACGACGACGCAGACGGGAATACGCGGCCCGTCCGCCGAGGATTTTTTCTCATTGTCTTTCCCTACCTACTTTATAATGTAGCCGCAAACAGTCCTGGTGGCCGTATTCCCGAGCACGCGGCTTTCGTGACGCGTCCGTATATCGATTTTGGAGAAAAACCGCGAAATAAAAACCTTTACACGCGAAACGTATCAATAATATTTACAACAGAATATAAAATAACGCACGGTGATTGATTTAAATTTTAGCGGCGACGACCGTTATTTTCGGAATCCACTTCGCAACGAGTCATAGTAATAATAATACTAATATTATTATTATCGTCGCGGAGTCACGTATCTGTTTTGTGTGCGACGGACGGAACGCCGGCGTGTACTGAACTGCAGAGAGCTCCGCGTCTGCGACGGCGATATCGGCGGCTGTGGAGACGCGCGTGGTATACGGTATGCGGTTTTTAAACTTACTTTCCCGGTGGACCATCTAACCGGGTATCCGTTATATATGTATATATATATATACAGTATAATAATAATAAATTATTAAACTGTACATTTTTTGGGAAAACATCGTCGGCCACGAATCGCTTAATGCCACTTTCCTCCTGAAAAAGTACGCATTTTTCTAAATTCTGAGTGTAGCGTTAAGAAACTAAAATAAAAGTAGCGGTAGGTATCGGTATGAGCCGATCACGTAAATCGGAATATCTGCATATATCTGTTTTTTTTTTTTTCAAAACCGACATTATCGAACAGATAGTTGCATTTCTGGAATATCAAAAACACGTTTCAATCCATGCATCGGTAAATTTCAGTATCAACTCGTGGTTTTCGTTTTTAAATATCGGATCGGGTACTGATTTTAATATCGGTATAGTAAAGTTTAATTATATAATAATCATAAGATAAATGTGTTGTTTTTTAATTATCGTGTAAAATACTTTTTTACTTAATAAAAATGCATCGACTGTGGCGTGCCCTACAGGAAGTTTCGACGGGAGATGATGTCATAATAAATAATAATCATGTTTCGTGAATAAATCGTTGAATCCTTTTTTGTTATATACCTACTTAAAACCCGAAAATGAGAATTTAAAAACCGGATACTAACTACAACTTATAATGAACCTCCTGTACGTCAAGAAAAAGCAAATATAAGTTTTATGTCACAATGCCAAGTTTCTACGAGTATTGTAACTTAATCGCATTAAAAAAGCAAAATTTAAATAATTTTAGAATTATTTTCGTCAATATTTTCGGTTTTGCTCAATTATTCGAAAAACTACAAAGAATAACAAAACATGACCCGTGATCACTAGATTAAGATGTCATGCTGGACAGCTAATATCATATATCTCGAATTTTAATACGAATAAAAAAAAAAGAACAGATACTGGGAACGGGTGCGGTCATATAGTTGAAGGTGAGAACTTGGGAAGGTAAGATACATAAAGTTATTTACTATACATCTAATACTAAAATTAAATATCAAGTATAGCACCTTTTCTGAAAAGGGATTTTCCTGGTGTGGTACTTTAAGATGGTCATTTTTAATTTTTCTAGTAGTTTTCCCAATAAATGGGAAAAAACATGGTAAAAACCCGGAAAATAAATACAATATTAAACAAATATTATTAAAGAAAATTTAAAATGTATATGTAATTATTTTACTATAATATGACATATATATTGTAGACAAAGCAACAATATTAACCAAACTCCACTCAGAGTCGTTTTTCCTTAGTAATGATTAATCGTTACATACAGAGTTATATTAAATTTTCCCAACTTCTCTATCTTCCCAACTTCTCACCTACAACAGTAGCTCACCCACGTGCGAAGTATGTCCGTCGTTTTTTTTTTCGGTTTTGCTCAATTATTAAAAAAACTTTTGAGAAAATCGAAAAAATGACGTTCTATACTTACCAACTAGATTAAAAATGCAACAAAAAAGATCGATTAAAGCAATATTTTTCATATAAAAAAAAGTGCGTATAAATTTAAAATAATGAAAACTTACGTTTTTATTTTTCCCAATTATTATGAAAACTTCTTGGTAAATCAAAAAAACGTCTTTCTTTATGAGCAACTAGATCCAAAATAAAATAAACCGGAGAAGTTTTCTTTTCGAAAAGTTGTTTACAGGTAAAAAAACACACACCATAATAAAAACCAACACATCCCTCGCTACGCTTCGAATCTAAAAAATCTGATAACAAATGATGATATAACACGGTTTCACTTGTACCTATTTTATTTCATTTTTATTTTCTGGGTTACCGTGACTATACAGGGTTTGGATCGTGTTTTAGTGTAATGATTTATCGTTGCTGTCGGTGTATTATAATATAAACTAAACTATATACCTAATTCCAAATTTTAAAGTTATTAAATTCACATGGCCGTATAATATATGGCCATATGACATTATGGCCCCAGTCGAAAACAATTTAGTAAGCCATACTGTGAATCTTTTGGTGCCATTTAAATTTACAATATGCAATGAAACAAGTGTCCTAATTTCGTAATAAATATTCATCATAAAATAATAATGTACGCTGTAAAAATAAAAATTCGAGCCCCATAAAAAAGTTCTGCCCGAGGAATAAATTATTATTCGTTTCCAAAATGAACTTTAATGAATAATGGGGTACACACCAATACCTACATAAGTTTTCAACGGAAAAACATGATGTTTGATCGCGTGATCTGTCGCATGCATACCTGCCTGTTTATTATTTTCAAATTATCGGTTTCAAAAACTTTTGTCATCTAAAGTTGATTTTAACGCTCGTGTTTGTTGTAAGTATGTGTTTGCGTCCAAAATGTAATATGCGTGAAATGAAAAAAAAAATGTTTTATCTACACGATGAAACATGGTATAAAATGTATGCGTATGATGACGGTTTAAATCGAATATTTATTGAGTAGCAATAAAAAATTTTATAAACCACTGTAAAATCATTCTAAATTTCAAAATGTTTAAAGACTACGTCAGTAGAGCTATGGTTTAGGATTTTCGAGGTCTCGGGTCCCGGGTGAAAAATTAAATATTTGCATATTTTATTGTATTATATAATTAGTATATTTTCATCTAACGTGATGCCCAAATTTAAGTAAAAAAAGAGAGACCTAAGACCTAGGTGCTGCTCCCTTCTAAGGACGGCCCTAAGTATAGCCAGTTTGGAGGAGATTACTTCGATGACGGACGTGAATACTTAATAGTTTTGACGGCCAACTCACACACACACACACACACACACACTGACGTGTAATTTCTCATGACACCGACTTTCGAGTGACGAATGATAATAATAAGATGTTATATATTCAGTTACCTACTCAGTGAAAATTTAACGACCGAAACACAATTTTAGTTAAGTACTGGAAAGTCGTCTGAAAAAAATTCTATAGCGCATCGCGAAAACGATATAAAAAAACATAAAAAAAAACCATTTATGCAATGTGCATTTTCATTAAGACTTTGATATATTTTGAAATTCTTTATTTCATTTCAGTAAACATCATCAGTATTGTTATACATTTATTTAAATTCGGTTTTTAAGATGACTGGATAAAAATATTTTATCGGGAGAGTATTATTGCTTGGAAAAATAACTATAATATTTAATCGGTCCGTTGTGTTTATAAAACGTCGTAACTACGCATCAGTTATTATAATATTCAAAATAAATGTCATTTTTCTTTTGCTGAAAGATGAATATAAATCTACGTATAATCCAGCAATACGCAATATGCAAGATGATCGTAAATAGAGTTTGAATTTATAAGTATGTTTTTGTTCAAAATCATTTTACAATGAAAAAATGATCGTTCAAAAATAAAAAAAATTCGCTAGTTGTATTTCTGTAACGACGTCAATACTAATTACTATAGTATTAGTTTAGCTACGATGTCGTCTAATAGCTTCGTCGTAAAAAAAAAAATAGCTTCCTGTTGTATTTTTAATTTTTTTAAATATCAACCAAATTCAACATTTTCAGAAAACGCAAACAATTTCTTTTTAATTGCAGGTTAGTAAAAAAAAAAAAAAGAAAGTACGAATTGGATAAAATTGGCTAATATAAGGAAAAAATAACCGTTTTTGGTTAATATGGTCCTCTGATTCTAAGCAGACAATAATATAATGCTATAAAAGTGTCGTATACAAAATAAGAAACCAACTATCGACTACTGGTTCTAGAAACTTGAAATTTTGTACAAACTGTGCATATTGAGGTAGATATTTTATCACCCTCCATTGATCACTGTTCGTTTAATGTCCGAAGCTTGTTCAGAATTTTCATAAGGATAATGTTTCAGAGTGGTAGAGTATTATAATACATCGACAAACCTTTCATTTAAGAAAAACCCAGCTGTTTACTGATGGTCTTAATGTTCAACTACTTATCTGAAACAGTTTTAAACCCTTTCGAATACACCATTATTTGTTGAATGTCACACTCGTTATCGTTTTAAACCTCCTGAGATACCTATAGTTATATTATTCATATTATAGCATGAGCTCCGACTTCCCAATATTGTGTCATTAATTTTGTCGAATAAGTTCTAGGTAGGTAGGTAGGTATTTTGAATTAGTTAAGGTTTGTAAAAACTCATATTATATGTAATCGTTAAATTTCGAGGAAAAATTGTTTTTAAAAAACCGGGAAACCGCATGAAGGTAAGATTAGGGAAATTTGTTTTGAAAATCCATATAGTATAGTACCTGTTAAGTGTAAAACTTCTACTTGAAGAAAAGATAAACCTATCTATAGTCTACAATTTAGTGGCTCTTAAACTTTTGTATTCGTGGAGCTCTTATGTTGCTAAAACAAAAAATCTACGAAGCACCAAAAACAAGGAATAACAATTTAGTTGTAATATATATCATTAAATGTTTTAATATTTCCATTAAATAATTTTAAATATTATTTTAACAAATAATAGTGTATTTCTCGCCGAGAAATAGACTCAGCCCAAATTGATTATTATTTTTTTTTTTTAAAAAACCTCGAATTTGATCATTTGGCTTAAAAACTGTAGTAATGTCGCCTTGAATTGATACATTTACTATATTTAATTTTGTGAATGAGTTAGCTAATAAAAACCAAATTTTATTAGTAAATTTTGTTTGTAAATCCATCGAATGGTCTGTTACGTGCCCACACGCCATTATAGATATACGCGCGTGAACCCATAGTAAATTTCGGGTTAAATTGCGTGTACACCAAATTATTCAAGAATGACCATTCCATGGGAGAACACAACCAAAACCGGAGGTAAAGAATTTACCTCCGGTAATAAAGATAATAATAAT